CTGAGCAATCCCAGCTGACACAGACATGCGGTCCTTTTTCAGAGTCCCAGAAATCTAGTCCACTGCCAGGCCTGGGGGAGGCAGGGGTCGGTTTTCTGCATCAGTCCATGTCTGTTTATGTTCCTATGTAGATGTTCTCTTACTGGTTACCTAGGTCTTCATATGGTTGCAACTGTAATTCTGATATTTTTATTATCCCATGCTCTCTTTTGATAAACATGAAAATGTCATGTCCACAGAGACTTTATGGACATGGGTCATGTCCACCTTCCCATAATTAGCACAACAAAGCCGAGGCCCCAGCCCAGCCCTGCGTGAGCCAGTTGTCTTAGCCCTGCTCCTTATGTGCAAATTGAACTCCAAAACCTAATCTATGTGCTCCTAGATGGATGCCTCATGCCAAAAGGTACGCTAGACAAGGAGAAATGGATAGGGGTAGTTTAACTACCTTAAATGGGAGAGAGGAAACTCAAATTGCATTTTTCTATTCTATATGCATAATCCTTCATATTCCAAAATGGAGAGGCAAATTCATTTGAGGACTGTGTGTATATCATTCTTTAGGTCAATATACCTATTTATTCCACAAGATTATTTAGATACCTGTTCTCTTTCAAACTCTGTGTTAGTGCTTGGATTCTATGATATTTAAGACCCAGCATGAGCCTGCAATGAAATCATAGAAACATGAAGTTGGGGGAGGGGAGTGAGGGAAAGGGAGTTGGCTCTCTCTGAGCAGATCAGAAAAATTCTTGGAGGAAGAGAGTCTAAGCTGGAATTCAGAGATGAGTATGAGTTTGCCAGGCAGTCAAAGCAGAGATAGGCAGGCAGATGGGAATTACCTGGGCCAAGGCATGGAGGCATGAAGTACAGGGTAAGTTTAAAGAATAGTGAGCAGTTAGTATACATTTGCGTCAGGAAATGACAGTGATGATGATGGGTGTGTACAGGTTTGTTACGGTTCAATTTACACAACAAATGTTTATTGAGCTCTTAGTAAACATAGAGATTTAGTTCAGAAGCAAGGAGCTTAGCATAAAAGAGGAGATAAGAAATGATTCTGCAAAGCTTTTATAAAGTAAGAAACTTATAAAGTAAGAAACTTTCCATGAGGGAGGATGACTATAGAGGACTATTTTATTCACTGGTATTTATTATAAAAAAATGGATTGAATATTAAATGAGCACCTAATATGAATGATAACAAGACATTTTTGTTGCACTGAAGGAACTGGAAGTCTAGTAGAGTAGACACGTAAATAGAACATTATATCATAATATATTTAATGTTCAACATAGCATTTATTAACACTGATAGAAGTGCTTTATAATAATTAACTTTATCCATCCTCACACAATAAGTAGGTATGATTATTATCTACATTTCACAAATGGAAAAGTCAGAGCCACAGTGGTTATTAACTTGCTCAATCAGGTCACTCAGTTAAGATTAAAATCTAGGCAATTGACTCTTCAATTTTTTTAAATATATTTCCATTGATTTTAGATAAGAAGAGAAAGGGAAAGAGACAGAAACATCATTGTTGAGAGAGAATCATTGATTGGCTACCTCCTGCAGGGATGGAGCCTGCAACCCAGTCCTGTGCCCTTGATTGGAATCAAACTCAGGACCCTTCAGTCCTCAGGCTGATGTTTTATCCACTGAGCCAAACCAGCTAGGGCTGACTTCTCATTCTTCACCATCACTCCAGAGAACTATAGAAATATGAAATAGAAACACATAAAAGAGCCTAGAGCCAGCAGGGGAAGACTAATCCTTCCACTCTGCTGGTAGTTATGTTCTCCCTGCAGTCTCCAGGAAATATAGAGACCACTTATAGACTCATAAAAAGCTACCAAACTCATTATCAGATTCTGTAACTTCTAGAGTTAAATATCAAAAGAGTAAACATTTCCCGTTAATGTTCACCTAGATTACATTTCTCCTTCAGATTACTATAATTTTTCCAATCCCCTGAATCCCCATAAATACTAAATTTCATTGTATTTTCTAGGGTCTTTATCAAGGAAAGTATGAAGTATGCAGGAAAGCTTCTAATAGTTCTTTTCAGGGGATTTTTCTCATGGGTTCCCAGCATCTTATGTTATATAATACCTTATGACTAGCTCTGTGAAAATTCCTGGTTATATTTATATACTGCTAATTCATAATGTATCAGTTCCAATGTCCTTTACCCAGGATGATGAAACTAGAATGATATTTCTCACCTAAATTACTATAAATTTTCCTACTCCTACCAAATTCAGCCCTCTTCATCTTCATAACCATCGTGGACATTGGGTTGGCAAATAACAAAAAGGAGAGAGTTGTAAAAAGTTCAGTTGGAACTCTAATGGTCTTATGAAACATCATCATAAATAGATAATGAAAAAGCCTCAGGAGTGCAGAATGTCAAAAGGTGACCCTATTCTTGGAGAAGGAAGTCCAGGATAAGGAGCTTTGTATCAGTTAGGATAGCCTTTGTCTGCAAATGAAAGGCATTTCTCTTGTAATATAACCAAAGCACAAGCCAGGGCAGATGTCATAAACCTTTCAGGATCTTTCTGTTTTTCTCTTCTGCTCTTATCTTTGCAAGATTGCTGGCATACTTTCAAATATCAAACAATATTAAAAACAATAAGAAGAAGGGCAAAGGGTAGAAGGTAAAAAGAAGTAGAGAGCTCTGACCACTTTGAAAAAGTTTCCCAGAATCTGTACCCTGCAATTTCTATTTAAATCTCATTGACCAGCCCTAGTAAGTTTGGCTCAGTGGATAGAGCATTGGCCTGCAGACAGAAGGGTTCTGGGTTTGACTCCAGTCAACGGCATGTACCTCAGTTGCAGGGTCCTCCCCAGCCTGGGCCCTGGTCAGGACACATGCAGGAAGTAAGCAATCAATGTGTTTCTCTCACATCAATGTTTCTCTATGTCTTTCCTTCTCTCTTCCACTCTCTTTAAAATCAATGGGAAAATATCCTTGGGAGAGGATAAATAAATAAATAAATAAATAAATCTCATTGGTTAGATTTGGGTAACATAGCCTCTTCTAGCTGCAAGGGAGTTAGAGCAAATTACTGTTTTATCTCAGTACATGCCACCACAAGCAAAGCAGGGTTTTGTTAGTAAGAAAAATGAAGAGCACACACATTGGTTTGGCAGCTAACAGTGTCTGCAAAATTAACCTAAAGTTTTCCAGTTAATAAAATAGAGGAGAAAGACAAGCAAAGAAAAGGCAGTTGAAAGAGATTTTAAAACCCCAGGAAATACACCCAATTAAATTAAGCCAAGCCAATTTTATTTAAGTATTTCCCTTTTAAGTTAGTTAGTTGATGGCTCTAAATCTTATGGAAAAAATAGGGGTTAGGAAGATTTGGAGAGGGGAATGCCTTCCCAGCTAAGCACTGAAGTGTGAAACATTTTGTGTGGAGATTATAATCCATTCCCTGTTTCCAGGGAATAAATTGCAAAGGAATGAATATCAGGAACTATATTATAGAAGGCTTGTATATAGGTTTTAAGAAGGCATTTATCTGGTATAGAATGAAGAGCTATTGAAGTGTCTGAGGCCAGGAGGGACTAAGTCAGATTTGCATTTTGGATAACTCATGTTAGTGGCTGGCATTAGGATGGAATCAAGAAGATAAAGCTAAAGGTGAAGAAGTAAGTTAAGAGGCAACTGTATTAATACAGATGAACGCCCAGCCAACATGACCCCATGGTTGACCCGTCAACCTATGAACCAGAATGTCACAGTTCAATTCCTGATCAGGGCACATGTCTAGGTTGAGGGCTCAATCCCCAGTATGGGGCGTGCAGGAGGCAGCTGATTAATGATTCCCTCTCATCGTTCATGTCTCTATCTCTTGCCCTCTCTCTTCCTTTCTGAAGTCATAAAAATAAAAAAATAAATAAAAAATACAGATGGAAGATGCAGAGCCCTGATCTAGTGAAAATGTAGAGCAGTGTACAAGTTTAAAAAATTACTTCTTTGAGTATCAAAGGAGATTTCTTAGAGAAAGCAGCCTTTTATGGCTAAAAATTAACTTTTTATGCCTACAGCATCAATCTGAATAGTCTGAGGTAGCCCTAAATCAAATTCTTTTTAGGAGTTTTTGAGACATAGGCTATTCATTAATAGAAATTCCTAAACAACTTATTTATAAGTAAAATTATAGAATTATCTCTAGAAATGCTTTTAGCAAAAGACTGAAATTTTAAAATAACTCTTATAATCTAAAGGTAGGAAAAAAAACTACATTAAGTTACTTGTAACTTCAAAATCAGTTGTTCTCCAACTCTGATATCTAAGGAGCTAGGAAATAACCAGACTGATCTCTAGGGTGCTGATGGCATCCTGCTCCCTCTGAGGCCCTGTGAAGAATTTGCAAAGATTGTGTGCGAGGGCTTTCTCCTAGTGTTCTTCTGATTCCGAATGTGCTGGGTATGTTTGTGCTGGCACTTTTCTTAAATCATCACCCGAGGATATATTTTACTAATTTTAGAGACAGGGAGAGATGATAGAGATAGAGATAGAGATAGAGATAGAGATAGAGATAGAGAGAGAGAGAGAGAGAGAGAGAGAGAGAGAGAGAGAGAGAGAGAGATATCAGTTGCCTTCTACATGTGTCCCAACACAGGATCAACCCACAACCTATGTATGAGCCCTGACTGGCAATCAAACTTCCCCCTGCTATTGCACAGGATGTCACTCCAACCAAGTAAACCACACCAGCCATGACTGTGCTGACAACTCTGAGAGAGTCATTCTGCTTTGGACTAGTCAGAATCATAAATGGTCAATAAAACTCAAAAAGGTGTGGAGAGTATGTGTCATCATAGCCGTTCTGTGCCTGGAGCCTGGGATAGCCTCCAAATCTTTCCTTAAGAAAGCAGGCATTCCTCAGGCGCAGAGCAAGTCACTCCTGGATGCCCCGAGTGGTCCGAGGGATGACGGCCTGCCCACGGCTGTAAGCTCTCTCCTTCTGTCTCTTGAGTGCAGGTTCCGCGAGGGCAGACGGAGCTCTGTGGTGCTCAACTTGCCTGGCCTTGAGGTGTTCCCCGGGGACCTTCTGGTGTCAGATGGAGCTGCTGATTACCTGTGCCACCCACTTCTGCTGCTGAATCCAGGTCTCGTTATTCAGCATACTTACACCACAAGCCTGCTATGGGAGGATATTGTAATGAATAGGGGGGATTTTCAAAATGCTTAATGACCAGTACCACATGTGCACTGACAAATTCAACAGATCTCTCACTGACTTAGGCATCAGCCATGAATTACCGGAACCAGCTAAATACACTCTGCTATTGGCCACTCCACTTACAGAGATGTATGAGGTCCTCTTGTCAAGAAATTTGCCCAGCCCTAGCCAGTTTGGTTCAGTGGATAGAGCATTGGCCTGTGGGCTGAAAGGTCCCAGGTTCGATACCAGCCATGGGTACATGCCTGGGTTGTGGAAGGCAGCTGGTCAATGATTCTCTCCCATCATTGATGTTTCTATCTTTCTCTCCCTCTTCCTTCCTCTCTGAAATCAATAAAGAAATATATATTTTTAAAAAAAAGAAGAAGAAGAAAGAAATTTGCCCAGGTCCAGGGATGGTCACCACCTTAGCTGAATGCTCTCTCTGGGCTGGTGGGTAGTTCCCATATCATCGCTGTGATGCTAGGCACACAACAAATACCACACCCCCACCCTTCCAACCAGGGTAGCACCCTGTGCAGACAGGGCTCCTGTTAACAGTGGATTACCACTAGAGGAGATTAGAGAGAGGCAGCTTAAGGGTAAATCTGCATTTTGAACTCAGTTGGGAAAGAAAAGAACAGCTCCTCATGATCCTGAGAAAGCCTTTGAAAGCTGAAAGGAGACTTAGAGATTACCCATCTTGGTGGCTGTTAAACTGGTTTTGTTCTTAATCAGAGCCCTTTTTTACATAAGAACCCTCACTTGAAAATAAAGCCTATAAAGCAGATCCAGGCAGAGTTGCAATATTTGAAAACAGGGTGGGTCCCAAAGCCTCAACTCCAAGGCACCCCAGGAGCCCAGGACATCCTGCAACCCAAAAACAGCTCATTCCTCATTCATAGATGTGCCAAGTAAGACCCAGAAAGGAGCCCTGGCCTGACCCAGCTGTGGTGCCAGCTGGTTTGTGTCAGAGGAATGGAGTCCGGGCTCCTGCCTGTGAGTCCTGCATGCTCCCTGCCAACCTGCATCAGTCACCTATTAGATGGAACCCAGAAGCCACCAGTAAATAAATCATGCCTGACATTTGTATAGTTCTTCACTCTTTATAGCTCTCTTTCACATCTACCATCTTATAAGACACAGCCATCCAAATAAACATCTACTGTCTCCTGTGATTCAACCACCAGAATGAACAAACAGAGAGGGATTAAGTGATCTACTCAAGGACAGGCCCCTAGAAACTAGAGCTAAACACTGCATTACCTTAACAGGGGTTAGTACTTTCTTCTGTGAGACTTTGCACATGCCCTTAGCTGGTGAGCAATGAAAGCAGTGTCTCCGGAAGGCTAGTCTCAGACCAGCAGCTTCAACATTACCTGGGAAATTGTTAGACATGTGGGTCAGGGCCTGCTCCAGAGCTTCTGAATCAGAAATTTTGGGGGGCAGAGCCAGCCCAGGTATCTGTTGTTTTAGTTTTTACTGTATTTTCCGGCATATAAAATGACTTTTGAAACGAAAAAAAGCCTGCTCAGATTGGCCAGTGTTAGAGAGGGGTCTATTAAAAAAAGAACTGGTGTTGCCTTGGAAGTGGGGGGTAGTCTTATACAGCGAATATAGGCCTAAGCCTATGTTTTAACTGTAAAATTAGGGGGGTCGTCTTATATGCCGGAAAATACGGTAATTAAATTTATTAGGATGACATTGGTTGACATGAACATATAGGTTTCACAATGGACATAAAACTCTGGGGAGGGAGAGTATGTATGGGAGGGAGGGGGGCAAAAAAATCAATAAAATATATTTTAAAAATTAAATTAAATTAAAAAAAGAACATATAGGTTTCAGGTGTGGGTTCTATGTTACAGGGTCTGTATATTGCACCATTTACTTACTTCCCAAAGACAAATAGTTATTTGTGGGTTTGTTTGTTTGTTTTATATTTTTTAAATTGATTTCAGAGAGAAAATGAGAGGGAGAGAAACATCAATGATGAGAGAGAATCGTTGGTCAGCTGCCTCCTGCACTCCCCCTACTAAGGGTTGAGTCTGCAACCTGGGTATGTGCTCTGACCAGGAATTGAACCGAGGCCTCCTGGTTCACAGGTCGATGATCAAACACTGAGCCATGCTTGCCGGGCATCATTCATTTTTTAACAAGCCCTCCAGATGATTCTGATGCCACCTAAAGTTTGAAAACCCCCATGCTAAGAAACAGGACATAACTAGCACGTGATATTCCTAAACAAATTTGTTGTGTGCCTAGCAAAGGCCACATAGTAAAAGCTATGCACCTTCTACAGCTTCTGCCTCCACATCCTCTTCCCAAGGAGTGCAAAATAGAGCTCTTGTGTTCCCAAATCATGGTCTAATGCAGTGCTGCTCGAGCTTCCAGGTGCATGTGAGTCAGCAAAACTTAATGTTTACTACAGATAATAAAATATTGAGGAGGCAGCAGAGACCCATTTATATCTTCTGAATGTTTGAGATGCTTTTCCAAGGCCCTGAAATTACCCCCAAAGCTAGAAAAACAGAGAGACATTTGTGAAAAACAGATACTCCAATTGCATTTCAAATGGGACTTAATTTTCCACCAGGCATTTGAGGGATAAGAGTGGTAAAGCCGATTAAGGAGATTCCACCCAAGCTCTCATTTTAAAAGATTAATAAGGTGGTCAGAGTGAGCAAGATAATTCGTTGGACAGGTGGCTTCCAGGGTTCCAATAGAAAAAGCCCCTTGAGCACACCCCTTGCAGTAAATGACATTCAGTAATTGCCTCCATCTGATTGAAATACTATGTGGAGCCCCCTGACGAATGGAACACAGAGAGAGACAGATGTATAAGACATCTATTTTTTTGTACTGAGTCATCAGAACACCTCACCTAATCCTAAGAGATGATTTCCAGCTTTTTCTTGGTAACATTACAAATTGATGCAAATGACATGAAAATCAGGAGACCAAATCTTATCACTTTAATTCCAGATCACAAAAATAGTGTGTTATTGAATAATGATGGCCTTCCCAGCTCAAAGCAACTCCTCAGGACTACTTAGATGGTGGCTAATAGCAACAATAAACCCCAACATAGAGACTGATGATGTGCTAGTGTTCCCTATTTCGGAAGTCTGTGTTTAACCACCCCTGAGATTGTAAGGTTAAGTAGTCATCAAGACTCAAGTTCGGTCAGGGAGAGTTTCAGTGGAACAGTGTAAAAAAAAAAAAGTCCTTTCAGCCCCAAAGTTCTATGACTCTCCATCTTAAATATATTATTCAACATCTTTATTACATTTCATAGATTTTTCCCCTGAGCTATCAAGAAGAGGAGGCTGAAAAATACTCCAGTGAAGAAATAGGACAACATCACTTTCAGGCAGCAATGGAACACCAACTTTTAGGTTGCAACACGGCTTCCTTCACTATCTGCATTCATTCTGTGCTTTCTCAAGAGAAAGAGAGTTAGAGCAGGATAGATTCCTTCTAGCTCTTCAGAAAACAGGTTTTGTCAAGTACTGCAATGCTCTGTCACTAGTTACTCCAAGTTCTAATGAGTGTTCTTTCATTTCACCCCCCAGAATCCAAAAAGCCACGATGGCCTTTCTCCAGGAGAGGAGCGGTGAGTGCTGTGCATTGTCATTTTAATTAAGCCTCCTGTAGCTAAGAAAGTAAGAAGGGGCTGAAACTGGTTTGGCTCAGTGTATGGAGGTAGGCCTGCAGACTGAAAGGTCCCAGGTTCGATTCCGGTCAAGGGCATGTACCTTGGTTGCAGGCACATTCCCAGTAAGGGGGTGTGCAAGAGGCAGCTGATCGATGTTTCTCTCTCATCGATGTTTCTAACTCTCTATCCCTCTCTCTTCCTCTCTGTAAAAAATCAATAAAATATATATTTTAAAAAAAAAAGAAAGAAAGAAGAGGCTGAAGAGTCCTTCTAACTTTGCATGATGACAGATGGCACACGACACCTGAAGTTTAAATATTTCATCACTTCCATAATAGAGGCTACAAAACATGCCAAATAAGGCCATTTTCTACAGCAAAACAGTGCTAATTGCCAGTGGGGTTAACGAGCTCTGCAAAAAAAAAAAAAAAAAAAAAAATCAAAGCCATTCTAATACTGTGATGCTTTACAACTTTAAATGTATAACTCAATGTGGCTTTGGAAACAGCTCACTCAATAAAGTCAACTTGCACAGGGTATGCTCTTACCACCTCCCTACATTCCCTTCCTCTCGTTTGTAGTCAGTGTTGTGCTTATTGGGAACATTGAAGAATGAATGAGCTATTACAGAAACAGATTCCACAGAAACACTTCTACTTCTGGGAAAGCCGGTTGGATTAGTCCTGGTGTATGTGTTTTTTAATTCATTCTTGGTACCATCAATTATGAAAGAGTCATAAATCTTGTATGATGTATCAGTGGTCCCTGACTCTTCGCAGCCTACAACGAGGGCTGGCCAGAGTGGAGGCTTTCCTCCAGGCATGCTCGGGGTAGAGGAAAGAGGCATTCCTGACTACAGCCTCACTCCTCACTCCCGCTTTTGTAGGGAGGACTGATTCTATTCTAACAACAGTACTAGTTGCAATACCATCTTTAAGTACCAAAGCTAAATTAAAAGCTCTCTGAGGTTCCAATCCCAGCTGCTCCACTTACTATTCCATGACCTTGTCCAAATGAATCAATCCCTTTCAGCTTCAGGTGCTTCCCTATGAAAGCTGGATAGTGATCATGTGATGAGTAAATCAAATAGTGCATGTGGGCTTATCCCAGAGCTGGGCAGGTCTTAAACACTCAATCAATATTGGCCGTAATACTGGTAGTTTTATTTGTATTTGGGGTTTGGAAAACTACTTGTTCGCATAAGCAAATATCTGAGTGACTTTCACATTATTTTTCCAAGCATCAAACATTTGTATGAATGTCTCAGTCATCTCTGGCTGCTATAACAAAATACCACAGGCTGGATGGCTTAAGCAACCATGAGTACTTATCACAGTTGCGGAGACTGGGAAGCCCAAGATCAAGGGGCCAGCATGGTCAGAGAATTCTCTTCGTAGCTTATAGGCAGTTGTCTTCTCACTGTGTCCTCACATAACAGAGATAGAGCTCCAGTGCCTCCTCAATAACTTCATGAATGGGGTTAGTGTCCTGATAAGCCCTCATGACCTCATCCAAACCGAGTCACTTCCTAAAGGTCCTTTCTCCAAATACCATCACATTGGGGTACTAGGGTTTTAACAGGTGACTTGAGGGGAGGGACAGAAACATCCAGCCACGGGGACAGTTCAAACATTGTGAGCTAGTAAAGTTTGACACCATTGTCATTAAAGCAGTTTCTCCTGTTCATTCCCATTTTTTCCCTCTTTAGAGACCTGGTTTGACTGTTTTCCTGGCAGGTCTGAGGCAGGGTCTATGGGATAAGCTTTCCTGGCCTTCTTCGCAGGACCAGTTACCAGTCAGGTCTGGGGTCTCAGGAGAAGGAGAATCTCCCACAAGCTCTCCTGAAGCTAATAAAGAAGGTGCCCACCTTCCTCCATGGAAAGAACGCTCTAAGGGCTGCCAGGGAGGTAGAATGTGCTCCCACAAGAGAGGGCGTACCTAAGGAAGGGATGCTCCTACAAGTTGTAACCAATGTCTTTTCCTCCATAAAGAAGTGATTTGTGGGGTGGCTGTATGTGTCAAACACTGGACTGAGTTTCTAAGATGCCAATGGGCCCATTATCAGCTCCTAACTAAGGTCAGACTGCCATGTGAATTGAGAGGGAAAGTATGATAAATGGCTTGCGCAATGTTGGAGATAGGTAGGCAGTGGTGGAGATACATAGACAGAATCATTAGTGGGAGGATAAAATGTTTCAGCAAACGTTCTCAATAAGGAAGGGAAATTCATATCTTAAAGGCTCACTTTCATAAGGACCTAGTATCTGGTCTCCTTTAAATTAATACTTCTACTTGCTCCTTCATCCTTTTAGTCTTATTTATCACGTAATTCATAGCAATATAAATGCGAATCCACTTAAACATAATAAACACACTGCTACATTATAATGTATTTTCCTAATATATTACACATTTTCTCTTTTCTTACCTTCCTTTCTTCTTTCCTTCTTTTCTTATTAATATTAGTAATAAAAGCAAACACAGATATAATGTTTACATTATCAGGCACTGTTTTCATTTACATATGTTCCTATTTATGTTTGCCATAGCTTATATGTGTTAACTCATTAATTCTCACAACAGCCCAACAAGGCAGGTAACATTGTTATCCCCATTTTGCAAAAGGAGAAACAGGTTCAAAGAGGTTAGCTTGCCTGAGGTCACACAGCTTACAAGCAGCAGAGTGGGGATTGGTCCCCAGGAGTCCCAGGCCCTCTGTCCCCAACACTGAATTGTCTGCAAATGTGTGGCTCCCTAACCAAACCTGGACAGTCCAGTCTCCTCGCTCATCAGAGATCTCATGGATGTTGGCCTGTTCTCACAGGTTCAATGCAATCTCTTTGTCAACCACTAAAATGTGTATTCACATTCACATATCCCATATATTTGTTTTGCTCCAGGTACATATCCTCGGTTCCTACTGTAAATTTTCATTCCAGTCAGCCCTTAGTTATTAGCTTTGGGACTCTGGAATTAACCTTGGTTCTTTCTTTTTATGTTCTGTATCCTCTCAAATGCACTACAAACTCTTCTCATGACCTCTCCTTGCCAACGCCACCAGTGTCTGTTACTCTAAAGAGCTAATGTGGTCTCTGGAAGGACTGTCCCCTCCCTTCTCCCACAGAGCATTTGGTCAGGAGGCTGGTCGGACCCATGGAAAGCCACAGTGAATGCCCTTCATGAGAGGCTGGTGCCCATCTTCCCACTGATGCTGCTCCCATTGTCCCAGCCTCTTTCTTTTCCAACAGGCTGCTGATTTGTTATTTCCACAACAAGCAGTCACTATGGTTTCAGACATCACCACACGGCATATGTCCCAGTTTCTGTAGGCGGTGCCCAACCCTCTCCAAGATTTCTTAGCTACTGTGGAAGCTAACCAGTCTCTAATAGATTTTCTCTCTCAGTGCCATTACCCTATCAGAGACACCAGCCACAGCCCTTCGGCACATTCTGAAATGATAGGGTCTCCTCTCACACACGGGGAGCTGCCTAACAGATAACCCCTGAGTTCTCCTGCTCATTAACATACAGCAGCATGACCTGGAGACAATAGAACAAGTTTAAAAATTACTTATGATAAACATTCATGTCAAATACAGCCAAGTTTAGTTTAGGAGGCCTTGCATTTTTTTTTTTTTATAGCTGCTCCCTGTTATGGGTGGTAAATGAATTCTTTTAAGTGTATAATTTATGATCTTGCAACAGAGTAGTGAATGAGTAAAAAAAAAAGTCACAATATAGTAAGTTTAGAAAGCAAGTTATGAAAGGATGTCCAAATATGACACCATTAAAAATTAATTATAATTATAATCAGAAAAAGGTTTTCTGTGGTTATCTGGGGGTGAAGATTATAGGTAGCTTAGATTTTTTAGTGTTTTTTCTTTGTTTCTCAAATTATTACCTTTGTAATCAGATTCTTAAAAATTAATATTATCCTATATAATAAAGAGGTAATATGCAAATTGACCCTAGCACCCTTGCACAAGATGGCTGACCCCATGTGATCAAATATGGCCATCCCCATGTGGTCAAAAATGGCCACCACAAGATGGCTGGCAGGGAAGGGTAGTTGTGGATGATAAGGCTTGCAGGAGAGGGCAGTTAGGAGTGACCAGGCCAGCAGGGGAGGGCAGTTAGGGGTGACTGGGCCAGCAGGGGAGGGCAGTTATGAGTGACTGGGACAGCAGGGGAGTAGTTAAGCATCAATCAGGCTGACATGGTTAGGGGGTGATCCGGCTGGCCAGCAGGCAAACAGTTGGGAACCAGCAGTCCCAGATAGTGAGAGGGATGTCCGACTGCTGGTAGTTGGACATCCTCTGAAGGATCCCAGATTGGAGAGGGTGCAGGCTGGGCTGAGGGTCACCCCTGAGTGCATAAATTTCATGAACCAGGCCTCTATTTAAAAAAATAAAAACAATAACAAATAAGTGGGTGGTTTCACCCTAAAGAGACTAGTTTCTAGCATATCCTAGCATTCTTTAGCAGTGAATTATTGTGTTGGGCAATTACTTCAACACACTGGGCTTTTCCCAGTCATCTGCTAACTGAGGGGTGAATTAAAGCCTCCAAGGGACCTTCTGATGCTCAAGTCCTATAATCCTGGGTTTAGAAAAGCTAGAATTGTGAAAGACATTACACCACCCCACAGGGTGGATGTGAGACCTGGAGTCCATCTATTTACTATACAACTATTCCAAGCTTTGGATTATTTTTTTTCATTAGTAAAATGAAAGGCTTGGATCAAACATCCTTACCAGCCTCTGTTCTCCAGATCAAACATTCTGTGGTCCTATGAGTCAGATTGTGGCAGGGAAATGGATAGTGTCTTATCGACAAAAGGTACAGTCTCTTCTCACGCATGTTAGAGAATGAATGTATGGGAGATGTTACTGAAGTCATGTCATTGAAGAATCCTGTTTGAAAATTTTGTTTCTAACCATCCTTAAGTAGGGCAGAGACAAACACAAGCACATATCTGACCTGGAGCAGCGCCTCTCCTCGGTGAAGATTACAGACTTCGGGGCCTATGAATTCCACAGCCTTAAGGTATCTCACCAACTGCATCCTGAGTGACATGGCTTCTTCCCTCGGTTTAGTCACTATTTTGTTGTCTTTGTTCGTATCACAGCAAAGTGCAAGAGGGAAGCCCAGAGCTAGGCTGGGTTGGGTCTGCTTTCTCTAATGGCCAGGGAAACCTCAGGAAGGTCATTTCATCTTAACAAAAACAATGGGTGCCAGAGGCCTGTCCACATGTTAGCAGTGGTTACTCGTTCGCCTCAGGGCCTCAATTTTCGCGTTCAAGAAATAGCTTGCTGTTGAGCTGACCACTTCTAAAAACTTTAAATTTCTCATTTCATGTCATTAATTTCAATGAGCTTTAGCAGGGAAGCCTGGATCAGATCTCCCAATTCTGAGTTTGGGGTTCTTTGAGGGGGTTTTTGCAATAAACTGAAAAAGGCTCATGAAATTCTCAAGCATAATGCAAAACAACATCAATGTGAATCCCTTCTTATTTAAGCTAAAAATAATGCATGTCTTGCATCCCAAAGCCACACAGAGAGAACTGTGGTTTGGGCAGCTGGAGGAGCCACTGCCGAGAGGCATGCTGGGCCTGGGAAGGAAAGCAGGCTTTGGGGGATGCTTGAGTGTTCTTGCCACACTTAGCGCAGGTCAGAGCTAATGGAGAACAGGACAAGTTGGAAATGTTTTGTTCCTTCTTTCCTCCCATGTGCAGGGTAAGACCTGGAACGAAGTCATGGCAACACATCAGAAACTTCCTCCTGATCAATTAGACTTGAGAAAGCAGCAAGAGGCCATGTGGGAACTTTTCACAAGCGAATGCACTTATTTCTTGGACCATTTATTAGTTCTTAAGATGGTAATGCGGGGCTTACTTTTTGTAATAGATGGTAAATATTATTTTGATTTGGGGGGGGGGGAATTTGTTTTCCTCTTTCACATGGAAAACAGAAAGTTGGGGGTGGAGGTCCCCTCTTTTAGGAGATCTTAAAAAATCGTATCTGCTGTTTACTACTTGGTTGTCTCTTCTTTCTTTTCTTAAACATAGTCTGCCAGGATTGGAGGAGGTCTTCTAAGTTAGTCCAGCTCCCCATCTGATATCTGAATCGCCTCTACCTATTCTCACCATGTGCTTACACACCTCACTAGTCAGGGAGCGCAGAGCCATCCTGCAGGCACCCACCCCAGCCCTGGTCAGCTTCCACTTTCCGAGCTCTTGTTCCCCTGAGCAGTGCTGGGAGCATGTGTTGGATCAGTTGCAGGGCCACCGTCACAGATTCCCAGGCAGCCACCCACATGTAACGCAGTGGGGTTGCACGATATGGTATATTCGTAATGTCTACCAGGTAAATGGTGTCCCCGAGGGAGTGCAGGGCTGCAGCCGGATCTGATGAGGTTCTGAGCAAATAATCCTTATAGGAGAACCACAGGGCAAGGATGGCAAGGGAGACATTGCCTTCCAAGAGCACAGGGGAGGAAGAGCCATATTGTTCCCAAGCTTGACTCTGCCATAAATACTTATGAATCCCGCCTACTATCTTGCACAGGAAAAAAAAAACTGTGTAAAAAAGCACCTAGGGAGAACTAACTGCAAGTCCTGGCTCTGTTTCTGACTTGTCATGTGACCTTAGAAAATCCTAGTCCTCCATTTCCTAAACCAGAGATCAGCAAACATTTCCTGTAAAGGTCCTGATTGTAAATACAAGGTGGGGCAATAGTAGGTGTACAGTTGTTCATATAGAAAATAATACAATAATTAATAATAATAATAATAATAATAATAGAATAAACCGTATGTTTCGCATACTCACAACTGGAAACCTACTGTTGCCTCTCCCTGTATGTTGGGCTTTGAAGACTCTGTGGTCTTTATTACAACTCCTTAGCTCTTCCATTGCAGTGCCCAGGAAGCCATGGGTAACTTATAAAGGAATGTGATAGCTGTGCTTTAATCGACATTATTTATGAAAACAGGTAGTAGGCCTGATCTATCCTGCAGGCTGTCATTTGACAATCCTTTTCCTAAGCTCTAAAAGAAGGATAACAATACCATTTCTGTCTGTCTCATGGCATCTCAGCATTGTGACCATCAGATTAGTTTTCTTTGAAATCTATCAAGTGACATACAAATATCACTCATTATTTTCTGCAAAGCATTCTTCTGTCGATAAGTTGATCATTGTTTAGTTTATAGACCCAGGGAAGATTATCTGTGGGGATTGCAATTCTTTCTTGACTTGCTGTAAAATAGCCTCCTACTGTATGAAAGCATCAAATCAAGAAACAATAGCACAGAAGCTCCCTGAATGCTTTCATTCATAGTTAATGCTTTCTCCAAATTCAAGTATCTTACCAGTTACAGATATTAACTCATAAGTTCTCTTTTTGTACTTTCCTGCACTTAAAAGACATTTGGATCTTTTGCAGAGAAAGGTATAAATGAGAATTCAGCTTGAAAGTTGTTTTGGTCTCACATTAGTGCTATTGATAAGAAAGCCTGTGAGATTTCTTGACTCCGGGAGGCAGAGAAAGCCCATCAGAACAGATTGTGTTCAAAAGGAATGTTGTCAGGGCCCATGAATATCAGCAACAACACCGTCATGCAGAAGAGCACATTTCCCATATGTTCCATGCAGCTTAAATGTCACCATTGATATTTAGGAAAATTCTGAAACCTCAAAAATACTGACTTCTAAACTGGTTTGTAAAGTTGTGGTCAGGAGGTATATGTTTGATGCTCTTGAAGAGGGCAAGGTTCAAAACTGAAAAACAGAAGGTAATCTGCATTTCTTTTTTTTTTTTTTTAAGATCTTCATGAATACACTAAAATATCTACAAACCTGCGAATATCTCCTGGATGTGGACTCATGGCGACTTTTTGCAAACCTGGAGGAGTTAAGTCAGGTGAGCCAAAGTAGAAAGACACTGGGAGACATGTTTAGAAATTCACCAAAGGGGCCGTGAAAATGCATGTTTGTTCTACTCTTGTGGCTTGTATGCCACGCTGCAATACAGAATGTGGGTCATTCCCCGGATAGTCTTATGATCAGGAAGTCAGGTTAATAAGAAGGAAATCTAAACATTCAATTGATATCTTGCCAAGAGATCACATATAACAGCCTTCAGTAGCATTTTTCATTTTAACTTGGCTGTTTAAGAAAGTAAACATATTCTCAAGATCTCCTTAACCTTCGTAAATGTTCTCAAATGAATGTCCTTTTCTTATATATTATAAATAAATAATATCTTTCCTCCAAAAGGAAGAGAAGAGAGATTTCAAAAAGAATTTATTTAGATTAAGAAACTTATAAGAAAACGTATATTGAAAAGGAAAATAAATCTGAATCTTGCTGCCAAGAGGTAAATTGTAATGAGAAACAGCTGTAGAATGATATTTGAAGTTCATCAAATATTTATTCCTTCCCTTGGGTGTGTGCCTACTCTTGTTTCCTTTCTCTCTGGCCCTAGACAAGCTTTGGTTTTGTGAGCAGTCTCTTTGCCATCATCAAGGACTACTTCGATGCCCCTGAGACTTCACCACCCATGGATTTCATTTCCGTGCTCTCGAAGGTAAAATCCTTTCGAAAGATCTCAGACTCAGGCTATAACTTCACCCTTCCTCAGGATAGCTATTCACATCTATTGCCTTTTTGTGTTTGTTGTTTCTACAAAGGAACCATCCTTTTCTTTGCCAGCAGACATTTTCCAAAATAACTTGCAAACTCTCTTTTCCCATTGTCACCTCTGCCATATGGGTTTTATTAACACAGAAATGCACACACATGGAAAAGCCATTTCCAAGTCTGTCTCTTAAATGACTCCAGTTTATAGCAGTTTTCATGGCAATAATTTGTGTAGGCCAATTACATGGTTCAGTTGTTCTTCTAACAAAAGTGTCAGTCTTTCAGACAAAAACAAACAAATAAATAAATAGCCCTTTAAACATATCAGCACCCTTAATAGAACCTCTGGTCTGAAAGAAGAAGAAAAGTCTGTGGCCCTGGTTTGTTTAATGCTATTTACTTTTTTTTATTGATACTTTGAGCTTTTTAGTCCAGTTTCTATCTATTCACATTTAGCAAGATTTGACTTCATACAATCCTCTCTGGATTGAGATTTATTGAGCATTCACGAAAGGCTATGTGTGGGGCCAACACCTGTGCACAATAATCTGCAAAACCAGATGTACTCCTGCTTGTTTGCAATCTAGTGGGGGAGAGATTAATTTAAGAGTTACAGTAATAATCATATAATCAAATTGAGATCAATGCTGAGGAAAACAGGAGCACAGGAGCTGTCCTTCATAACACTTGTCCTACGGCAGTGGGCGGGGCAGTTACAGACAGGAAATTCTTCCTGGGGCAGAGATGCCAGAGGAGGAGTATATTAACAAGGCAAAAACACATAGAAAACTAGGTACAAACTAGGGAGATCCTCATGTGAACTTTGAAAAACAGATTTGAATAAGAAAAACTTTGAAAAATAGGAGGAAGAATGTAAAGTGTTGGGAAGTAGCTAAAGTCTTAGGTTCCCTCGATTTATTTAGAGTCAAAAAATTTTTAAATTTAATTTTAAGTAAATAGTCTGGAGAAATGCCAACTTTTCATGAAAACATGTAAGCTGTCTTAGTCTGCTCAGGCGAAAACAAAGTATTACAGACTGGGTGGTTTATAAACAACAAATTTCTTTTACAGAGTTTGGAGGGGGGCAGTCTGAGGTTAGATGAGGATTCCCTTCCAGTCACGACGTCTCATTGCTTCCTACCTGCAGAAGGGGCTAGGGAGGCCTCTGGAGGCTCTTTATAAGAACATTAATCTGACCCATGAGGGCTACTTTGTGAATGAATCATCTCCTGAAGGCCCCATTCCTAATACCATCACTTTGGGGATTAGGATTCAACATATTAATTTGAGAGGGACACAAGCATCCCACCATAGTGTAAGCTCTTATAGCCTCCTAAGCATATTCTTTACTAAAGGTCCATAATTCAGCCCACATATATATGCTTCATGTTACAGGCATGCAAAGGTTGGGTTATGCAAGTGTTTCCTTATGGAAAAGGTCCTTTATCAGTCAGGTTAGATCTGGTTGTATCAGAGTAACCATCCCCAAATCTCAGTAGCTTGGTTCCTCTCTCCCCTGTGCCTACCCCTTCCCTGTCACTGTCCTCTCTCTGGGACCCAGGCTGAGGGAGCAGCAGGGGGATGTTACCCATCTGGGGAGACTGGGCAGAGCGCTCAGACTCTCCAGGTTCTGCCAGAAGCAACACATGGCGGGTCTGTTCACACTTCATCAGCCAAGTTAAGTCACATGGCCACACTCACCTTCAGCAGAGGGGTACCCAGAATCCTCCCCAGGAAGGGAAAGCAGGCGAACAGTAAGAAGCTGCACAGATGGGAGACTGGAGCATTTTGTTGTTCACACATGACTCATGTGAGCAAGTCACTGAAAAGAAAACGGAGGTTTGAGAGATCAGATCATTGGGCCACGGTCACAGAGCTGATGCATTGTAGAACCGGGTCTCGAAGCCTGCCCACACAGGATCGTAACCACTGCCTCCTGGAAATGATGTTTCTCAAGCATCTCCATGAACTTTCTCTCCAAGCTACCAACCCCTCCACCTCCAAAAATAAGTTTACATCATCGTGTTTTCACCTCTGTCTTACAACAAAATACCTGTCTAGGTTTTCGTTATCTCTGCCTTTATTGCTGCCACATCCTTTAGTGACTTTTTAGGCTGGGTCTGTTTTCTCAACTAAATGTAGTTATAACATTGCCAACAGTGTGTCTTCCTTATCTTATTCTACCACATGATGACACTATTACACATTTATCAGTGGGACCCATGACTCATTACATCAATCATATAATAAATCAAAGAGTACATGGATTTAGCAACATGGCAGGCATTGTGAGACCCTGAGGAGAGTGTCTGCCAGTTAAGCTTTGGTGAAGAGAAAAGAATAACTCACTCCCGAGAAAGACACTTACCTGAAACAGGGCACCTTATGTGGGCTGCTCCGTTTGACCATTGCATAAATCTGTACATACACTTAGGAGAGGTCCTCGAATTAGACTCTACAGTTTTAGAAGCCAGCAGGAGAATTACATTTATGGACATTTTTGAGGAAAAGTTGATGAAAATTAAATGTTGTTACGTACTACCAACACAAACCAAACATCAGCCAACATAAGCCCTGAAGTCAACAAAGCATAAACAGAAGCAAAAGGTAAATTAAATCAAGACACCCTAAATAGAATTTTAAGTAGGATGGGAGGGGAGGGGTGATTAATTGAGGCGTTAACTGTGTCTTATGGGAATACTATTGTTTTTAAAGAGTGTTCATTGTGAAGATAACATGTTCCTAGTCACACGGCCGTAGATAATGCTGCCCGCCACCCTTCCCTGTGCCAGTCCGTGATGGCCGCGAAGGGAAAGAGGCCCCCTGCCCGTACTCTCCCTGCTCTTCTCTTGCAGTATTTCCGCGGGAGCCTCTGTCAGAGCCACCAGACCTACTGCCTGAACTACTCAGCTGCCGTCTTTTACCTCGAGAGCCTGAAGCAGAGAGAGGACTTTGGAACTTACTTAAAGGTAAAGTACCATCTTCTTTTCTTTTGTAATTTTCCTGAGACTCTTTGGGCTATAACAGGTCCTAGGAGTTATACCCAAAATAAGTGAGAAGAACAATCAAGGATCAACAATACACTTGAACTACAAATCTGCTTTCCTCATCAACACATTTTTCCACTGCACACCGAGGAGGAGTGTTAAATGGTGCACATCTGGAAACATTGTATCATCTAATGCCCCTCCTAAATTTTTGGCAGGGGGAGCGGGAGAGGCTTACCAATGTCTTATTTGTTCATTGGTGTGTTTGTGAACAGAGTCGGTACATTGTAAGGAGAAAGCTAGGATAAGAATGAGGCTTTGTGACTAGAACTTTGGCTCTTGTAGGATTTGGTCCCAACAAGATTCTGCCGCACACAAGCTTGGAGGAGCACTTCCATTGTATTCTGTGCGAAGGGCGCCCCCTGGAGTGCTTCAGAGGGTACAATGCAGAGGCTGCCCCTGAAATTGTACAACATGGTGGCTATGGACTCCAAAGCACCAGAGCCAAGTATTTCTGCTAAGGACAGTCAGCATTTGCTGATAAGCTGACACGGAAAGAATTGTCCTCGACTTCACCAGTTCCTTTGACCCCTCTTTGGACATTTCTTTAGTATGGACCGTACCTTTCCAGTATTATGCTAGAGCTCTTTTTTATGATCCAGAAAGAATTGTCCAAGCCTTTTCAGAAAACTAGTTCTCCTGGCAGTTACAAAGCCCCCTCGGAGCACAAGCTCAGAGGCCAGGGAGGAAAGGCTGACTGGGTTCCAGGACTTACCTGTGGCCCGACTGTTATCTCTGCCTTTATAGCTGCCACTTCCTTAGCCTGAGTGCTCTGCCCAAGACTCCCTAGACCAGTAACATTCCCCTGCTGCTCCCTCAGCCTGGGCCCCAGAGAGAGGCCTGGGTGCAGTGTGGCTGAGAAAAGAGGATAATCTTGTGGGGGAGACCTGGACTTATTTTTGGTAGCTTCAACCATTCAGTGTTTTCTTGGCTACTCAATAAAAACGGAAAGCTCATTAGCTCTCCAGTTGTCTGAATAACCCTGTCACACAAGTTTTCCCCCCAAGCTGATGATTAGACTCCCAGCCTGGCCCCTAAATTGGAGAAGCCAGTTCCCTGTCTCTGTCTTCCAAGCCAGGGCAGAGGTTAATGGAACAAGGCACAGCCACCATTTTCAACGAGCTGTGGAAAATACCATACCAGTTGTGACATAGAAGGTGGTTTATAATTTTATATGAAATATACACGGCATCCAAAGATAACATCTAATTATAACGCATAATCCTTTACCAGGCACTATCTCAAACAGCTCTTTAAATCCTTGGCATTGAACTTTGACATTGATTACATTGCCCCCATGTGTTCGTGAGGCTCAGAGAGGTTATATGATTTTTTGCAAGGTCATGTGGCCAAATAGGTGAAAAAAATGAACACACACACAACAAAAAACAACAACAACAAACAAACAAACAAAAAACACAAGTGCTCTTTCCACCAAAATTATTTACAGCTTCTCCGGGCTATTTCCCATCACTTGGAAACTGTGAGCATCATGAAACAGGTGAGGGGTCAGGAAGGGGCTGCAGAGGAATTGAAGGTGAACCTGCCTTCCACAGCCACATAGTACAGAACAAAAGCATGTCACAGGAAGTTAATAATAATCTAACCATAATCTAGTAAATATAATGCTTATAAAAAAAACTAGAGGCCCAGAGCATGAAATTCGTGCATGGGTGGGCGGGGAGGAGGTAAGATGCCCCTCAGCCTAGCTTGCACCCTCTCCAATCTGGGACCCCTCGAGAAATGTCCAACTGCCCTGTTAGGCCCGATCCAACTGGGCAGTCGGACATCCCTCTCACAATCCTGATTGCCCCTAACTGCTCCTGCCCGCCAGCCTGATCACCCCCTAACCACTCCCCTGCCAGCCTGATTGATTCCTAACTGCTTCCCTGCCAGCCTGTTTGCCCCCAACTTCCCTCCTCTGCCGGCCTGGTCACCCCTAACTGCCCTCCCCTGCAGGGTTGGTCGCCTCCAACTGCCCTCCCTTGCAGACCTGGTCTCTCAACTGCCCTCCCTTGCAGGCCTGGTTCCTCCTAACTTCCCTCCCCTGCTGGCCATCTTGTGGTGGCCATCTTGTGTCCACATGGGAGCAGGATCTTTGACCACATGGGGGCAGCCATATTGTGTGTTGGAGTGATGGTCAATCTGCATATTACTCTTTTATTAGATAGGATAGAGGCCTAGTGCATGGGTGTGGGCTAGCTGGTTTGCCCTGAAGGGTGTCCCAGATCAGGGTGGGGGTTTCTTTGGGCTGTGGGGTGGCCTTAATGAGGGGCCTGTGGTGGTTTGCAGGCCGGCCACGCCCCCTGGCAACCCAAGCAGAGGCCCTGGTATCTGGAATTTATTTATCTTCTACAATTGAAACTTTGTAGCCTGGAGCAGAGCCAAGCCTTCTGCTTGCTCCATGGCTGCTGCCATTTCTGTTTGGATTTGTTTACCTTCTATAATTGAAACTTTGTAACCTTTAGTGGAGGCATAGGCTGGCAAGGGCAGGCGTTGCCTGGGAAACCCAAGCCTCCCTCCTGCTCTCTGTGGCTGTAGCCATCTTGGTCGGGTTTATTTACATAGTCGCTCTGATTGGCTGGTGGGCGTGGCCTGTGGGTGTGGCAGAGTGGTGGTTAATTTGCATATTATTCTTTTAGTATATAGGATAATTGCAACGAACAGTAAGTAATAATAAAGGGGGCTGGTTTTCAAGCTCTTGCTTCGACCAGCCACTGTTGGTCATCTATGATCTCTTTATCTTCACCAGGGGCAGGGAACCTTTTCTCTGCCAAGGGCCATTTGGATATTGATGACATCCAAAATTATCAACTTAAAAATTATGTTGCTATGAAAAAAGCTCCTAGATTTGTTGAACTTGGAGTCCTTCCTGCGGTTGCCCTGGCAGAGCCAGACCCAATGACACGGCCCGTGGGCCAGATGCTCCCCACTCCTGGTCTACATAGCAGCTCTGTGGAATGCAACAGCATCTCCATTATTCAAGGATTTAGGCAAATTGGGCAACCAGCTGGAACACAGGGTTGTTCAGGGAAGAGACAGGATTTGATTCAGACATGTCTGAAGCTGACCTTCATTCTCCTACTGTGCACTGGCATAAATAACGTCAGTGGAAAACTTAAGCCTGTGTTGTGTCATGGGCTGTCAGAGTGGGGCTATGCATCTCTGGGATGAATGTACCCTCCCTGTTAGGCGGGGCTGGATTTTTGAAGGCCTGTGCAGTATGCTGGTGCACAGTGATGGGAGTAGAGTTCTCCCTTCTCTGTCAGAGACAATCCAAAGCATGCAGAGAAAGAGACCGGCACTTTGTACCAGGGCTCTTCGGGGGATCCTGTTAACAATCACTAAGAACTCTTTGGACTGAGTGTCCGAAAGGTGCCAGCCACTGTTTGAGGCACTTTGCATGGATTCTCAATAAAACCTCTCACCAAGCTGCTGAGGTCATCATTCCTGTTACCCACATTTCACAGATGAGATTTGTAGAGTTTAGGTAAATTTTCCAAAATTCTAAGAATGGCTGCCCCAGCACAGTGTTGCATTCCACCAAGACAGATTTATGAGGAGAATGTTTTTATATGTGTTCCCACATGCCCCTGGGCCTCAGAGAGATGATATGGTTCACCTCAATGGGCCCCTGAATTCCTTTCACTGTTACCCTAAACATATTGGACATTTATTATAAAGCAAAAGCATCCTTCATTGATCTAGGTCTATCCATAAAAAGCCTTTTATGTCCAATCTCTTTTGACAGAGATGTTCTTTTTTCCCTCTAATGGGTCTGAAAATTAAAGCTATTGGATGAAAGAAAATTTTATACCTACTTTTAGAATCATCAAATGTATTTTTTCTCTCTTCTGAGGCTTCTGAAACACTAAAAGCTTCCAATATTCCTGCCTGGATCTTTGTCTCAATTATTTACCACTGGTGCTTCGTGCTGGGCTGGTGTCTGGGGTAAATCGGGTGATTTCACATGTGCTCAGGATGCTGGCAGCCAGAGCTGTTTTCAATGGCGTGGAAATTTGGGGCAGTGGCCCTGGGCTGTGTTTTGAGGAAATACCTAACTGCTTCTCAGAAATCAGTTACGGGAGCTCCCAGATACCAGAGCTGGAATGCTGCTGCCAATGAGACAGGATGGAAGCCAGCCACTGAGACCACAGGCTAAGGTCTCTCCACACCCCTTCTTTCCACCTGTTACCACCGCTGGCTTTCCCACATCTGCCGTTCCTGCTTCCTTCTCCGTCTTTCCCAACATCAGTGAGAATCCCAGCCACTGTGAGCCAGGTGAGAATGAGGGGGTGACCTAGTGCCTCCCACCAACAGGAATCTGAAGCACAGAGAAGGGTCCCTCAGAAAGCCTTGAAGCCTGGCTTCTTGAGCGCCATCCACCCTCCAGCCTCCGGTCTGTGCTCACTTTCCTGGCCTGCCTTCTGCATGTAGGGAATGGAGAAGGTCACGCCCATCAGAATTCCCATGAGGAAGAATCCTGGGTGTTTTCAAAAGAAATACTTTGATGAAGTTCCTGGTGGGAGAGGATGAAACCCCCAAGGATGTATTCAAACTGTGAAAAACAGGTGGAAATTGCCAAGTGTGAGGGTAGGGGAGAAGGGTAGTTGGAGAGGGGAAGAGAGAGGAAGAGCAGCTCTCTCTTTCCAAAGAAGAAAATGGCACCATCAACATAGGTGGGTTATGTATTTGACCCCTCCCCACAATCCAAAGAATTCAGTAAACATGTTCACTCATCAGACATTTGGCACGAATGGGATTACAGCGGAAAACAGCATAGGACACCAACCAGGGGGCTACGTTTGGCATCAGTGGGCACATGCTGTTCAGAGGAGAGAGAGTGTGTGTGTGCCAGCAGGGACCAGAGGAAGCCATTCTAATATCAATCATTCCATAAATCTGTAAATACCTAGAGAGAGCTTTGGACTTGGTGGGGAGTTGAGCCAGCTGCACCTAGATCTCTAAAACGCAAGGGAAGACACCTGGACACAAAGATGTGCAACGCTATGTTTGGGGCAGCAGAGGGAGCCTCCCGCAGTGTGTGCCTAACGCTGGCCCTCAGGGTCTGAGTCGCAGGCAGAGGAGATACCCCAGGCTTGGCTGGAGCCTGGCCTGCAGAGAGCCTAGTGCGAGGCAGGACTCCCTCAGAGCTGAACTCAGGTGTGAGGGTGTAGGGGGAACAAGAGAAGAGGAAGAACACACACCCCGTAGCAATACCTTTTGGTGTACCTAGGGGCACAGCAGCCAGAGACCAGACTCCATGAGTCATGTGTCATCTGCACAAAAGCCAGGCCCCTCAGGTTCAAGTCAGCATCACATTCAAATAAACAACCCAACAGATGAAACACATTTATGAGCCATTCTCATGATTAGTTGCGTCTGTCAAATACCATTTATAGAAATCAACTGTGTAACCCACAGCAGTACTTACTAGAGCTCCTTTCCCTGTCTCCCTGGTGCTTTGCACACCCTGCAGCTGCCTCACAGTCAAACTCTTTCTATTGAAAACTGTGTCTTTATCCCTTCCCCCTCCCTCTCTCCTCTGTAGCATGTAGCTCAATTTAGCCTCCTCAACCTGTATTCATTTTCTCATATTACCCTGATTCCCTTCAAGAAAGAAGAGTCAAGGAACTGATTCAACAAGCAAAAATCCTTCCTTTTCACTCCAACTGTTGATGCTCAATTCTCCTAATTGTGCCTCACAATGAGGAATAGAGCTGGAGGTGTGTGTGTGGGGGGGGGGGGGGGGGACAAAACCAGAAATTTCCTAGAGGGCCAGTGAGAAGGAGACGCAGGGGGGAAGCCGAACTCTTAGGTGAGAAGGGTGAAGGAGACTGGCACATGGACAGTAATACCTCTTATCACTGCCACGGAGGGAACATAAGAAATGTTAAACTTTGCCTGTGCCTCTTCGTCTTGATAAGTTCCCCACTTAGGAGGATAGAGAGGTGATGTTACATTGATGCTGAGTGTGCCTTCTTCACCATCACTGGGAAGGCAAGACAGCCGGAGAAGGATTCTCTCTTCTTTGATCAGAAAGTAACAGTGTTAGTCAGTAATATTCAATAGTCCCTCTCAACCGCATCTAAGAACCTCATTTCAGACTCTGAATTTGCTAGAGACACTTTAATAAGGATTTTCAAAGGCAACGCCTGGTCTGTGGCTTAGAAGCTTTCCCAGCAAGCTCTCGGTCACGTCATGTTGTCACCAAGTGAAAGAGCTGAGAGTGTCTCATGCCCAGGCTTCTCGGGGCTTTGGCAGGAGAAGTGACCTTGTGATTCTGTCTGCGTTCCCTTCCCCAGTGGTGTGAGCAAAATGAACAGTGCAGACGGCTTCGCCTGCCTGAGCTGCTGGTGGCCCCACTGCACCGACTGACCCGGTACCCCTTGCTGCTGAAGAATATCTGGAGAAGGAGTACGGACTCCACTGAGAAAATCATGATCTACTCCATCAAGGAAAAGGTGGAAAAGTCCATCCGTAAGTCCCTGAGACAAAGACCCAGCTCAATGGAAGCTGAATGGAAGGGTTAGCGATGATCTTGGGAATGATCTGAGCTTCATCCTAGAAAGCAGTTCCATTGACTTGAGGTTATGGCTCTGGGAAATCAAACACACACACAACAATGGGTTCCAGGCACATCCTGGCAATCCCTACGAGAACTCCGGCAGAAGTTTACACAGGACGTGGCCGTCTCCAAGGCTTTCTCACGTGTGAGTTCAGGCAGGAAAAGTCCTGCTTCCCATAGTTGAAGGCTTTGTTTTTCGTATCCATGCTGAACCCAAACACAAAGCAAATAGGAATAAACACCACGGGGGCTCTTTCCGGAGGGTAAATTACCATTCATTATTTTTAGGTCACTGAAAGCCAGGGCCAATCTAAAAATAATGCCAACTGCAATCTTTAGAACTGAAATTTGGGGTTGGGGACAGAACAACCCTTTGGTGAGTTAAGTTTATTTGGGTAGCTCTGTATAATTAAGTTCAAATAAAGAAGGTTATGATATATGCCCACAAACCAAGATTTCTTGGGAATGTCAAAAGGGAGTAATTCAAGTTTATGATTATCAGCTGTACAGAAATGAGATATTTCTTTTTTATTCTGCAAGTTTAAAAGTAAAATGACCATGCAATGGGAGTTTTTAATTTTTTGCTCAAATTCTAAAATGACTCGAGGAACTGGAATTAAACATATCAACTGAATAAGACAAAAATGCAATTAAAATAGACTTTAAAACTTTTAAAGTAATTTGAAGATTATTACTCATTTTAATAGCTTTGTGAAGAAGATAATAGCATTTTTTCTGCAGATTTCTCAATAATACATGGATTTTTATTGTTTTGGAAAGAGATTGCTGTGGCCTTCCTTTAAGTCTATGAGCTTAAAGAGGGTGAATTCTCAAGAATTCCCTCAACCATGTGATTCTATTATGGGTCTATGATTTTCCCTCCATGGTACCCCAAATAACTTCAAAGTCTCAATAACAATGTTATTATAAAATGTTGGAAAATTAATACAACCCTTCACAAAAAAAAAAGCTTTTGCCAAAATAAAATAATTATCTTTATCATGAAGCAAATGTATGTTTTATAATTAGGACAAAAATATATGTTGGCCCTTTTTCTCTTCCTCTAATTATAGGCTATGTGGTATAGGGAATAAGAGAAAGCTACCAGGGACTTTACTTATATTATTTAAATAAAAATGCACAATACATCTTACTTTATTAAATTATTTAAATTGTATTTCTCTTTGCAGGATGCTGATTTCAAATTAGTGAAGTTTTCTAAGACATTTAAACTGCACTATGTTAAATGAAATTAAGATATGGTTTGTTCTGGGGGCAGTGTCTCTAAATTATTACTGTACACCTTGGTTAAAATTTATGCTGTAATGTCACGTGAATTTAAAAATATATTGAATGTGCCTTGTCTTTCAGGGGATCTTGATGGAAAAGTGAAGTGGCTTGACAATTTTCAAAAATGTAGACATCTACAGGAGATTATAGTGTGGCCTCCACTTTGGGATAGAGATAAAAGGTTTTTCATTCCAGAGGTACAAAAAGGATCCATTGGAACTTATGTTTGGCATTCCACTAGGAATACACTAGACTTTACTAAGTTCCCACCTGTCCACTTGGATATTAAATCTAGTTTTATGAGCAAGAACTACAGTTTTTACCACGTGGCCTTGTATATGGGGAGGCTGACATCATCACGCCATTCTTGAGGTGTCCTTCTGAGGGGTGTGCTCATTCCTTCCCATCTCAGTGTCCATCTCCCAATATTTCTAAATGTCTTGAACTTTATAGACAGAGAGCACTGCCTGTCCTCTTCCAACCACTAACAACCTCTCTTTGATTTCCTCTCTTGTTTTGCAAGTGCCTGAAACACGTTTTTAAAGAGCACATGGCAGAAAACATCCTGTCACCAACCAGCAGACACCTTCTCTATGAGGGAAAATTAACTCTTGCAGGTAAGTAGCTTCTTTCTTGAAAGACCCAACATCTTTGCTACCGTGTAACTTGTCCAATTGTTGCTAATTGAAGAGTGTCAAGAGTTGTGTTTGCCTGTGCCAAGACCATGGAAGATGTGAGTCAGAGAATAAGCTCTGGCCTCACACACATGTCAGTTTGATCAAAGACTTCACAGCATAACTAGCTGTGTGCCCTTCATTTTCTATCTATAAAATGGGATAACTATTTCATAAGGTGGTTGTTAAATTGGAACACATGAAGAGCTTAACTCAAGGTTGGGAATATAATAAACAAATACTCCACATCAGCTGCTATCACCATTTTACTCCTCCAATGAGCTGGGCAATCATCCCCTCGGTGTTCATTGAGAACCTGCTATGTAATGTGTTGTGCTAGGCAGGATATAAGGAGGATATAAGGTCACTATTCTGTATAATCCTCGTCCTCCAGTTGGGAAGCTCTGCTGTAACGAGCAGACCTGCAGGATAAGTTCAGGAGAGAGAGAGAGAGAGAGAGAGAGAGAGAGAGAGAGAGAGAGAGAGACTGACTGTGGTGCCGGAGTACCCAGGAAGGGCTTTATGTGCTCCATGAGAGTAGAGGTGGGCTTGAGGAAGACAGAAAGGTGGAGGTCAGTGGAAGGACAGGGGGAGGACCTCCCAGATGAACAGCAGAGCAGGAGAAAGGGCTCAGAGGCAGAAGCCACCTGGGAGAAGAGGCTCTGGCGGAGTGGTTAGGAGAGGGGGCCCTGGAGGCTGGCTGCCAGGCCACCTCCCAGCTTGGCCTTTTCTGCCTGTGTTACCTTGGCCCATATACAGGAATCTCCCCGCATTGTCATAAATGAGCTAATGGATGTACAACCACTGAAAAAGGTAGACACAAAATCAGTGCTCAATAAATATTCTCATCAGAAAGGGCTGCCTGACCAAACTAGGATTTGTATTCATGCATTTTTTGTTTCTGCACAAAATCTTGATTGAGCATCTACTGTGTGAGAAGCCCTATGGGATGTGAGGTTGCCTATTTATGGTAGCATGAGATCTGGCGGGGAGTGTCAGGTAATAACTCTGTATTCAATACACAGTTGTTGAGAGTCTGCTATATTTTAGCTCTGCACGTCAGGTTGGAATGTGACCCCTACCTAGCTAGGGATGGTAGACATGCCCGGCATTTTACATCAAAGGACTTCTGCCCTCATTTTCTCCTTCCAGTGAGTTATCAGAAAAGTTACACTTAATCCCAAATTATAGGTGAGAAGTATGAGGCTCAGGAAGGTTCTGTATCATGTTCAAAGTCACCAGGAGGTTAACAACAGAGTTCAGGCTGCCTCAATCAGTGGGCTTCCAGAATCACAACATCTGGCTGGAAGGTGAACAGAAGGATCCAGCCAGGAAATCACCAGTGACAGGTGATAAGCTTAAAAAGGTGCCTGTGAAGGAAGGGTCATCAGAAACAATGCACAGAATGGCATAGAGAAGGAGACCAAAGCAGAGAGACCAGCCTGGAAACTCCGCAGTGAAGCTGGGTGAGGCAAGATGACCCAGAGCCTGTGTTTCCCAACCACTCTTCACCTGTACCGGGGGTGGGGGACGTCTGGCCTTCGGGCCACATAAGGCCTGCAAAATCATTTGGTCAGGCTCTGCCCAGCATTAGGGAGGTGAGTTAATTAAATGTTTGACCAAACATAGCAGACTAATTTTTAAGTTGATAATTTTATATTTTATATGGCCACAGATAATTATAAATATGGAAATGGCCTTCGGCAGAAAAAAAAGGTCCCCTACCCTGCTAGATCACCACCCTTCCACTTCCATTTGGAAAGATAATGATTTTACATTGTCCTTGATGTTATTTACAATTTTAAAATGTATATATCGTGACAAAATCAAATCAAAATAATGAAGCAAAGCACACCTCTCTGTTCAAATATATGCCTTGCACTCCAAAATTGGCCTCCACCTGGAATTATTAGAAGTTTTAATCCCCTCTATCTACCAACTTCCCAACACGGGGAGATGTGCTGGCACATCCTAAAATGTTAGACATGGGCCTGGATAGAAAAGGATAAACGTGAGAGATATTTCAGAGGCAAAAATAGGAGGACTTTAAGACTGGCAAAATGGCCAAAGAGGAAATGAGTCAGTGCTTTCCAGTGTTGTACCTGAAAGTTTGGTTGACCATACTGAGGGAGGCAGAGGGAGGGGGTCAGGGAGGCAGTCTTAGGGGTCAGGTGTGGGCAGGATGAGAAGCCACATGGAAGTTGGGTGAACAAGCCAATGACCGACTCTGGTGAAAAGCTATGTTAGATGCACATCCACAGGTCACGTGGCTTTGGGGTGCTTGTGGGTGGGAGACTGACCTACGAAGGAGTCTTTACAAAAAGACCCAACTTTTCAGAAAAAGTTTCTTGTAGAGTCAAATGTGGTAAATGAATATGAACCTCATCAACATCACTAACTCCAGACACTTGCTTACTGCCATGTGCTGTGTGGCTCAGATGGCACTAGAGAGGAGGCAGCATCAAGTTTAAAGTCACGGGAACATGGACCCAGAGTTGGCGTGGAGATATGGTGGGGGTGGGGTGCTAATGTTTGAAGAAATGAGACATCATTTTGAATGAATAAAGCATTAGACCAAGAATGATGATACCTAACCCATACATTTTGTTTCCAAATTTATTTCAGCTTTAAAAACTGTACTAGTCTAACCAAATAAGTGTATTTTCTCATTCCCAGAAAATACAAGTTTTTATAACTTCAAGCATCACCAATTTCTCATTGGAAGCCATGCCAGAATACCGTTGGCAAATGTGTTGCTCCACACAGATTGGCATTTCTAAATAGGAAAGTGAGTAAGGTGCAGACGGATAGGATGGCCTGACATCTGTGACACTCAGAGAACACATGCTGTTCAAGCTGCTGCAGCTCGGAGTGAGGCAGGAACCAGCTCCTTTCTGAGCAGTGCGATGAAGCCCCCGCCCGGACTCCATGAGGAAAAATAAAGACGTTTCAGACCTGGCTGTGCAGCACTTAGCTAAACAGAATCTCAGACTCGCAGTACTCATGCGTTACATCTCATGAAACCACTTGGTCAAGGTGTTTCACTGGCTATAATAGCTTCCAGCTGCCTGGTGAAAAATGTGAACAGCCTGATTTTTTGCTTACAGTCTTCCTCCTTAACCATCTCCTTTTGCCTGACCATGTCTACTGGTTAGCACTACCCATTTATGAATGTATCTTATCTTAAATCTTGTTTACATGTTCGTTACGTGTCTGCTTTCCATAGGATTAAAGCCTCTTGGAGGCAGAGTCTTCTTAATCATTGGCACAGGGTGGGGAGTCAGCATCTGTTGACTACTTGGTGGGACCACAAGGGATTCAATAAATAGCTAAAAAAATCATCAGTTCCTAGAATATTTTGTAGGACATAGAAGATGCTTTGCAGCTTGTTTGTTAAAATAAAATAATTAAAATTAGCAGAAAATAAAACTATTTCATTTTGACAATAATCATCAACCTAATCTATATCTGAATGGCACAGAATGGGGAAAACAGCATTTAATCTTCCCAAAGGTCTAATGTTGTCCAATGCCTCATTACTAGTGCCATGTCTGTATTAATTAAGATGTTGGTTCAGCCGTTGGAGACAGAGAGAACCATCGCTTCAAAAGACAAGTCTACTTCTCTGGCGTGTAAAACTGGGAGCTGTGTGACAGCTCTCCTCCACGGTGCCATTAGGGACCCAGGTTTCTTCTGCCTTTTTGCTCTGCCATCCCGGGGTGCTGCTTTCTTCCGTGTGGTCCCCGAGGAGTCACAGGGTGTCTAGCCGGTGTCTAGCCGGTGGGAAGGAGAAAAGGACAGGAGAGCAAAGCCCAGCTGTTTAAGGGAATGAATCACAAGTTGCACACTTTTGCTCATATTCCATTGGTCGGCGGAATGTAGTCACTTGGCCATATTTAGCTTCAAGGGAAGCTGGGAGATGGAGTATTTATTTGCAGGGAATATGTTCCCATTAAAACTCAGAAATTGCATTACTACAAAAGAAGGGAAATGTTTTGTTTTGTTTTGTTTTTTTTAGGGACAATCAGCAGTTTTTGCCATAGGCTGATTTGGAAAAAAAAAAAAAAAAAAAGTCTCTAGTAGTGATGGAATACAATGTTTTTAAAATATTTAAGGATTGAATAAAATATTTATTAAAATATTTAAGGTTGAATAAAAGGTCTAATTTCTTTTCTATGCAATATGGAAAGAATCTTTACTTCAGACTTAAAGAAGTGGAGGAAATAGAAATGAAACCTAAGTATTTTGTCTACTAATTTAATCTTAGTCCCCTAGTTTTCAGGGATAAAACTATATGAAAAAGAACTTCTAAAATAATATAAATGAACAAAGTAAATAGAACAATGAAAAATATTTACTTATTTTAAAAATATTTACTTTACGTATCTGTCACATCCCCCTCTGGACAGACTGTGTTTTCCTCTGCAGTCACTTAAATTTAACTATTTCTCCTGCTAATTTCTATGTGATAACGTTAGAGAAGGGGATACCCTATTCTAACATTTGATTTCTTTTCTACCACTGGCCCTTGCCTAGAGAAAAGTAGAAAAGCCTAATTGCCTTAAGTTACTATCAAAAGTCATATCAAAAATGTTTGTAAATATAAAGCTATGTGAAGAATATTTGAACCTGTAAGTTTTGCAAAAAAAGTAGTTGTAATGATTGCCTTAGTCAGCTTTAATCGCCATAACAAAGCACCATACCCTGGGGGTTTAAGCAACAGAAATTCATTGCTCACAGTTCTAGAGGCTGATGGTCCAAGGGCAAGTTGCCAGCCTCATTGGCTTTCTGGTGAGGCTCTGCCAGGACCCCTCCTTCTCCAGGCCCACACAATGGCTCTCTCTAGTCTCTCCTCTTATGACACTAATCCATCTGCATTAGGGCTCCACCTCAAGTCCTCATTTATTTTCATTTCCTCATTCCCCAAACACCCACACTGGGAACTTAGGACTTAATCATATGAATTGGGGGAGGGGGCACAATTTAGTCCACAGCAAGGACAAAATGCCCTTTTTGGGGTAATGCTTACCTTTGCCAATGGCCACCCAGATGAGTCAAGAGGCAAAAATGCTGTAAGTTTAATGAACTGAGAGATGTTTTTTTAGCTTTCTTTGAAACCATTACAATCATCATCCAAGTTATCTTAGGTCCATGTGACACACATCACAAATACAATGTCTTTAGAGCTGTGAGCTTGAGCTCATGCCATGTCTCTGCTTTAAGGAAGAAATCGTTCAGTGTCCTTGCAGGTTTCTGATCCAGGTGAGCTGATGCCCCAAACTTCTGGCCTGGTGTGCCAGGAAGCCCTGCTCGATTTGTCTCCTAAGGAATTCTTCGGTTTAAGTAAACAGAAATCCTTCTACTTACAATTTCCAACCCCAGTTTCACTTTCTTTCTCTCCCCAGAAAGTACCAGATTCCTAGATGTTTATCTGTTTCTCTTTGATGATTTCCTCTTAGTTACGAAAACTAAGCGCAACAAAAAGGTAAACTGCTTTTTCTTAATAAGTCTGCTAAATATGTTCAGAAATATTTCTAAATATTATAAGTTGTGTTAAAAATACAAAATGTTTTCATACATCAAATTGGGATTCACCCTCTAAAAATGGAAATATTACAAAATATTGGCATTTTGTCAATAACAAAAGTGAGTTACATTTCTTAAGGATGTCAAAGGATGTGTACATTTTTAGCATATCTTGGTCTATATTTTTTTAGGGTAAGTCCCAGAGGCCACAGGACTATTCCTGGCCTGCCTGATCAAATGCAACCCAATGCTTTTGTCCACATTGGCCCTTTCCCCTCACCCAAATTACCCAAATTGTTTCCAGTGAATGCTGCTGGGGTGGGGGAAAGGGGGTGCTCTCTAAACTGCCATGTGCTGAGGTGTTATCCATCACTCCTTCTGATGTAAAAGCTCAAATCCTTCCTGGAAAATAGTGATTTGGGGGCTGAGAATAGGAGGGAATCCTGCTCTCTCAGTAACTACCTGGATATAAAATTGACAATTGCAGAAGCCAGACAAATGTATAGTTGGCATCACAGACAAAATGAGCCAACTCAAGGTTAGAGCCATTAAATCTCTTCTGAAAACAGGGATTTTCCCCATTACTTAAGTATTGTGGCCCCTATTATTGTTGTTACTAATTAAGGCATGAGTGTCATGGTCTACTAAAGGCTCCCATTTTCCAGTCTGTCCCCTGAATGGCGTGAGTGATATTATGAAGGGGACCTCCTCTGAGGCACTCAAACACTTGTTCTTAGTTGTAAGCCATCAGAGACATCTAATTCACCCACTTCTGAGTGAACAAATTATTATGATATTTGAATGCATAATAATCTGGCCAGTCATTGTATATCCTGTATAATAAAAGGCTAATATGCAAATTGTCCCCTCAACCAAGAGTTCAACCAGCAGACAGGCTGGCCAACCGCCCATGTCCTAGCCAGGCTGGCTGGACCCCACCCATGCACGAATTCATGCACCGGGCCTCTAATATGTATATATGTGTGTGTGTGTGTGTGTGTGCGTGTATACACACACACACACACACACACACACACACACACACACACTCTGAGTGGCCAGATTATTATGCATTCAGAGGTCATAATAATCTGGCCACTCAGTGTATATATTGATTTCAGAAAGGAAGGTAAAGGGTGAGAGAGATAGAAACATCAATGATGAGAGAAGGTCACTGATGACTGCCTCCTGCACACCTCACACTGGGGATTGAACCCATAACCCAGGCATGTGCCCTGACCAGAAATCGAACCATAAACTCTGGTTCATGGATCTACACTCAACCACTGAGCCACACTGGTTGGGCCCACCCACTTCTTTACCAGAGTACTAGCCTTACACACACATAAGATCATGAGACTAGATATCTCAAATCTTTTAAGAATCTAAGCTTCTAGATGATATGTTGGTTAGTTCAGCTCAATAATTTAAGGATCTTTAAGCACTAAAATAGACACCCATTGATCAATCTATAAATATGTGAATGGTCATTGAGGATGAAATGGATATTTGAGAATATTAAAAATCACAGTTTTGAGACTTAGGTGGCCTTCTCTTGTAAGCTTCCCAGGCAGCCATGTCTGAACAAGTCAAACTCTGAAAAATCTCTATGGCCTTTAAAAATCTCAACACTAAACACAGCCTACCTTCATATCAAATAATGACTCAAATCTGAGTACATGAGCTCATGGCAGCCTATATTGATTTACTATAAGGTAATACTCTGGTTTCATGCTTTATAACTTGATCCCCAAATAAGGAATGTTATGTGCTTTAAATTCCTCTGCTTAATAAATCTGGAAAGTTTTATTGACTTCATAGGTGCAAAGATAATCACCCAGAGAAGACACTGAGTTTTACTTAAAAAAAAATGTTTTTAAAATTCCTCATTGCAATTAAATGAACAATATATGTCATGCAAATCACAATCTTTGACACCCTTTAAAAATTCAACATCTTATGTATTCAAAACAATTTCAATTATTTACAAATTATAGAAGGTGGACTCTACTTAGAATTAGTATTAGATCTCAGAGACAGATTTGGCCAAAATGAGGCTCCCCTTTCTCATTCACGTAACTCAATGCTTGCGAGAGATACTGTAAATGAAGCGCTTTCCCATTGATGTAATGGTGATGAAAATGTTTCCCAGTTGTAGATGTCACACATAATCTACTCAGGAAGTTAAATTTGAGTATCAGAAACACTATGCTGCCAATCACTATGTACTTTGGAGAAATGTTTTTCAAGATCCAGGAAGAATGATAAGCTGGATTTCAAGCAGTTGTTTCTTAAAATCAATTTAGGGATGTATACCAATACTCATTTTCTCTTTACTACATTATTTTCCAATTCAATTTCAGAAAGTTGGAGGCTTGGACACAGGTGTAATGTGTCCTTCACTTACTCCTGAGCTGCAAACAGTAATAAAAGAGGGTGGTTCGTGTAAAGTACTCGATCAGCCCATTCCACTCGATAGATTGGTAGTCAAAAGTATTGATGCACTCCACGTGTCAGGTAAGTATCCTTTTTCATCATTAATCTGCTTCCATCCAAGAGTTTTATATTGGCCTTTATTGGAAACAGCACATAAACCAATTAAGTCTTCATAAAAGAAAATGCTGACTTCCTATGTGGCTGTACAAATTAGTTATGGAAAGAATGTTGGACTTGGTCTCCAATGCTTTCATGTCCCAGCTCTGCCACTGCTAGCTGTGTGATTGTAGGCAAAGAACTTAAATCTTCTGTGCCACAGATTCATATTGGTAAACAGGGATAATAATATCTATGTCAGTGGGTTGTTATGAGAATTTCATGAAACAATGCATAGAAAGCACTTAATGACTGATGGCTATTTTTAGTCTTGTTATATTATCATTATTAGTACTCACTGGCACACCACAACACACTATGCAAGCCTAAGATATTCTACTACAATAACTATGTAGAAAGAAATATTCAAGAAATAATATGTATACATTTGCAGGTATACATATATATATATATATACATGTCATGTGTGTAGGTATATAATCTTTATTTTTCAAGCATTTCCTCAGGGTCTACTGAGACCAGGCACTGTATGAGTGCCCTAGAGTTATAAACAGCCCACTCTTGGGGCAGCTCTCAGAACAATGAGAGATCAGTAAATCCCATCAGGAAGGCCCTGACACTCAAGGGACTCACAGGACATTTCAGACTCTTGAGAGAGAGAGAGAGAGAGAGAGAGAGAGGGAGAGAGGGAGAGAGAGAGAGAGAACAGCACAGTGCCCAATGCAAAGTGCTAATAAATGGTATCAATTATTATATTCATTATGTATTACTAGAGGCCCAGTGCATGAATCCGTGCACCTTGAAAGGAAGGGAAGAGGGGGCCATGCAAGGCTGCAATGGGCACAAGGGTGGATCTCAGCCCATCCTCCATGTCCCCTCCTGGCCCCTCCCATCACAGTCCCAGGTCCCCTGTCTGCTGGGTGCAAGCAGTGGTTCTGGTGCCGGCTATGGGTGCAAGTGGGGCTGGCACTGGCAGTGAGTGTAAGCACCAGGCAGGACCACGATGTGCAGGAGCAAAGAATTTGAGTAAGCACCAGAGGCTCACCCCAGTGACAGCGACTGGTGCCCTGCCTTGGGTCTGGCACCCCCACTCACCTGCTCCACCATTTCACCACAGCCAGTGCCCACCATGCTCCACACACACACCCTGATTGTCAGCACACATCACAGCAACCCATTGTCCAGTTGTTCAGATGTTCCCGTTGTTCTGCTGTTCATTCTATTTGTATATCAGCCTTTTATTATATAGCATTATATTAGCATTTAGGGGAAAAGAGAGTTACTACTGACCACATTCTATCTTCTCATTTTCTTTTACAAGCCCACCCATACCAGGTCCTTTTGTTTCTAAAGTCCCTTGTACCCAGGTTGCAAACCAAACAAATGAGGAACACTTTTTTTGTATCAGCACTACAGTTACAAGTTTTGAGGAAAAACAGATTCCAGGAGCTAGCTAAGAAAAGCCACCTGCTCTTCAAAGCCTCACTTGCTACAGGGAATTTATAAGGGAGTAAAGCAAACACAGCCAAATCCCTCCCTCCCCCCAGGAAGTCATTTTAATAAGTTTAAGCCCTCTCTTCTCAAATAAACTGGACAGAATTCCATGACATCAACAGATATTGTGCTAGAATTTCAGAAATATGAGGTTTGTTTAGACAGTTGTGACTATAATTTGTAATACTGGAATAGTTCTTGCAAGTAAGAAAACAAAAGTTTTGCATTTGCTTTGATTCTTAAGTGAGGCCCAATCAGCTTCAATGAGACTGAGTTAAATCCACAGCCTCCAATAGAAATGATGGTGGACAAGCAGCAGCTTAGTGATGAGACAGGAATAAAGCACTCTTCTAGAATCTTTCTACATACTTGATACAACCAGAAGCACCCTGCTTTGATTTGTTTGTTTCTAAGCATTAATCAACTGTAGAAAGGATGTATAGGAGCAGAATTTTATTGTGTTGTATTAATAATTCAACAAAGAAGCTTTTAAGAACATATACATATACATATACATATACATATACATATACATATACATATACAAAGGCTAAGCACAATCGCATCTGAAACAATTGAACAGATGACCAACAGGCTGTGTGGGGCAACCAGGCTGGCAGGGGGATCAGTAAGGGATGACCAAACGACTGAGCAGCAGATTTCATGGGGAGACCAAGCCGGCAGGGAGGTTAGTGAGGGGCAACCAAATGACTGAGAAGCAGGCTGCGTGGAGTTATCAGGCCCACGGTGGCGGAGAGGGGGGAGAGCGGGGGGGAGGGTAGTTGAGGGCGACTAGATTGGCAGAGGTGGCAGCCAGGGGTAACCAGGCCAGCAGAGGGGGCAGTGAGAGTGACCAGGTTGTGGGGGGAGGGGTGCAGTTGGGGGTGACTACTTCTGTAGAGGGTGACCAGGCCAGCAGGGGGAGCAGTTAAGTGTGATCAGGCAGGCAAGCAGGTAAGCAGTTAAGAGCCAGTGGTCTCAGATTGTGAGAGGGATGTCCGACTGCCGGGTTTCCACCCCAATCCTGTGGATTGGGCCTAAACCTGCTGGGTTTATATAATGACATCCCCTGAGGGGTCCTAGATTGGAGAGGGTGCAGGCTGGGGCTGAGGGGACTTCCCCTGCCACCATGCAGGAATTTCATATACTTTGGTGGATGTTGGATTTTGAGTCTTTATTTTTGTATTTTCTTACCCTGTTGTGAAGCATTTAAGTGGTTTTATATTTCTGCTACTTCTCAATTTGTTTATAACATTGTTTTGATGTGGCTTTCTTTTAAATACAAAAGTAAATAAAACATTTTAGTAAGGGGTTTAAAAAGAAACAACCATCCCATTGTTTTCCATATTTTTATTATCTATATGTTATATATACAAAATCCACCTAACATGCTAAGCTTCTTCCTTGAGTAAGAGCCCACTTTCCATCACATGCCATAATCGCATTTCATCAAGCCCTGGAAGTTGTTAAGGAAGAAAGGGTTTCCTTATTCAAGTGAGCTCCATTTGGACATAGTAGTAAAGTCTTGGTTTTGAAATCAGACTTTTTTTTTTTTTGGTAACTTACAAATATTTCCCACCTTCATTAAAACAAACAAAAAAACAACCCTCTAAGTTTTTGGAGAGCTAAGACACTAATGGGATTTCATATTAAATGATTTGGCTTTTTGTCTTTGGATCTTTTTCTAGTCTTTGGATTGAGAAATGCCTTCCTTATTCAACATGAAAGCCGATATCGACAGTGTATAGCAGCATTCTTATTACAAGCCCAAACAGAGACCATCAAAGTATGTATTTTAATTTTGTTGGCTTTGATTCTTTAAACTTGATGGAAGGAAAAATCTCACTCCAAGTCTTAGTAAGTAAAGGTGAATGGGAAGTTCTATGTATTTCCCTCACCTGCTTTGGAAAGGACAGACATTGGGAGGTGAGGAGGAATAGGGACATCTAGTCCACATCATATTCAGAAATCTCAAGGTGACAATCCCCACCCACTCACAGAGTTGACACAGCCCCTTTCATTTCTCCTGTGGCAAAAAGCTCCAGAAGGACTTCTGATTAGTTTCCATATGAAATGGAGGAGGGCTGCTTTGGATTGTATGACTGGCTTTTAAGATGCTCTAAACAGTTTCCCAAGTCTCGCAAATAATGTGATGTCAACTTAAGTGAGGGGCTGCTGCAGCAATGAACCATGACTAGAAGTCTACTCTTCAACCTTTGAAAATAATGCCTCTGTTTTGCAGCAATGCAGTTGAAGATAGGCTGCCTGACTATGGTTCCTCTATTTTAGAAGTTTCCATTTTTTAAATCTTTCTTCTGATAGGCTTTCATCACCCTAAAAGGGGGGCCAGACAATGAATGCAATATTGCATTCTCCTTAAGGACTCAGTTTCCTGAGTCATCTCCCTCAATCTGTTTTTCAAATTATAACATTAAAGAACTTCTATTTCCAGACAAAACAGAAATTTAATGTTCAAACTATTTATATTCTAGTCATAATTGATTCTTATGGTTCTTTGATTACCCATGACTATCCCACTTGCATAACATACTCATTTAATCCACTTTCATGTTCATACATAAAGATATTGATGATATATTAGATGTAAGAAAGAAAATGGGAAACATGCAAGTGTTTCATTAGTTCTCAGTTTTAAAGAGCAAGTCAATAAATACAAAGCAAAAGATTAATCGAAGTGTGAAAAAATTGTCAGGTTAACATTCTTCTCTTTCCCCCTTTTCTCCCTTTACCCCGCACCCCATGTGTGTGTGTGTGTGTATGTTTCTGTGTTGTTTTTGTTTTATAGAAAACATGGATGGCACAAATAACAGCAGCAATCTCTTGCTTCACCAAGAGTCAGGAAACAAAGAAAATACCTTTCTTCATGCCATCCACAGAATCCTCTGAAATTTAGGGACCTAAAATTAATCTTTTTAGAAATGAGAGATAAAGGTATTCTTTCAGACTTTTGTAACAGTGATGAGCTAGAAGAAAACATGCCTTTTAAAGGAGTTCCAGGATTTGAGTGAAGAAAATCCTCAGTACAAAAGAATGACTGCAACAAATTTGAATTCTGGGGAATTTCTTGTCAAGTCTATACTGATATCCAGACTTCCTTAAAATGCTTCAAACTTATAAGAGGTGTGAGTGAAGTGTGATGCTGTTATAATTTGTAAAGAGTGAATGATTAGATGAACAAAGTGGCAGGAGGAAAATGTTTGAGTCCAATATGAATTCTAGCATCTTTGTGTATATCTATAATGAAACCAACCTCACTTACTGCTTTATAATACTGTCTCACACTCAGATCATTCTTTTGACATAAAGTTTGTTTTTTTAATATATTAAGTGATAAATAAGGTCCTCATTTTAATAGCAGTTTTTAAATTCCAGTTCTCCAACAGTTCACTTATCTCAGGTATATTTCATAATATTCTAACTTGGAATTAGAAAATCCCAAAGACTAAACTCCATTATTAAAAATAAAATATCTGTTTCAGTTTTACATGTGAACACTTTTACATGGGAAATTGTCTTAGAAATAGTAAAAGTATCTTTCTCTAAACCTCATTTTTTAAAGAATGGTTTGTCATAAAATTATTTTCTGGTTTTGAGGATGGGGTTGTGTGTTTTACCATAGTACAGCCACCTAATTTTACTTAGCAGGACTTGAAATTTCATTAAATTTTTATTTAAAAAGGCATCTTGAATTATTTTATTATTATATGGTTTGATTATATCAAATAGAAATCCACAAATTTCAACTTCAACCATAGTATCTTGTGCAATTTCCAAAACGGAAGTAGTAAATTTATCAAGACAGGATACCTTAACTGACCTCTTCAAGTTGGAGAATCGGACAAAGAGGATGAGGCGAAGGGAAGTCAATGTGTACAGTTAATGCTTTGAAGAAAAGGCAAATTTCACCAAACAGCTTCCTGTTTGTATAGACAAGTGTTGCACAAAGGTTCTTGTGCACAGACCAAGCATATTGCAATGGAGGGTCATCGTCTTTGTGTAATAATGTCAGAAATTTGGAGGAGTAAGTGAAAATAAAAGGAAAATATGAAAAGCAATAACTAAAGTTAAAGACTAAAAATAAATGAGAGGAAGAATAGACTTCAAGTGAATTCCTGGAGATGGGACCTAGATGACATTGAAAGCAAATTATATTCAGGACAATACTGACTTATGCAAGAAAAGACTTAGGAAAAGAATATATGTGTATTAGAAAAAATTAACAATCATCTTACAGAGATTTTCAGATATAAGCTGACTTTGGAGGGCAATGGACTAGAATTAGGCACTCTCAAGATTCCTTTAGTCCCATGATTCCAGTAACCATGTATAAAAAACTAGTTTCTTCTTAAAATTTCATTAAAGGAGACTGACTAAATTAACATCAAGAATGTAAAATAGCTAAAGAATATGCTATATATAAGAGCCAACATGTGAGAAAAAACTTTAATGTCCACTGACAGATTAATGGATAAAGAAAATGTGGTATATATGTATAGAATGGAATACTATTCAGCTTTCAAAAAGAAGGAAATTCAGCAATATGCAACAACTTGGATGAATCTTAAAGACATCATGCTAAGTGAAGTAAGCCAGTCACAGAAAGACAAATATTGTATGATTCTACTTGTATGAGGTATTTAATAGTCAACTTTCTATAATCAAAGCATGAAATAGTGGTTGCCAGTGAGAGAGGGAAATGGGCAGTTACTAATCAATGGACTTAAAGTTTCAGTTAAGCAAGATGAGTAAGCTCTAGAGATCTACAATACACTTAAAAAGAGGTCATAAGAGTAGATCTCATTTAAAATTTAAAAAAAGAAATGCTATATATGTAAACTGGAATTCTATAAAGCTCACAAAAGAACATGTCTAATATGTAATATAGTAAGTGCTTGAGGGTATACACAGTGTACTCTTCAGAAGGAAGCATATTAGAATAAAATGGAGGGGGAAAAAACATTTCTGGAACTTTGGTTCCAGGGGAAGGTGGGCAGTAAAAAACAATGCTATTTTGAGCCTTCATTAAGAGTATCTTTAAAAGGACACATGGGTATTAAATTAAATATACAACAAAAGAAAGATTAATATTCTTTAGTATTTTTTTTAGTCTTGCTAAATTTCACAATGAATGGAATGAAAAGGGAATGTCTGAAGCAAAATGACATCAGTAATTTTTCTTGAAATTATTAATTATTATTCTAAGTTGAATATTAAAGTATACTCACTGTCTATATCCAAGAGCAAAGTTCTAATATTCTGTAAATAAATTAAATTCTAACATTCTGCAAATGGGTAATATCTTGTCCTTTTTTAAAAACTGACAAAATTATTTGTAGCCACAGAATGCATTTACTAGAAAGAAATGTTTTAATATCATCTTTAACATATTAAAAAAACAAAAGCAACAATTCAATAAGGATCCTTCCATTGATCTTTATACAGATTTAAATGCTGTCATGTAATTTATCAGTTGCATTTATAATCAATAACCTTCAATCACTGAGTTTAGAAATTACAGTATTTTTTGCTAAACTCTCTCACAAATAAGGCACAACAACATGATCACAAGTAGTAAACACAATACAAATAATGAATCCAAAAACTTAACAAGAGAATGCTCATGCAAAAGTGTCTACAGAGGATATGAATATATGATCCAGTTCAAAGAACTACAGAATGTCATATACATAACTGTATCATGTTACAATAATTCATTATTCCTATACTGGAAGAACTTCACTATTTCCAATTCTATCTTACACAATTTTACATAAATTTAGTAAGTTTATGCACAATATTCACATCTGCAACAATAACAAATTGTTAAAACTCAGGCAAAGGGAAATTAAGACACACTAATGTGTGGCATATTATAATTACAGAATACCATTCATCACACTCATGTCTAGGAATACTAAATTGACGGCACATTTAAATCTTAGAGAACAAGTCATCCATGGTTTTATAGCCAAAGTGCATTAAAAAAACTTCTATAGTCAATAGATCATGAATATCAAAATATATGATCATAATTTGCTCTCCACTTAAAAGCTAAACACTTTTATGCAAATAAAGGTTTAAAAAAAGTGAATTTAAAGTTTCCAAACTATAAAATAACCATAAAGCCTTTTAAAGAGAGATGGGAAACAAATTTGGCAGTTACTATTTAACATTACTATGAGGAAACTATTAAACTAGCAAATTCCACATTAAGAGGTAGTTGAACAAAATGTTATTTGTACACTGCTTTGAGGTTTTTGTGTTTGTTTCCCTCTTTATTTTCTCAAAATGAACAAATCCCATATGAGCAGCTTTGTCTTCTATTTTTAAAAAATCCATATAGTTTACTATCCACTAGCCCAGCAAGACTTGATTTTAGCTCAGTTTTCTGCGCTGCAGTTTGAAATTTACTAACACATGATGCTAATATGCTTTGCATTAGAGCTGAGAGCTGGGCCTCCACATACACTCTAACTTACTGATGAATAGTACCAGCAGACATAAAAAATGTAGAGCCAATAAGGATTTAGATTTTTTAATTAAAAAAAAGAAAACCCTTTAATTTTTGTTTTCAAGCATCTTAAATGGGTGACAGTTAACAACAAAAATACTTTAATTTCTAATATTATTAGTACAATAACCAATGTTAATTATTCAGGAACTATGAAATGAGATTCGCTAGATGAAAACTAGAAAATCATTCAAACACAATTTTATTTGTTGTCCCCACAATGTTTTTTATTTATTTTTGCGTGAATATGTGGGTAGGATAATAAGGGAAAAAATCTTTAATGCACCTAATTAGATGAAGTAAACAAATATTCTAATCCAGAAGAATTCTCATGAAGTTTTATTATCTTAAAAAAATAAACAGTGGTGCTGTGAACATCTATTTTCTATCCACATTTATTAACTCCCTTATATGTAAAAGTATAGAATTAATACTATTTGAAAGGATTTATAAGTATGTAAAAATACATAAATAATTTCAGCTCAATTTATATTATCCAACTATTATTTTTAATAAGAGTCATCATATTTTTTCATTATATATGCTAAAGGTTATATGTTTATCCAAGATCAGAGCTTCAATCAGAATCTTTAATAGCATGTGGCAATCTCTTAGTTTATATATATTGTTGGTATAGTATAAACGTAAGTTCATTTCATTTCAGTATGATATTTGAAAGCAAATATATATTATAAACTACTTATTGTAAATAAAATATTAACTCCCATCTTTCCTATTACTACCAAATAATTGCACTGAAATTATTTTTACATTTCTTCTCTAGAAAGAGTAATAAACCATTATTACTGACTTTCCTCTTCAGATGTTTTCCAATTTTTCAAATTAATAGGACTTAATAATTTAAAGTTCAATTACATTGTTCAGCATACAAATAAGCTAATTTTTAATTATCCTTAATTAGCCATTCTGTTTTAATTCTGATGGCAACTTTGGGATTCCTAAATACATTTGTTTCTAATGAAGCTCTACTCTCCACCTATCACTTCAGGGTAATTTCACAGCATTATTTTTGCAAAGTAAAAAGATTTACCAGTTGATATGGAACCCAAATTTGAAACCATTTAAAATTTAAGTTCACAACTTTTAAAATGCTTCCCTATTATTGGTAGAATTAAAGTATAAAGTAAAATATTTAATGTCTCCTTACCATTATGCATTTGGTTTTCACAGATAAGAATATAGCTACATCAGTTATTGGCTTTAAGACACAAAATTATAAAACAATTACCATGAATCTGAGCTATACTTGGGAAGGTTAAACCAAATTAATGTAAACAGCAGATCCACTGAAAAAGCAAACTCATTCCTTAAGATGCTAGAGAGACAAAATGAGGGATAATATGAAGGCTAACCTCAGAAGACCACCCATTTACAAGAAACTGAGAATAGGACCATTAGACAATTTCTATTCATCTTCCACCATAGGGTGAGGGTGGGAAACTTTGTAGGATCCTTAACAGAGAATAATTTCGAGTTTAAATTTGAGAATGAAAAAGAAAAGTTAACCCTAATCTTTAAAATACAACCCTAAGATAATCAGAAAGTAAGCGAAATGATTTTACAGAGGTTTTCCTAAAACCTAACCAAGATAATATAATCAGTATTGTTAAAGCAAAACCAATTTTGAATTCATGGTTACTAAATATATACTTCAACATAAAATGTGTTTTGATCTCTTGAGCATAAATTTATAACATAACGATGTAATTAAGGTTTGGACCTATATATAAAATGAAACAGAGTCATAAAGTTTTATAATTCTGTGCCTGACTTTAGAAAGAATATATTTAATATATTTAATGTGTTATTGTATAACATATATAATGTGATAACATCCATGTACATTTCTGTACACTCAATTTGGGAGAAAGAAGTAAGTTATGGAAGTCTATTCATGTCATTTGTGAACAATGAAATTATATTTAAAAAAATACATTGCTATTTTCTGTCCAAAGTTTATTTACATTTCATTGGCTAATTCTAAACTTGGCATGTAAGCTGTTCCAGGAGTTAAATGGAAAAAATAATGAAAGATGAGCCCAAGTCTCACAAAAATAGAAGAGTTTTACTTGATATTGACAGCATTCCAAAATACACAAATTCTAATTTGGTTTAGTATTGCAACCACTGCCCAAATCAAATAGTAGTCCAGGACCTCTATTAAGGACATTTATTAAAAATCTAATGTTAGTGTAATATTATTCTGAAGTTGCAATGAACCATTCATTATCCTTGCAAATCATTGAAACATGTATCACAGACACGAACAGGCTTCTTAGAAGAAGGAGTTAAGGCATTTTTGGCTGAACACTCAGCACAGAAGATATTTCCACAGTGTCTGCAGTGATGCTGTAGATGACAAAAATTAACAATTTTAAGCATACAAATACACCATAAGCATTATGAGATTACAAGAACACTGCAAACTGCACTAGGAAGATACTAACTGCTCAGTAATTAGTGTATTTAAAAACATAATATTTTAATATGTCAATTTAATCCCTTAGTTCAGTGGTTCTCAGCCTTTCTACTGCCGCATCCCTTTAATACAGGTCCTCATGTTGTGGTGACCCCCAACCATAAAATTATTTTCGTTGCTACTTCCCAACTGTAATTTTGCTACTGTTATGAATCATAATGTAAATATCTGTGTTTTCTGATGGTCTTAGGCAATCCTGATAGTGATTCTCAATTTGTGAGCTGGAGCAAAATTACAGTTATGAAGTAGCAACAAAAATAATTTTATGGTTGGGGGTCACCACAACATGAGAATCTGTATTAAAGGGTCATGGCATTAGAAAGGTTGAGAATCAATGCTTTAGTTAAATTGAATGGCTCCTATTTATCAGATAGAATGCTAACCATTTTATATGGACTCGATCTTAGAATTCTCAAAAGCAACAGGAAACCTTTCAATGTGTTAATAAATCATTTCCAACAGGTGAAAAACTATTACAAATGTATTTGCCAAATGTTTCAGGTATTTAACAGGAATATAACTTGCAACATCCCATGATGTTATTCAGAATAATTTAAATCTCTGCTTTCTCTTCCTTTAGAAGAACACAATGATGACTAAAACATATGAGAGTAATATTGGTGCACTGATTCAGAAAATGCTTCCTCAAGAGAGTAACTCAGTAAGAAGGCAACAACTGAACTTAAAACTAAAACTGAAACACATATGCTAACCAGAAACTAAATTACATGACATTTAATTACTACATGTAGTTGAAAATTAACCAAAAAATGGAAATTTGTTTCTATATGTCAAAATTCATTTTAATGGTTAAAACATTAATTGTCAGTTAGGAATAAAATCCAGAACCATATCAATATGAACAAAATCATTTACCCGTCTCACTGTTACTGAAAAGTTTTTCCCACAGGCCATACAGTTTTGTACTTCATTATCTTCAGCCCATTTCCTATTCAATGCTTGTGTATGCTTGATCTATTGAAAACAAAGTTTCAATACATTATCATATTAAATTTCTTGAAGAATGAAGAATGATGAATACTTTCTAATTTGGTGCCTGAGTTTTATAAAATGTTGACTATATACAACCAAAGGATAAAATTTTAAAAACCAGAAATACGTTGGTCAACTTCCATTGTCAATAGTTGCCATATTCTTAAGTCTGAAGATAGATGATCGATAGATCGATAGATAGATAGATAGATAGATGATAGATAGAAAAAATAACATTTTATTCTCTATCCTTTGCTGATTTCCCATCCATTTTAACCCTAATAACCAATACTTCCTAGAGATTCTAAGTACACATTCAGGTCACTTCTTTAAGGCACAGCAACTCATCTATTACTTGGTGTTCTTGAATTTTCCCACTACTGACAATTCATGAATGACATGGCCCTTTATCCCTGGGGTCTCTCAGATAAGTTCTTTTTCTCTTATTTACCCATAACACATTCTTTAACACTGTTACATAGACAGTAGCCATTCAAAAGTATTTATTAAATATATGACATTGTTTTTAAAAGGTTGAAAATACGCTTTGTGCTAAGAGGTAAAAGCTAGACTAAAAAATGCCTCCCACGGCCATGTGACTTACTTGAAGGGACTGATTCTCTCTGCCCAGCTCCTGCACTGCTGCAGTTGTATTATCCAGCTTTCTTTGCACTTCCAGTACTTTGTTTTGAAGCTTTTCTATTTCACCTTCTCCTTTAAGACATCTAGAATAGATTGCAAAGAGGTAATTATTTTTTTAAAGTCATTAAAGTTCCTTTTAGAACACAGATAATATATTACTTTAGTAGTTTTAAATAGAATACATTAATTTCAACAATCTGATTGTTTTAAGAATTAGTTTTAAATGACTACTTAAATTCCTGTACAAGCTATGCACTTTTCTTAAGACTCTTCTTCTATTTTGAAAAATGTGGACTGTACTCTGGCTGGTGTGGTTCAGTTGGTTGGAGCATCATATCATACACTAAAAAGTTTCAGGTTCAATTTCCTGTCAGGGCATATTTGGGAGACAACCGATTCATGTTTCTCTCTCACATGGATGTTTCCATCCCTCCCTCTAAAATCAATGAAAAATATAACCTCGGGTGAGGATTAAAAAGAAATTCTTATTAGACATCAAGTGTGTACCTTTCTAGTAGTGCTCTCCTTTCATCTTGATTATTCTGAACCGTTGCTTCTAATACTGCAATTTCACCCCGTAAGTCATCCGTCTGCTTCTCAAGCTCACTGACTCTCCGTTGGCTGGACTGCCACTCCTTCTTCACAGTGCCCAAATTTTCATTTAATGCTGTAATCTGCATGGTAAGTTTTGCTTCATTTTCTTCATGCTTTTTCATTCCTACTTCTTTTTCTTTTATTTCAGAATGCTGACAAAAAGAAAAACAATGAGGAAAAAGCCTATTATAAAAATAGTGCAAAATAAATTTAAGTTAGTTATTTGAATTTAAATTATTGGGAACATAAATAATACTACTTCTTCAAGAAAGCAAAGAGAATATATTTCAGTATACACAATAAAATTGATTCCACAAACATTTATTTATTTTGAATTGGCTCAAAGGCCATAATGCTGAAATGATAGTTAGCAAGCCTCTTATAAGATCAAATTAAAGTAGAATAATTTGAGAGTTTCCTTTTTTCCACTAGAGCAGGGGAAGAACACATAGTCAGGGATGGCAAAGTGCCTTGGAAACAAGGCTAGCATTTTATTATGTATCAAATTCCACATAAATTGCTTTACCTCTATCAATCTGCCGAGAACCAATGCCAACACTTATATTCACTGTGAATTTGAAAATGCAATTCTTCAACTAAAACATTCAGTGGTCAAGTTATCTGAGGATATTTGGACTTAACTCAACAAAGGAAAGCCAGATGCTTCCCGTTTGGCATGCACAACTTAGGAAAGGAAAAGTAGGCTTTGGTCATCATCATTTTAAAGGGAAGTTTACATTCCCCTTTATCAACATTCACTTTGACCAAATGAGTTGAACATGATTAGCATTCATGCCATTTGCCTTAATTTACATAACTGTAGGGTTTTTCTGGCACTAAAAGTGTTTTGTTTTTTAATCATATTTTATTGGCTTTTCACCTATATAAACCAAAATACAATTACAAAATATTTCTAATCATACTTCAGCCATTTAAACAAATCAGATCTCTTTTCCTAAACAAAAATTAAAATGTTAGGTGAACATTTCAATTATAACTTCTAGGTAGGATTGGTTTATTAATAAATTATAAAACACACTTCCCACTATTAACTTACTGACCAGTTTAGCTTCCTTCTCAATAAAGTCCTTCTTCAACTCATCTTCTTCCTTTTTCACCTGCTCTTTTAGCATTTGCTGATTATTCTTCTCCTGTTCAAGGATTACCTTCAAGGAATCTATTTTCCCTTGAAGCTCTAGTTTCTGCTGAATCAAAAGCTGCTTGGCCTCCCTGAGACTTGTTAGCTCCTATTAAAAGGCCAAAAATAAATCATTCTATATAAAAAATATTTCAAAATATAGCTGAAATTTATGCAACATATTACAATAATATATACAAACATGAGTTTTAATCTTTTCCCTAATGATATTCTTCAAATTCATTATTTCGAACAATTGTTTAAAAATATGCAAAATTATTTACTTTCTGCTGAATACTCATTTAAATTTAAGTGATACTTTGAATACATATATTTTAATAGAATTATATGAAAACTTTCTACCCTCTATTTCTCTTTATTCACTAAGCACGTGTTTATTGGTCACCACTTAGGCATCACACACTATGTTGATATTTACACAATGATTAACTATATACATCCACTGCTTTAAGGAAGTCACAGTCTAGAAGAACCTAATGACATAATAGAGATAATTATAAAGCAAAATTGTAAAGTATACTGATAGACATAACATGTATTGTGAGAACATGTAAAAGAGAATCAAATGACTAATATTTTCCAGAGCAAATTACAAAAAAAACTAGTTTCTTTAAATAGCATCCTAGCTTTGCTTATGCCAGGAAAAATATTCAAGAGATTGTTAAAGCATTTTAAAAAGCAAACAAACAAAAAACAAACAAAACAAAATTCTTTAAAAATATTAATTCAAAACCCTTACATATTTTGAAGTTTACGATCTACAATTATAATTTTCTAAATCAATAGCTCTCTTATTATCATCTCAACAAAATCTAAAATTTTAGGGTTGCTTACTTTATTCAAAAACCTAAAACAAAACTAACATGGTTTCAGTATGTATATAGATATTATGCAACACAAGAGTACACTTGAGAGCAGGAGAATTTGTCAAAAACAACAAAACACTGGTACATAGTAGAGAAGTTCTCTCTCTCTCCATATATATGTGTGTGTGTGTGTGTGTGTGTGTGTGTGTGTGTGAGAGAGAGAGAGAGAGAGAGAGAGAGAGAGAGAGAGAGAGAGAGAAAGAGAGATAGAGAGAGGCCTAATATGCTACGTTTCTGGTCAACTGTTCAACCAATCAAAGCATAATATGCTAACAAAGTGCTAATGCCGCTCAACTGCTTGCTATGACATGCACTGACCACCAGGGGGAAGATGTTCCGACTGCTAGGTTAGCTTGCTGCTGGGGTCCGGCCCATTGGCACTGACTGAGATGGGCTGGACATGCCCTAGAGCCCTCCCATGTTCTGTCCCAGTTGGCCAACCTCCTGCATCCCTCCCCAGCCTCGATTGTGCACTGATGGGAGTCCCTCTGCCTGGCCTGCACCATCTCGCAATTGGGATCTCTCAGGAGATTTTGGAGAGCCTGTTTTGGCCCAAAACCTGAGGCCAGGCCAGGGACCATACTGGTGAACGAATTCGTGTACCAAGCCTCTAGTGTGTGTGTGTGTGTGTGTGTGTGTGTGTGTGTGTGTGTGTGTATAAATATATATATGTAAAATTTGTGCACGGGGGGTGGAGGGGGTGTCCCTCAACTCAGCACCCTCTCCAATCTGGGACCCCTTGAGGGATGTCAGGTGACAGGGCTGATCAAGGGAAGGCACAAGCCCCATTACTCCGCTGCTGCAGTCACTGCCAGCCACTGGAGCTGCCAGAGTGTTTTCATCAACACGGACTCTAGTCCCTTCAACTGTGAAAAAAATGGTAACTTTCTTTAGGCATTTTCAATATGTATCTTTCATAAGATATGACATTTCTTTCTTTCTTTCTTTTTTTATCCTCACCTGAGGATATGTTTCCATTGATTTTTAGAGTGTGGAAGAGAGAGAGAAACATCAATGTGAGAGGGACACTTTGATTGGTTGCCTCCTGCATGAGCCCTGACCTGGGCCCTGGCCAGAGAGAAGCCTGTAACCTAGGTACATGCCCTTGATTAGAATCGAACCCAGACCCTGCGGTCAGCAGGCCCACGGTCTATCCACTGAGCCAAGCCAACGAGGGCAGGATATGACATTTCTTAGCCCCTCCAAGTAGCGGACCTTCATTTTTACCTCCAGGAGTGTGGCGGAAAAACCTTAGATCGCCTTCTTGGATTCTAATAACCCAAGTTACCATGAACACTGCAAGTGGTGGCCTACAGGGAGCTTAGCCAATGAGCTAAAAGGTATTTACTGTTAAACTGGTTTGGCTCAGTGGATAGACTGTGGGCCTGCAGACTGAAGGATCCCAGGTTTGATTCCTGTTACTGGCATGTACCTTGGTTGGAGGCACCTTCCCAGTGGGCAGTGTGCAGGAAGCAGTTAATCGATGTTCTCATTGATATTTCCGACTGTCTACCCCTCTCCCCTCTTCTCTGTAAAAAAAAAAAATATATATATATATATATATATATATATATATATTTTATATATATATATTATATATCTAATATATATATATTAGATATCTATATCTATCTATCTATCTATCTATCTATATATATATATATATATATATATATATATCTTAAAGGTGTTTCTTCTGCAGCCCCTGCGTTGTGTCCACGGGGCTAAGGGTATGTCCCTGCCACTCCATCAAGGGCACTGGGCTGGAGGTCCAAGCTTGCACAAACCGCTGGGGGTGGGGTGGTAATATCCCCGTTTCCAAACGCTTCTGAGGCCAGCAGCCAGCCCCACCATGGGCACCAGGCTGGGTGGCATGAAAGGACCCCTGGGCCACATGCAGCAGTGGCCGCTGGGATCTCTCTGCACACCCCAGGGGCCAGCAGCCAGCCCCTGTCATGGGTGCAGGGCTGGGGGCATGGATGCGAACTGCAGCTTGGTGCCAGAGCATTCACAAGGGGTTAGGGGTTTGGCGCCTGCACTCATAGGCTTGGAGTGGTCAAGAGTGTTCTGAGACTAGAGGCTGCTCAGTGCCTGCATATGCAAATTAACTGCCATCTTTGTTGGGTTGATTTGCATACTCACTCTGATTGGTTGGTATAGCAGAATGATGGTTAATCTGCATGTTTTTCTCTTATTAGATAGGAGGATAAATTTAAATGCCAATGATACAGTGTTGAAGAAATAACAATGATTGTCTTAACATACCTTTATGCTTTCTTGCTTGTGGGATTTGAGTTCTTCACTCAGTTTAGCAATTTCTTTTTCTTGTCTACACTTAATTTCTTCTATCTCTGCCAATTTAGATTTTTCACTTGCTAGTTCTTTTTCTTTCAGTGACTGTAGAAAAATGATTTAAAAACAATTTTAAAGTAAATATTTAACTGTTAAGTAACAATCAAAATGACTATCATTTATAACACTATCTCTGCCCCTTTCTACCTAACATAAATTAACATAAATAATCTTCTTTTACCTCTCTGTCCTTATTTATACAATATGAACAATAAGATTATTAATAAGGAGTAAGTAGTTAGAGTTAATACTATAAAGTGAATAGTGACTCGCCAATTAAGTATAAAATGTAGCCAAAACTACCATTACTGTTATTAATAATCTTATTAATATTATTACTATCACTATCTTTATATAAGGCACACCTAAGTTAGTATTGTATATTACCTAATTTAATCTCTATACTAGATTTCTCTTTTTAATTATCATTTTATAGGTAAATAAAGTTTTAGAGAAGTCAAATAATCTATTAGAGTTAATGGTAAACTAAAACAAGGTCTGACTAATGTACAGCCCTAGCAATTAAAGGCCTATAAATTATAGTTCTGTCAGAATTTTCTAAACTTGAAGCACAAATCATGAATTCATTCCAGCTTTACCAGCCTCACCCCCACAAAAAACTACCTTGATTTTTAAATTAAAGAGGATTTCAAGAATTATACAATTTACACATACCAAGCACTTCAGGAATTATACACTTCAGAATAATATCCTATCAGCTGATGGAAATATGATTTCAATTATGAAACAATATAAAAAATGTACCCTATAATCTGAATTTCTCTTTCATAAAGAATTTTAACTGATTTTTAAACACACTGGTCATTTAATACAATATTTTAAACTTTATAATATAGCATCCTTTATATAAAATATACTCATACTTCCCCTTAGAAAATTTTAGTTCTTAATTTTAGGAATTCTTAAGCTTTCGAATTCTTTTCAGACCTTTTATTATCTCACTCCTACACCCAGAAGACAGAAATTGATGAGGGGATGTAATACATGTTTTTTAATAACCAAGGATCTAGGTTAGAAAAATCGATTAGTTTATAAAACTAAAAACAGCAGAAATAAAAATGGATAAAAATAAAAGGACATCCTAGAATTAAAATCCCAATTACCAAAACTCTTTTTATCAGAAGCTATAAGGCCATCTGAGAGAGCTGTTGAAAACAGAGATGATCCCCTATTGAGAGAAGAGGTTTGACTGATTGGCTCAATGGCCATGACAATGCTAAGATTCTGGATTTAGTCAGAAAATGAAATACCTTTTCTTTCTGAATATCCTGTAGTGCTGCACTCTGCTCCTTTAACTGCTGTTCTTTCTTTGTTGCTTCTTGTTCCAAAGTAGCCTTGGCAGTCTTTAGTTCTTGAATCAATTTATTTTGGTTTCCAATTTGATTTCTGTTTGAAATTAAGTCCTCCTGTGCTAGAGAAAGCTTCTCTTCTACAGACTTATATAAAAAAAAAATCCCCAAATTATTATATGCCTATATTTTCAAATTTCAATAGTAATTAACATAAGCAATAAACTATAAAAAAGATAGTATGTATACCCTTCAGAAAGATCACATACAAGAGAAAAAGATGTCATATAATTAATTATCTTGCATATGGAAAACATTTACAGCATAAAATACTAAAGAATTCCAAAACCTTTAGAAATAATCTATAAGTTGTTACTGGCTAAGTGTATGAAGGAATATCAAGTAAGTAGGGACTATATCAAACATAGCAGAGAATACATATGTGGTTAGAGAGAAGACATGGAGGACATAAAAAAAAAAGATTGTATAGTTGTATAGTTAAATGCTAAGTTATGTGTACATACAGAGTGGGGCAAAAGTAGGTGTACAGTTTTGAGTATGCAAAACAGTTTATTCCTGTATTATTAATTATTGTATATTTTCTATACAAACAACTGCAAACTGTGATGTCTGACATAATAAAACTTTTTGTAAGTAAAAATAAAACTGGTATTTCACATCTGCCAATCTGATCAAGTGAACTAAGAGGAAAGTCAACCAGACACCTGAGGCCCTATTTCTGAGAAGGCCATCCCCCCCTCTTGACTTTCCACTTGTGTAGCACCAATAGAGCTGTCAGCTTACACAGCCCATAGCTACTGACTGTTCTATTCTGAGAAGCCGATAGGAGAAAGGGAAAGCTTTTTGACCTATTAGATTTCATTTGGGGGCAGATATGGTAATAAGTGGGTAACAGAAATGGCAGGAACCTTGACACTCTCATTTGCTATTGCTAAGAAAAGAATCCACAGGGAAGGGAACTAACTCGAAGATCTTTTCCACCATCTAGAAGAAATTTGTCTTACTCTAGAGATGTAGTGGCCTTGAAAAGGAAGCAGAAGATATAATTTAGGTAGCATCCCTGCTGATTAGACATGGCTATAGAAAGCATTAAATTAAAAAAATATATATATGAAAATAATAAAGACATTATTTGAGAGACTTCTTAAGCTTCCTGAAAGAGAAAGTTTACTCCTTAATTTAGTTCAGAAGTCTTTCTGATGTAAGTTAAATTTCCATTTTCAATAGCTTCCAATAGAACACATAAAACTAACCCAAAGGCTTCTTTTCCAGGAAAGACCTAACATCACCTAGTCCTTTATTAATCAAGCAGCTAACCATTAATTAAGTACACTACTGAAGTATACTGGGGGGTATAAGATGGTCCTTGACTGAAGAAGATGATTATGTAGACTGAAAAACAGAAACAGAATGTAAAACAGAAGTTGAACAAGGTTATTAAAGCATTTGCTATATGCCAAACACACAGAAAAATGTTGAGTGTGAGAGCTTTCTGTAGAAAGTGATTACACAAGGCTCCATGGTGAACGTGAAAACTGACCTAAGTAACATAAGAAGTGAGAGTGATTTCAGATAAAGGGAACAAAATTTGACAACGCCTAGTGCATTCCAATTGTAAGTAGGTGACAGAAGCTAAAGAATACCAAGGTTTGCTAGAGCCTAAAAGTAACCGTACCCCCAATCTTTGACCATAAGAATTCCAAAAATGCTCATGACTTATATAAGCCTTAAAATTTTAAACTCACAAAAAACAACAGTTATAAATCAAAATCTAAACTACACTTTTTCTGAAGATACCGAGACACTGCTCTACCTTGTCCTTGAATATTAATCTATGTCATTCAGTGGCATGTCGCCATATATTTTAAATATTCCTTTCATTCATATTGCAGAGCATGTTATTTTCACCTGCTAGAATCTCTTCCCTTAGGGAACTCTCTTCTCCCATTCAATGGTTTAGTTGGGCTATCTTTAACCCATCCACTCCCACTGGAATAGGCAAATCCCTGAATACATCAACTACCAACCTTGACCCTGAATGAAGACCCCAATCACATTATAGTGCAACTAGAGGCCTAAAGCACAAAATTCGTGCAAGGGGCTTGGCCCTCGCAGTTGCCCCAGTTTTCTCAGCCTTCTGGATGGTCGTTCTGCTGTTTGGTCTGATTAGCATATTATCTCTTTATCATATAGGATAGCTAATGAATAATTTCTGCAGTGTTCTGTAATAGCTATTTCTATTTTGTCTATTCAACAATTTTCTTTCTTTAATTTTTTTTTTCTTGATAGTGGGTGAAATGCCATAAGGAAGAGTACTAGGCTAAGAAGATTTATATTAATTCTGAACTTACCCTAAAATTTCACTTCACTCAAGGTGAGAGATTTACAGTTAAGTTCCACTTCAACCTTTCCTCAACAACAAATATCACACAGCGCAGCCAATTTCAAATCCAGACAAACTTAAGTATTTCATAAATAACCCAGCAGATGGGGCTAAAGGCATAGATTAGGCCAACCCACCATCATCCATTCCACTGGTGTCTTGGTATACAACCAGCCCACAGATGGCAGCCTTGCCTTAGACAGATGTCATGTTACAAGGTTCTGATCCTCTCCTCTTCTTTCTTATATACAACAAGATCATATAAAACCACTGAAGCAACAGGAAAATAATGGCTGATGACTATCTCTTATTCTGGCCTATAATATCATTTGAATTTCCATAGGAATTTACTTCTTTAAAAAAAATTAACTCCTAAGTAATTCAGATAATTCTCATTTTGGAAGCATTAATATAGAATTCATCACTACTCTATTTTATTAAATAATTCTAGTGAACTTAGGATAAAAAGAAAAAAGGGCTAAGAATGAGAATAACTGAAATCTAATCATGGTTATGTAATTGTGCAATACTAGTCTTGTCACAAACCAAGCCAGGCCTCAGTCTACACAAGAAAGGCCTTAATGTATACAAGGAAGCTCTAGCATAGTGGACTACTGCATGGTCTCTTAATATTGTAAACCTCTACAGCAGACTTAGCCTCTGCCTTTCACTTTTTACCCATATTTATATTTGAATGATTCTTTTATGTATAAAAATATTAGTACTGCCCAGCCAGCATGGGTCAGTGGTTGAGCACTGACCTATGAAGCAGAAGGTCACAGTTTTGTGATTCTTTGTTTTTAATATATATTTCTTTATTGATTCCAGAGAGGAAGGGAAAGAGATAGAGAAATAGAAACATCAGTGATGAGAAAGAATCATTGATTGGCTGTTTCCTGCACGTCCCTACTGGGGAGGATCAAGCCCAAAACCTGGGCATGTACCTTTGGCTGGAATCGAGTCTGGGACCCTTTAGTTCGTAGGCCAATGCTTTATCCACTGAGCCAAACCAGCTAGGGCAAAAAAGTCACAGTTTGATTCTGATCAGGGCTTATGCCAGGGATTGCAGGCTCAATCCCCAGTAGGGGGCATTCAGGCGGCAGCCTATCAGTGATTCTCTATCATTGATGTTTCTACCTCTCTCTCTCTCTCTCTCTCTCTCTCTCTCTCTCTCTCTCTCTCTCCCTCTCTCTCTCTCTCTCTCTCTCTCTCTCTCTCTCTCTCTCTCTCTCTCTCTCTCTCTCTCTCTCTCTCTCTTCCTGTCTGAAATCAATAAAAATATATTTAAGTATAATGTGTGTATATATGTATAGAAATATATATTAGTACATGATGTAGCTTTCAGGCATGATAAAAATAGTTGTTGGCTTAATGAAAGAATATTGATTTAAGAGATCTAAGTCCTGTTACTATGTAATGTTCGTGGGTAAAATATTTTTAAAAAGGTGTGATTTCTATAGGACTTCTATGAGCAGTAAAGTTTCATTTCCTCTATCAACTAAATACCCTTTAAAATCATCCACATTCTCCATCCTTACTATTACCAGCCCAAGTCACCATCATTTGCAACTGGACTACTGCAGAGTCTCTTCTCTAGTCTCTACATTCCACCATGTTCCCCTACAATCAATACATCCCTTATCTTATAACCAGTCATTGGCCTAAAATATAAAATTTGGGCAAATCCTTTCAGTGGTTCCCTACTACCTTTAAAATAAAGGCCAAACTCTTCCACAAACCTTCCCTGATTTTCAATAGTGTTACAAAAAAAAAACATAAATAGGCCTTGGCTGGGTAGATCAGTTGGTTAGAGCATCATCCCAATAGTCAAGATTGATCTCTAGTCAGGACACATACAAGCAGCAGCCAGTAAATGCATATATGTACACCAACAAATCTTTATGTTTCTTCCTTTCTCTTTCTCCCTTCCTTTCTTTATAAAATAAATCAATAAAGTAAAAAAATAATAATGTAGCCCTCGCCAGTTAGGCTCAATGGATAGAATGTTGGCCTATGGTCTGAAGGATCCTGGGTTTGGTTCCAGTCAAGGGCACATGCCCAAGTTGCCAGCTCAATCCCCAGTGGGGGAGTACAGGAAACAGCCAATCAATGATTCTCTCTCATCACTGATGTTTCTATCTCTCTCTCCCTCTCCCATCCTCTCTGAAATCAATAAAAATACATTTTAAATAATAATAATAATAATCCTATCTAATAAAAGAGTAATATGCAAATTGACTGTACTTCCATTACACCAACAAGCCACGCCTACCAGTCAATCAGGAGAAGATATGCAAATAAACCCAACCAAGATGGCTGCATCCACAGAGAGCAGAGAGGCTTGGGTTTCCCCAGAAATGAAGGAAGCCAAGCTTTCTGCCTGCCCTTGCCAGATTAGGCCTCCACTCAATGCTAAAAAGTTTCACACCCTTTATAAAAAGAAGGTAAATAAATCCCAAAAGAAATGGCGGCATCCATGGAGCAAGAGGCTAGGATTTCCCCCAGCGATGAAGGAAGCCAAGCTTCTGCAGCCCTGGCCTCCACTTCAGGCTACAAAGTTTCTATTATAGAAGGTAAATAAATCCCAACAGAAATGGCTGCTGCCACAGAGCAAGCAGAAGGCTTGGCTCCACATCAGGCTACAAAGTTTCAATTACAGAAGATAAATAAATCTCAGATACCAGATACCCCTTGGGTTGCTAGGGAGTGTGGCTGGCCTTCAAACCACCACAGACCCTCTCACTCAGGCCGCCCCATTCCCCAAGGGAACGCCTACCCTGATCCAGGACACTCTTCAGAACAAACCAGCTAGCCCCCGCCCATGCACTAGGCCTCTATCCTACCTAATATAAGAGTAATATGCAGATTGACCATTACTCCAACACACAAGATGGCTGCCCCCATGTGGTTAAAGATCCTGCCCCCATGTGGACACAAGATGGCCACCTCAAGATGGCCAGCAGGGGAGGGAAGTTGGGAGGCACCAGGCCTGCAAGGAGGGCAGCTGTGGGCAATCAGGCCAGCAGGGGAGGGCAGTTGGGAAGCACCAGGCCTGAAAGGGAGGGCAGTTAGGGTTGACCAGACCATCAGAGGAGGGAAGTTGGGAGCAAACGGGCTGGCAGGTGAGCAGTTAGACATCAATCAGGCTGGCATGGGAGTGGTTAGGGGGTGATCAGGCTGGCAGCCAGAAGCAGCTAGGGGCAATCAGGAAGGCAGGCAGGCGAGCAGTTAGGAGCCAGCAGTCCTGGATAACTGACTGCAGTCAGACATCCCTTGAGGAGTCCCAGATTGGAGAGGTTGCAGGCTGAGCTGTGGGACATCCCCCACCTTCCCCCTGCACAAATTTCATGCACCAGCCCTCTAGTAATAATAATAGTTTAAAGTTATGTAGAGAGGATGTTTCATATTATTTTATTTTACTGATTTTACAGAGAAGAAGGGAGAGGGATAGAGAGTTAGAAACAGCAATGAGAAACATTGATCAGCTGCCTCCTGCACTACTGGAGATGTGCCCACAACCAAGGTACATGCCCTTGACTGGAATCAAATCTGGGACCTTCCAGTCTGCAGGCCAATGCTCTATCCACTGAGCCAAACCAGTTAGGGCTCAATTTCCTATTTTTGTGTCAAATCATTAGTCACCACTGATTCCTTGCAAACAGTACGTATTGAGCCCTTCTGTTTCATCTTATCTATCTCAGGAACCCTTTCTGTCCACCCTCTTTAACTGCAATCCTAATTCTAATCAACTCCCACCTTGATTACTAGAATGTGTGGTGGAAAGAAGGGAAGATAGCCTGTTAACTAATTTCTTTAACACTAATTTACAATCCCAGCTGTCTATAAACCACTTCCAGGTCAAGTTGCCTAAATAACTGTTTTCTTCATTTTACTCCTCTTCATTTCCCCCGCAAATGTAAAGTCCAATCATCCTTGCTAGGCATCTAAGATACTTCATAGTTTGATCCAAACCTTTTAACCTTAGCTTCTAAACACAAACCAGCGCTCTAGCAAGACAATTGTGTTAACTGTCTCTTGACTTTGCTCACTCCCACTGTAGCACCTTTTCTCAAACATGCCCCTGAGTGAAATGATCTTTCTCAAGACAGTCTATGTATTCAAATTGCATGTATCCTTCAGGACCTGGTCCAGTCCTGCCTCCTTCATAAAGCCTCCCCTATAGTAACAGCCTATGAATAAAATAAAGACCTAGTATATTTACATACATTACATATATAAATACTCCATGATTTTTAGAATTTTAAATAATCCACTTTAAATTACAAACAAAAACTCAAACACAGAACACAAATATTACATTTCAGAAAAAAGAAAAAAAGAGAAAGACAGAACTGGCTTATATTCTATGGGAGAATATAAATGTTCCATTTTTCTTAGAAAACTGATACCTTAACCTTACTTAAAAATTATTTATTCTTTTTCCATATCCTTCATTTTAATAAACATACTTTATCTAATCAAATAGTATTCAATATATATACTAATAAAAGGGTACTATGCAAATTGGTCATGATGCCCTCACTGTAAGGACCGAACAGCAGGCTGCGTGGGGAGACCAGGACAGCAGAGGAGTGCAGAGAGGAGACCAGGCCAGTAGTGGGGAGTGGCAGTTGGGATCAACTAGGCTGGCAGGAGGGCAGTTAGGGGTAATCAGGCTGGCAGGCATAGGTGAACAGGGGTGATCAGACTAGCAGGGGGAGTCAGTTAGGGATGATCAGGCAGGCAGGCAGGTGAGCAGTTAGGAGCCAGCAGTCCCAGATTGTGAGAGGGATGTCCAATTGCTGGTTTAGGCCCGATCTCAGGCCTAAAGCAGCAGTCAGACATCCCCCAAGGGGTGCAGATTGGGTTAAGGAGACTCTCCCATGCATGAATTTCATGCACCCAGCCTCTCATGCTTAGATAATTAATGCTAAATTTACTTTGAGCTATCACCTCCTAATTTTAATCATCAGGCATTCCAGTAGTCTTAAAAAGGTAACAAATATATAAAAACTAAAGTCATATTACCCGATAGGAAATAATAAAACTGCTTTCATTTTCACAAGTAGTTTACATTTAACTCGTTACATTTTTTAACTGTAGAATATTTTAAGGTTTTATTTTATGTAAAGATAGCAATGTCCCTAGATAACCTAATATGTTAGAAATTAATAAAATGCCATATTTTTACTATTATAGGTGTTATTTAAAAATGCATATACTTATACATGTATTTTGTTATAAGACAATTTCATTTTTAAAATGCATGCTACTGCTGAAACTGGTTTGGCTCAGTGGATAGAGTGTCAGCCTGCAGACTGAAGGGTCCCGGGTTCAATTCCAGTTAAGGGCATGTACCTTGGTTGTGGGCACATTCCCAGTAAGGGGCATGCAAGAGGCAGCTGACCGATATTTCTAAGTCTCTATCCCTTTCCCTTCCTCTCTGTAAAATATCAGTAAAATATATTTTAAAAATAATAAAATAAAATAAAATGCATGCTACTCCAAAAAATAATAATTTAATAGAAAACAAGTGCAAAATTCCACAAATATTAATATTCCCTTGCCCATTTCGGTTGAAATCAATCATTTAATGAATGTCTATACAACTTACTGATTTTTATGAAAAAAATATAGTTTACTATACCTTAAGATCTTGCCTTGTTGCAAGAAGTTCAGATTCTTTCCCATAGAAATCAGACTGAAGCTGTTTTAGGTTTTCCTGACTTTTTTCATATGTGTTTTGTAAAATTGACATTTTCTCCTTCTCTTTTGCAAGTTCCTGCGCTGCTTGGGTTAACTGCTGCTGTAGTTTATTCTCAAGTTCTGTCTGAAACATAAAATAGCTATTTAAAATGATATATACCAAAAATCAGTTCAAATACAAAATTAAGTCCACCCAATTAAGAAGATTCCTGAGGACAGACTAAACTGCACAATTATATAAAGTATAATTCTACTTTAGAAAAGAGTAATATACTCACCTTATAGTTACAAAGTTAAAAAGTTAAAAAATCCAACAATTTCAAATTTCAAAAACAATAAGTTAAAAAGCAATTTAAATAAAGAAAAAAAGCATGTCATTGGGAAGTCCTAAGTATCAAGATCTCAGGAAACTGAAGGTAAAGACCACATTCTGATGTAAGATTCAGTGCTAAAGGCCGCATGTACTAGCAGAAAATGATATAGCTCAAAGTTAAACTAATGGAAATTATTCCATGAAACAAATTAAAAAGCCATTACTGTGTTGAAGTTATTGTGTGTGTTTTTTCTCCTTGAAATTAAAAAATTAGGAAATTTCTCCAGGTCATCTTTATTAACATCAAGGAAGAAAAGAAAATCTTCCAAAGATCCAACTCCTCCAAACTCCAAAGTTGTCTTTAGTTTCTAAGAAGACTCAGTAGCTATGCACAAATTATGGCATAATTAAAATGCATGTGTGTACAGTATTAAAATAAGAACTTGGCTTTTAACTATACCACTTCAAATAAACTGCTATTGAGGTCACCAGCAACCATCTTGTTCCAAAATCCAATAGCTATGTCTTTGTCCACATCTTACTTGACCTCCCCAAAGTACTTGAAACTCTTGATAATGTCCCCTCCTAGAAACATTCTTCAACCTGGTTTCTGGGCACCTATGTTTCAGGTTCTCCTACCTCACTGGTCATTGCTCCTTAAAATCTTTTACTAGCTCCTCTTCTTCTGTTTGACTTCTCAACATTATTGAGTCCAAGTTTCTGCCATGACCTTCTTCTGTTCTATACTAGAGGGCCTAGTGCACAACATTCGTGCACTGGAGGGGGGAGGGGATCTCACAGTCTGGGAGCCCTCCGGGGATGTCTAACTGGTGGCGGGCAGGCCTATGCCACAGTAGGACATCCTACAGATCCCACCACTGCTACAGAGGTGGGCCACTGCGCTCTCCAGTTGTCAGCCTGGCTTATGGCTGAGCGGCGTTCCCCCTGTGGGAGTGCACTGACCACCAAGGGACAGCTCCTGAGATGAGCATCTTCCCCCTGGTGGTCAGTGCATGTCATAGCAATCGGCCATTCAGTCAATTTCCATCTTAATCTTTTATATATAGTACTAGAGGCCCAGTGCATGAAATTCTTGCATGGGGGGAGGGGTGTCCTTCAGCCTAGCCTACACTCTCTCCAACCTGGGACCTCTCGGGGGCAGTCGGACATCCCTCTAACAATCCAGCACTGCTGGCTCCCAACTGCTTGCCTGCCTGCCTTCCTGATTGCCCCTAACTGCTTCACCTGCCAGTTTGATCACCCCTAACCACTCCCCTTCCAGCCTGATTGATACCTAACTGCTCCCCTGGCAGCTGTTGCCCTTCCCTGCCAGCCTGGTCCGTCCCAACTGCCCTTCCCTCCAGGAGTGCCCCCAGCCCAACTGCTCTCCCCGGCAGGCCTGGGTCCCCACCAACTGCCCTTCCCTGCAGGCCCGGTCGCCCCCAACTTCCCTCCTCTGCCAGTCTGGCCACCCCTAACTGCCCTCCCATACAGGGATGGTGCCTCCCAACTTCCCTCCCCTGCTGACCATCTTGTGTTCACATAGGAGCAGGATCTTTGACCACATGGGGGCAGCCATCTTGTGTGCTGGAGTAATGGTCAATCTGCATATTACTCTTTTATTAGATAGGATAGAGGCCTGGTGCACAGGTGGGGTCAGCTGGTTTGCCCTGAAAGGTGTCCCAGATCAGGGTGGGGGTTCCCTTGAGGTGTGGGGCAGCCTGAGCGAGGGGCCTGTAGTGGTTTGCAGGCAAGCCAAGCCCCCTGGCGACCCAAGCTGAGGCCCTGGTATCTGGGAATTATTTACCTTCTACAACTGAAACTTTGTTCCTGGAGTGGAGCCAAGCCCCCTGCTCACTCTATGGTGGCATCTATAATTGAAACTTTGTATTCTTGAATGGAGGCCTGGGTGGAAAGCTTGGCTTCCTATATTGAAACCCAAGCCTCTCAACTGCTACAACCATCTTGGTTGGGATTAATTTGCATACTCACTCTGATTGGCTGGTAAGCATGGCTAGGGTGTGGCTAGGGGTGTGGTTTGAGTGCAGTGATGATTAATTTACATATTACTCTTTTATTAGTTAGGATAGAGGCCTGGTGCATGGTGGGGGCCAGCTGGTTTGACCAGAAGGGTGTCCTGGATCAAGCTGGGGGTTCCTTTGGGATGTGGAGTGGCCTGGACGAGGGGCCCATGGTGGTTTAAAGGCCGGACATGCCCCCCAGCAACCCAAGCAGAGGCCTTGTTATCTGGGATTTTATCTTCTATAATTGAAACTTTGTAGCCTTGAGCAGAGGCTAGGGCTGCCCCCATGTGGACACAAGATGGCCACTACAAGATGGCCTGCAAGGGAGGGTAGTTATGGCAGTTAGGGGTGACAAGGCCTACAGGGGAGGGCATTTGGGGGCAACCAGGCCTGCAGGGGAGGCAGTTGGGGGGCCTTCAGGCAAGCAGGGAAAGCAGTTAGGGTGACTGGGCCAGTAGAGGAGGGCAGTTGGGGAAGACCAGGTCAACAGGGGAGGGCAATTGGGGGGATCAGGATTGCAGGGGAGGGCAGTTCGGGGAGACCAGACTGTCAGGCAAAAGTAATTAGGGTTGACCAGGCTGAAAGGGGAGGGCAGTTAGTGGCAATCAGGCTGGCTAGGGAGCGGTTAGGTATTGATCAGGGTGGCAGGAGAGTGGTTAGGGGGTGATCAGGCTGGCAGGCGGAGGCAGATGAGTGGTTGGGAGCCAGCATTCCTGGATTGTGAGAGGAATGCCCGATCGGGCCTAAACGGGCAGTCAGACATCCCTCAAGGTGTTCCAGATTGGAGAGGGTGTAGGCAGGCTGAGGGACAGCCACCCCCACCCCCACCCCCATGCATGTATTTCATGCACCGGGCCTCTAGTATATACATATTCTTCTTTGCAATTCATGTGTTAGTTATCATATTATCTTAATTATAGTTTTTCTTCCCAGAAAAAGTAAACAAACATATCATTACCTTCTGTGAGATAGCAATTTTAACTTCTCCTTGGAGTGCTTCAATTTGCTTTTTCCTCTGTTCAGTCAATAGCTTTAGCTCATTTATGTTCCCCTGGAGTTGCTGTTCTTCTTTTTCCTTTTGTTTTAAATTATCCTGGGCCTGTATGACTTGTCCCTGCATTGAATTGAGTTCCAACTTCAAATGATGAGAAGTCTATAAGAATAGAAAATCCATTTGCATTCATTTATTCATCAAAACACATTTACTGACTACTACTTGCCAACCACTATTCTAGATAGAAACTACTGAGCCTATTGGCCACAGGTAATCAGTAGTGAACCAAAAAAACAAAACAGAAATCCTTATCTTCATGGAGCTTTCATAACCGAACTATTCACTATTAGATGATACACTGGATTAATCTTTAATATTTGTTTAACCCTAACTTCCTTTTAAATTTATGATTTATGTATTTGGATAGAGCTTGTAAATGAACATACAAGTATTCCCTTGTGTCACAGAAAATATGATTATCAACATCAATCTTTAGATTGCTAGAATGTCTATTGTTTTTCTAGAACACAAAAAAACCTTGATATAACGGGCTAATTTGGGCAAAGGGGTGTCCATTAAAGCTGAAAAATTTATTATATAATAAAGTAATTTTTCCTAATGTGTATGTTAAAAAATTGACAAATTAGTTAATCTGTTTTTACTTATGTAGACACATTTGTATGATTAAAATTAAGTATGTATGAAAAGTTTAATTTCACAGAAAAGTTTTCTATATATATTACTGTAATTTTAAATTTATATTGAATATACTAAATTTATACTATGCAATCACTAGTCACCACGAGTGGCTAAGACGTGGCTTAGCACACCTTGAAACATTGGAGGGCATGCATTAAAAGCGCTGCAAAAATTCACGCCAAAGGACAACAGAACCAATTACCATGCACAATGCAATGTGATCATGTGCTAATCATTCACCGAAAAGTGTTTACGGACTGTGACTCTTAGATTTAAATATGTAAACTATAATTGTAGATATGTAATATTTATTTATGGTAGTGAAATTACTACAGTGCTTTTTTCCCAACATATGGCCCATTCGCAAAAATTTGTTAAAATTAACAGTGAATTCATAACAAAACATAACCTGTTAATTTAAATTAAAAGCAAATTTTGGTTAAAAGAATTTTAAAGTTAATAGGGTGTTAATTTTCACATATGACATATGTACCTGAAATTTTGTTCATTAAATCTAAAGTCTGTTAAATGGAGGTCTGCAAAATTAAGGGTTTACTGTATTCTCAAAATTCTAACTGAGCCTGCTGCCCAGGGTTAGTCAGAAAGAATAACTTCATATTAACTATGACAAAAATTAAAATTGCTTTGGGAAATACATTTAGTATCTGATGACACTAAAACACACCACACAATAGTTTCCTCTTTTAGAGAAATGGGACATATTTTGCTACTACTTTGTTTTTACAATCTACTAGCCTATATTTCTGTACAAAATTTAGATACCGTTTATAGAAGTCACATTGAGGTTCCTCTGTGGCCAAAGTGAATTAACACTATCTCCTACATTTCCAGCTAAAGTTATGTTTTAATGTTTTATGAATATTTCATTAAGAAGCTAACTTGAGCATTTGATCATATTCAAAGTTACTTTTAAAAAAGTTTCAGTACTACATATGGGTGCTTTAGCTATTTCCAATGCAAAGGGAATATTTTTGTGTAAAATAGAGGTCAGATAATATAACAATAATGATGACTATGTTGTGATAAAAGTAATTTAAAAAAACTTAGAGTATTTATTTTATTCCAATCAGTGTTCTTAACACTTCAAAATATATTAACCCATATCTTTCTCACAATTTTCCTATGTCATAGATTTTTTTTTAAAATATATTTTATTGATTTTTTACAGAGAGGAAGGGAGAGAGACAGAGAGCCAGAAACGTCGATAAGAGAGAAACAATGACCAGCCGCCTCCTGCACACCCCCCACAAGGGATGTGCCTGCAACCAACATACATGCCCTTGACCGGAATCGAACCTGGGACCCTTCAGTCCACAGACCAACACTCTACCGCTGAGACAAACCAGTTTTCGGCCTATGTCATTGGCCTATTATTAGTCCTGTTGTACTGCTGTGAAAACTGGAGCACAGAGAAATTAAATAATCTGCCTAAAACAAGGCAAGACAGAATAACTAATTAGTGGCATAGCCAGTAAGAATTTCTGGACAATCTGGATTCAGACCTTGAGCACTAAACCACCATAATTTCATATTTAAGACTTGTCAGGAGTAGGTTTTGCTGTTTTTTTGATCACTAGAAAACTACATACATAAACTCTAATTACTAGAGTTATGTCCTCAGAGAATTACAACTATTATATTATAACCATTTATTTACTCATTTGCTTGTTTGTTTTTTATAGAGAGCAACAGAAAAAATCTCTATAGTTATTCAACCAATATCATATGTACCAATATAAATGTCTATGAAATAAATAGCCCTTAAAAAAGTCATTTCTATGGAAAGCCTGTCAAGATTTTTTCCAACACTAATTCCTAATTTAGATAATCTAATAACTCAATAGTTAGTTGACTCAATTTTCCATCTTTAATTATAATTTTAAATTCTGGGTCTTTTATTACAAAGTAGCTTAAATCTTTTTAGTAAGAGGTAGAACATAAATTATAGTTTTAAACTATGTATATATGATTTATATATTTCAGATAAACTTTCCTTTGATTTATGCATCAGCGTGAAAATATTTTTAAACATAAAGGCCTTTTATGCTTTACATATTTTATGTTATATAAAAAGAAAATCTTGCTGAAACTGGCTTGGCTCAGTGGAGAGAGCATCAGCGTGCGGATTGAAGGGTCCCAGGTTCGATTCCGGTCAAGGGCATGTACGTTGGTTGTGGGCACATCCCCAGTGGGGGTGGGGGGTGTGCAGGAAGCAGCTGATCAATGTTTCTCTCTCATTGATGTTTCTAGCTCTCTATCCCTCTCCCTTCCTCTTTGTAAAAAATCAATAAAATTTATTTTTTTTAAAAAGAAAATCTTACCTCCTTCTCTTTTTCAAGTGATTTTTTCAGTTCATTCTGATCCTTAAGTGTGCTTTCCATCTGTACTTGAAATTGATGCTTCAATTCTTTGCAAGTTTTTTCCTAAAAAAAAAAAAAAAAAAAGAAAGAAAATATTTGTAGTAAGTATAGGAAGTTTGATTTATAAACTTAGTTAAGATCCACACAAGGAAATCAACTAGAATCACTGATGGCTTAAAATGGGATAGAATTTTCCATTTTGATTATAAAAACAAGCAAATATAGCAATAAATGTAGAAAGACAGGAAAAGGCTAAAAGTTTCTATCATCAATCAACAGTTTCAATAAATGTTTTAAATAATATATAGACAATATTTTGGAATGTTTTTACAACACAAAATTAATTATAATTAATTAACTTGTCATGTAATTTTTAAAGTAGAATAATGGGCTTCAAGAAGTGAAAGCAAAAAAAAATTAACAGTAATTATTAAAACAACAAATAAAAAATAATCACATTTAAGAGGGAAAAGGTACAAAAAGAAACATAAAAGTAACATACTAGTATCACATGATTTTTATACTACTAAACACTTTCACTCTTAAGAACAAAAGGATAAATATAGAGACAGTAAAGCAACAGCAGACTGTCAAATTACAGCGGGGAGAGTAGGGAGATCTGGGGGAGATAAGAGATCAACTGAAGGACTTGTATACATGCATATAAGTACAACCAATGGACACAAAACTCTGCGGAGGGAGGGCATGTATGGGGGGGAAGCAATGGTAAGATATGTACACAGATTATTTAATAAAAAAATTTTTTTTTAAGAACAAAAGGATATTACTTACAGTGTTATTCTGTGTTATTTTGGGTTAAAATATTTCTGAGAATACATTCCCCTTTAAACATTTCCTAAGACTGTGAGACTTTTTTTCTCTGTATTTTAAGTAGGTTTTATGGTATCTTTAAGACATGGTATTATCCAGAATTTTAGAATCTACATATATAAAAGCCTAAGCAGCTGACCGAATGACCAGTCGCTATAATGTTCATTGATCACCAGAGGACAGACGCTTAACACAAGGATCAGGCTTCCTCCTGTCTGGATCAGGCCTGCGGGGATTGGGCTCCCTCCTATCTGGACTGGGCCTGCAGAGAGCGGGCCCAAACCGGCTTTCCGATATCCCCAAGAGACCCGGATTGTGAAAGGGTGCAGGCCAGCCCGAGGAACCCTACTGATGCATGTATCTGTGCACCAGGCCTCTAGTGCTCAATAAACATTAGAATGTTTATAGTACCAGAATTAAGAGTCAAGCTCTTTCTTGTCTTTTGTCTTTTTTCTTTCAAAGATATGTGAATAATGTTTCAACTAGTAGCTATATTTTCTGTGGAAATGTCTCTGAGGACAAACCTGCTTCAGTCTCTCCCAAAACTCGTATCATACTAGCCATAAAATAAGATTGTGTGTTCAATTGAAACCCCAAGTCTTTGAAAAATTACATATGCACATACCAATATCTTTTCTTCAGGTTAAGCAATCCCAATTCCGTTCCTGATAAGAATTATTTAAATCATTTAAACATAGGACAAAATGTCAACAGTGAGTTAAGTAGAAAAATCAGTATATTTCAGTTGGGGGAAAAAATCACTTTTACCTAAGAAAGCAAATGTAAATACTAACCAAATCTAATATAGCAGCCTTTCCTTTCTGATTTTCTTTTTCAAATTCACTTTTGGAGTTCTTCAAAGAATCAGAAACTTTTGATAATTTCTCTTTTGCTGCAGAAAGTTCTGCCTCTAGACCTTCTTTCTCCATCTTTACTTTTTGTAGTTCTGCTACTGCGGTTTGAACTTTGTTATTCAATTCCTTGTGCTGCATCTTTGCATCTTGACTTAAATTTTCTATTTCTTTTTTAAGAATTGTTTTTTCTTCCTCTTGTTTGGTAAGCATTTGCTTATTATATTCAAAGGCTTCAGATTTTTTCTGTAGGTCCAATTTTGTACTGGATACTCTAAATAGATAAGAAACAATTTTTTAAATGATTCATAATTTACCATCCCTAAGGTAACATTCAAATTAATAAATTATTATTGAGTTTTAAAATTTTCTTGTACAGTTAAGAATTAAAAAAATTAAATGTCATAAAATCACATAGTAACTAAAAAATGCTTTAAAACATATATCATGATCATTTAACAGATGATGATTTTTTTGTGTGTCAAATAACTCAATACCATCCAAGCCTCCTGACTTAATTCAGTCTTATCCACAACAATGGATCAAAAATAAAATTAAAACTGCATATAACAGACCTTCTAGTCTATAATAGCCAGAAACTTTCCTATTTATTGAGTTATCTCCCAAGCACATAGAGAACTTTGCCTTTCCTTGAAAACATAAAACACATTAACCCAGAAAAAAATAAACTTAAAAAAATAAATATTTCATTTCAAAGAGGAAAGACAAATGATTTACTTCCATCCTAAAGTTTAGCAGATTATACAAGAGATTTATTATCATTTGTTCCTTAACCTAAGTTTTCTATCCCTGAATAAAGTACAATAATGAGGAAATGTAAATATAGCTTTAGGAAAATTAAACTAAAGGCTTAATAAATAAATAAATATATATATACATATATATATATATATATATATAGAGAGAGAGAGAGAGAGAGAGAGAGAGAGCGCGCGCAAGAGCGCGCGCATCAAAAATACATATTAAATATCAAGCATTTTTTAAAGTGAAAATAAAACCAGATGCAAAGTACTAATATTTCTTGAATGCATTTTCAATATACTTTGTAAACATAAATTCAATAATGTGGAGAAGAAAAGTTGTTAAAAGATACAGCAGCCACATATTTCTCAGAAAGTGATAGAATAACCAGAGAAAAGAACTGGTAATATCATAGAAGATTAGAACATTATTAACCACCTTGACCTAATTGATATTTATAGGATATGTACACATATGTACACATAAAAAAATTAAACAAGACAAGCCATAAACTGGGTCATACATGAGACAGTTTGAAAGGTCTTACAGAATATTAGAAATCTTACAGAATATTAGAAATCAATAAAAGCCCCAAACAACTGTAAAATAAACAACATATATTTCTAAATCACCCATGCATCAAAAAAGAAATCACAAATAACATTACAAAATACATTAAACTCTACAATAATGAAAATACATTGTCCACTGTAAGTTGAAGAGAAAGAGTTTAATGCCTACATACTGTTGGGCCTTGATAAGGAGAGCCCTGTACTCCCTCAATCAGGGGGAGGTTTAGGTAAATCCCAAACATGTTTATGCAGCCCTCCATTTCTAGCACTCTAGATATAAGGAAAACCTTAGTACTAAAATGTTTTCCTACCTCAATATGATGTGGAAGCCTTTGAGTGAGTTCTTAACCATGAGCATAAAACACAGAATGGAAATGGGCCCATTTCCATTAAGCCAAGTAGAAATGAAAAGAACCATAGGTCTATAGGGGCCTTGGGAAAGAGAACAAGAACCAACCAGAAGTGATCTTCATGAATCGATAACTGAGTTTCAGAAGTAATAAACCAACCATTCAGTTGGTGATATAAAGGATCAGATGTGCTCCCCAAATACATAGGCATTGGAAACTATGATGCTAAGAGTGAGAAAAAATGTCATTTGAGGCACAAAATGCAGCTCTATATCCTCAAATTTAAATTATCAGGACCCAATTTACTAGATATGAGAACAAGAAATTTTCATTATCACTTCCAAACAAGAATGAAACCATGAACTCAGGAAACAACATATTAACTCTCATGTGTTTTATTTAATTTCCCAGAAGGTCTTCTTCCCAGGCTCTCAGCCTCTAATTTTACCACTGAGGTCAAGGAACCTAATCCCTTTGACACAGATGAAGTCTGTCAACTCAGTCACAGTAGCCTATGTGGCATTTAAAGGCAAAGATTCCTGAAGTGTGACTGCTCACAGTCTTCCTATGGAGAGATTCAGATGAATGGGGTGAAACTGTTTTTATCCATCAAAAGTCTGGTGAGTTATGTGTCCACTGAAGATCTCATAGGAAAATCCAATCCAACCATCAACATCAAAGACAAGCTAGGCAAGAGACTAACTCTACCTTGGGACTAAAGAAAGATGTCTCAGTTCAGTGTTTTTATGGCTATGGCATGTGTCCAGCCAGAGACACATACCCTCTCTGCCACCAAAGACATTTGAAATTTCATTTATCAATTAACATTTTAGGATCTCAATATCTTTTAAATTAAAGACCGTTAAAAAATAGTAACCACCTTTATACTCTGTTATGAACCCATTGAGCACTTAGTGCAAATGAGAAAAAGGATAAACTCTATCAAGATAATTTATTCCACCTATTGAAAAACTCATACTATACTGATTTTATTAGAATAAGACATATAACTACCATCTATAGTCATCTGACACGTATCATTGACAAAAAGCAAAGGGGGTGAGGAGCTGAAAAAAACACCACAAAAGGTAGACAGCCACAAGGAAGTTTTCACATTAAGAAACTATAAAGAGAAGACCACTAAACCAAGTCTAAGGTAAAAAATAGGAAGAGAAATAAATGAAATAGCAAACTGACAAAGAAAACCAAATTAAAAGATTTTTTTAAATATATTTTATTGATTTTTTTTATAGAGAGAAAGAGAGAGGGATAGAGAGAGTTAGAAACATTGATGAGAGAGAATCATTGATCAGCTGCCTCTTGCACACCCCCTAATGGGAATGTGCCCGTAACCAAGGTACATGCCCTTGACTGGAATTGAACCTGGGACCTTTCAGTCCGTAGGTTGACGCTCTAACCACTGAGCCAAACAGGTTTTGGCTAAATTAAAAGATTTTTTAGGGACCGGTTTGGCTCAACGGATAGAGCGTCGGCTTGGGGACTGAAGGGTCCCGGGTTCGATTCCGGTCAAGGGCATGTACCTTTTGGTTGTGGGCATATCCCCAGTAGGGGGTGTGCAAGAGGCAGCTGATCTATGACTCTCTCTCATTGATGTTTCTAACTCTCTGTCTCTCTCCCTTCCTCTCTGTACAAAATCAATAAAATATATATATATATATATATATATATATATATATATATTTTTTTTTTTTTAAAGAATCTATATATTTTTTAAAAAATAAAAAATAAAAGATTTTTTAATAGAATTTCTAAATCTCTATTTAGGTTGATCAAGAAAAAAGAGAACACAAATTACATTAAGAATAATGAGACATCACTACAGATCCTACAAGATTTTAAAATAATAATACAGGGTGGAGTAAAAGTAGGTTTACATTTGTTTGTATGGAAAATACTATAATAATTAATAAATAATAAAAGAATAAATTCTTGTGTTTCACATAAAATGGTGCATCTACTTTTGCCCCACTCTGCATTATAAAATTCAGATAAAATGCACAAACTCCTCAAAAGAATTAATTACCAAAATAGATCCAAGAAATACATTAGAAAATAAAAATATTTGTATATCTATTAAGAAACAAATAATATCCACTTCATACAAAGCAGAATTCCCTTTTTTAAGAACAATATAACCATTATTTTAAAACTTTGACAATGACATTAAAAGAACATTAAATGAATGCATGTGAAATTTCAGAAAGCAGAATTCCCGTTTTTAAGAACATTATAACCATTATTTTAAAACTTTGACAATGACTTTAAAAGAACATTACATGAATGCATGTGAAATTCTAAATAAAATAATATCAAGTTAAATACAGCAACATATAAAAAAAATAACAAGATGGTCAGGTGGAATTTATCCCAGGAAAGCAAGGTTGTTTAAAATTTTTAAATCAATTAATGTAATTCACCATATAACAGAATAAAGGAGAAAAAACATATGATCATATAAAAAATGCTGAGAAGTTGATTTAAAAAATCTTTAAAAATCCTTCTTTATTGTAGAAAATTATCTCGATTTGATATAGGAATGTAGGAAAAACCTACAGCTATCCTCTAAATTGAAGGTAGTTTATTTAATTTTCCCACCTAAGACTGGGAATATTGCAAATATGTCCACTATTACTATTTATATTTATAATTTTACTGTAGGTGTCAGCCAGCAATAAATCAAGTAAAAGATTTAAAAGGCCTGCAGATTGAAGAAAAAATAAACTAAAACCATTGTATTCACAGATAACAAGATAGTCTACTTAGAAAATTTTATATAAAACAATTACTAAATCATGAAACTGGATTTAACAAAGCTAAAGGATAGAAAGGCAATCTATAAAATTCAATTGTATTTTGCACTATTCACAATCAGATAATTTGATTTTAAAAAGTAATTAATTTAAAATAGCATTGAAAAATGTAAAATATTTAGAAATAAATTTAACAAAATATGCAAAATCCTTATTTTAAAAATAATAAAATGTTGCTCAGAGAAATTAAAGAAGACCTGGTTCAGGGATTAAAAGACTCAATAAAGTTCAAATGTTAAATTCTTGAAAACTGAACTACAGATTCATTACAATTCTAATCAAAACCCAATAATTTATTTGTAGAAATAAACAATATAATACTAAAATTTATATGGAAGAGTTGTCATTCTTTTTATATATTACTGCATGGATTTGAAAGAGTTAAGGCAATCTTGAAAAAAATTAAGTTGGAAGACTGATACAACCTAATATTAAGATCTACCACAAAGCTGTAAGAAAACAGAATGGTACTGGTGTCAGGATATGATATAGATTACAGACCAATGGGCACAGAATGGAGTCCAGAAACACCTACATATATTCGGTAACTCACTTCTGACAAAGGCCACTCAAGAGGAGAGAAAATGTTTTCTCAACCAATGTTAATATAACAACTTAATGTAAGTAGGAAAAGGTGGTCTTGGACCTCTACCTGAGACCTCACACAAAATTAGGTTCAAGGTAAATCCTAGACCTATGTGTAAAAAACAAAACTATAAATACTTCTAGAAGAAAATATAAGACAATTCTTCATAAACCCTGGGAATAGCAAAGATTTCTTAGAAAAAAATGCAAAACACCAAACATAAAAGAAAAAAATTACAAATTGAACTTAAACAAAAATTAGAACTTCTATTCACTGAAAGATAAAACCAAAAGATCTAAAGCAAAGCTACTTGGGGGGGGAAAAGGTTTTAAAATGTGCTCATAAATATAGACAATTTGTGAAAATGCATCTTAAAGCTAAAATAGATTATTTCTTACAAATAAAGTAGATATATTCCCCTCAAAGCAAAAGCCTGACTGCTCTTTGGTGGTTATATCTAAACACCACTCTATTTGTTATTTTACATTAATTTTTGCAAATCGATGAACAACTCAAAATAACTGCTTTAAGCCAGAAAAATGAGTACCACGTTACTGCTGAAAAAAGACTAGATAACAACTTTTCAGTCCTTACTAGTGAAGATAAATTTAACCATATTATGATGGCCTTATTTTTTCATTTACATTAATATTAGTTGTTTATAGAATCAACACAGAGAAACATTTACTAAATCTTTAAGCAACATGATAGCAAAATTAAATTTTAAGAATTTAAAATTAAATTTAGATTATAAGTTATAATACTTAGATTATAATATTCTTCCTTAAATAGTTAAGCTTACATTTCTTTCTCCACTTCTAGTTGTTTAGTCAATTCTGTGACTCTAAACTCTAAATCTGTGTTCAGCTGTCTTTGCTGTTGTAGATCCTGCAAAACTTGCTCCTTGCTTACTTTGACTTCAAGAGTATCAGCTTCTAGTTTCTATGGAAAAAATATAACATAGTAACCATTTTATGTCAAAAATTATTGTAAATATTTATAAAGTTTTTGTTTTATACTAAAATTGGTATTGATATAACACACAAAAATAGCCATAAAATGTAATGGCTTCAGAATGTATTTAAGTAAAAAATACATTCTGAAGCCATTACTGAGAAAAGGAGCCATTTATGTTGAAATCCTCCAAAAGAACTAGCAGCAGGCTTTACACATGATAGTCACTAAGTTTTTACTATTTAAAATTACCTGAATAAAAGAATAAACTTAAAATAATTATACTTACAGTGAGTATAAATTGTTAATTCAAGTATGAAAAAATAAAAAGTTCACAAATGGGCCTACTTAAAATATATGTATTATTCTTGTCCTGGTCAATGTGGCTCAGCTGGTTGAACATCATTCCATACAACAAATGTCACTGGTTCAATTCCCAGTCAGGGCACATGCCTGGGTGGCAGGCTTGACCCCCCAGTAGGGGGTGTGCTGGAGACAGCCAGTGGGTGTTTCTCACCATGATCTATCTATCTATCTATCTATCTATCTATCTATCTATCTATCTATCTATCTATCACTCTCTCTCTCCCCTTCCCCTTATCTCTAAAATCAATACATTTAAATATATGTATTTATATTTAATATAAGTATACATATATATTAAATATAAACATACAATATATATCCTATCTAATAAAAGAGTAACATGCAAATTGACCATCATTCCAACATACAAGAAGGCCCCTCCTATGTGGTCAAAGATGGCTGCTCCCATGTGGACACAAGATGGCCACCACAAGATGGCCTGCAGGGGAGAGCAATTGTGGGTGATCAGGACAGCAGAGGAGGGTAGTTGGGGGTCCAGGCCTGAAGGGGAGGGTAGCTGGGGGGCGGAAGCAGGCCTACAGGGGAGGGTAGTTGGGGGGACCAGGCCTGCAGCGAAAGGTAATTGGAGGTGATCAGGACTGCAGGGGAGGACAGGGGCATTCGGGCTGGTAGGGGAGTATTAAGTGTCTTTGATCAGGCTGGCAGGGAGTGGTTAGGGGTAACCAGGCTGGTAGGCAGAAGCAGTTAGGGGCAATCAGGCAGGCAGGCAGGTGAGTGGTTGGGAGCCAGCAGTCCTGGATTGTGAAAGAGATGTCAAAATCAGGCCTAAATGGGCAGTCAAATATCCTACAAGGGGTCCCAGATTGGAAAGGGTACAGGCTGGACTGAGGGACACACATTATATATATAACATTTTCTGTATTTACAGTTAACACTCATGTATTTACAGATATTCACAACTAAAATAAAGCTATCACATCATCCATCTCATTAACACCTATTAACCCTAAATATATAGTCAATTAAATTCCTGATTTTGCTTCTTTAATATCTTGGTCTAGAAACTGTTCTTCATAATGCAGTTTCTGTCCATGCATATACATATAACTATGTATATATTTACAAATTTAAAAGATCAAGCTGTTAAGAATATAGGTTGACTATCTATAAACAATATATTTTCTTATATAGGTGTAATAATTTTGCATTCTATTTTATAAACTAACTTAGGTATCTGTGGCTCTTACTTGACATTTTTATTGGATAGCTGATATAACTAACATTAATTTTATAACAATATATTGATATAAAACATATGGAATACTCTATAAAATAATAATTACAAAATGTTAAAATATATGATAAATAAAATAGACATTGTTTCTAAAAACCTATTTTTTTAAAAACATCCAAATATATTATAAACTTGAGAAATTTTAGTTTAACTGAAAGTTCTAATTTAAAAACGAAGGACTCAGGTCAATGACTTCTAGGATATGTCTTTTAACTTAATCTCTTTATTAAATCAGCACTTTCCCTTGGAGTTGTGTTCAAGTAAGAAGCAGGATATCATAGAATAAATTTATTATTACATTAGAAATAAATCCAAAAAATATAAATGTAAAGTTTAAAAAAGGAAAAAGTCTAGAATGCCTTCAATAGTATATTGGAATAAGAAGGTAAGAAAATGATAGAACAAAAGAGACTTCACACAAAAAAACAATTAATTTCCTTGCAATTATAAAGTAGATCCCTGATTGACTGTCTCTTTGAAATACTAGTTATACACTGCAATGGAACCAGTATAAATATTAATTGTCAGTTTTAAAAGCCATCCACTAATGAAGAAATCAAAGTAAATGTAGAATTCAAAATTAACACATAAAAAATCTAAGTAATTTAAAAAAATTTATATCATAACTTCCCCCTTGTTCGCAAATGTAAAATATTTTATTCCATCCAAGTCATCAGTTTCCATTGCTACAGCTGTGAAAAATATTGCTAAATTCAATTTAATTTGTACAAACCTTAATATGACCTTCTAATTCTTCAGTTTTCTGTTCTAAAGACAGGTGTTTCTCTTTATATTCTTTAAGATGACTTTCTAATTGATTGCAATGTTCTTGCTTCTCCTGCAATTTTGTAGTGATCTGATCGAACTGTGTAGTGATCTTATTTAACTCCTACAGAGAAATACAAGTGAAGAAAACTTTGGTAAAGCTTACTTTACTATAGTGCCTAAATGTTTGGTCAAACTAAAATTAAAACTCTAATTTTATTTATGAAACTATCTGGAGTAAGATCACAGGTAAGCCTAATGAATATTCAGTGGTTAAATTTACCCACCAATCTAAAGGTTCTGTACTGAACTTGTGCATAGTCTGAGATACTAAGTTTATACATATAAACAGTTCAATAACTTTTTCTAGAAAACCAAAAAATACAAAAGAATAATAAGCTGAAATAATTTATAACTAAATGTTTGCAATGTTCAAGACACTATTTTCAAAAATAACATTAAAAAATGATTACATCTATGATACTTGTTCAATTCATTAGAACTATCTAATTACACAGAAAGAGCAAAATAAAAATTACTGATAAATCCATCAACCATAGATAAACACAATTAATATTCGATAACTTTTCTTCTAGTGTGTTCTGTATATTAGTTTGTTTATTTCAATTTTTAAAATAAAAACAGGAACTAACTTTACATACTGTTTCACTGAAACCTCCTTTATCCTATATATAAAAAAAAAAGGCTAACATGCAAATTGACTGAACAGCATAATGACAGGTCGCTGTGATGTGCATTCACCACCAGGGGGCAGTCATTCAACATAGGAGCTGCCCCCTAGTGGTCAGTGTGCCAGAAGCTGGGCTCATGGCTGGCAAGCACAGTGGCAGTGGCAGGATAGTTAGAAACATCAATAAGAAAGAATCATCAATCAGCTGCCTCTTACACACCCCCTACTGGGGATGTGCCCACAACCAAGGTATATGCCCTTGACCGGAATCGAACTGGGGATCTTTTGGTCCGCAGGCTGACGCTCTATCCACTGAGCCAAACCGGTTTCGGCCATGTTTAATTTTTTGAGTTAACTCCATACTGTTTTCCATAGCAGCTGCACCAGTCTGTATTCCAAACAGTAGTGTATTAGGGTTCCCTTTTCTCCATATTCTCATCAGTACTTATCATTTGTTGATTTGTTGATGGTAGCCATTCTGACAGGTCTGAGGAGATATCTCATTGTCATTTTAATTTGCATCTCTGATGATTAGTGACTTTGAGCACTTTTTCATATGTCTCTTGGCCATCAATATGTCCACTTTGTAGAAGTGTCTATTTAGGTCCTTTGCCCATTTTTAAACTGGGTTATCTTTCGTTAAATTATATGAGTTCTTTATATATTTTAGAAATTAACCCCTTATCAGATGTATCATTATATGTATCAATCTCCCATACAGTGGACTCCCTTTTCATTTTGTTAATGCTTTCTTTGGCTGTGCAGAAGCTTTCTGGTTTGATATAGTCCCATTTGTTTATTTTCTCCTTTGTTTCCCTTGCCCTAGCAGATGTTATCAGCAAACATATTGCTACAAGAGATGTCTGAGATTTTGCTGCCTATGGTTTTTTTCTAGGACCTTCATAGTTTCATGACTTATAGTTAAGTATTTTATTCATTTTGAGTTTATTCTTGTGTATGGTATAAATTGGTGGTCTAGTTTCATTTTTGTGCATGAACTTGTCTAATTTTCCCCAAACCATTCATTGAAGAGACTGTCTTAACTCCATTTATGCTCTTGCCTCTCTGTCAAATATTGAGCATAATGGCTTGGGTCAATTTCTGGGTTCTTTGTTCTGTTTCATTGATCTATATGTCTGTTCTTGTGCCAGTACCAGTCTGTTTTTATTAGTGACTTTGTAACATAATTTGATATCTGGGTATTGTGATCCTACTTTATTCTTCTTTCTTAAGATTGCTGCTGCTACATGGGGTCTTTTTTGGTTCCATATAAATTTTTGGACTATTTGTTCTAAATCTGTGAAATATGCTATTGGTATTTTAATAAGGATTGTGTTGAAACAATAACTTTGCTTTGGATAGTGTGGAGATTTTGATTATGTTCATTAATCCTATTCATGAGCATGATATATTCTTTCATTTGTTTTGTATCTTCCTCTATTCCTTTTTTCAAGAAATACAGTTTTCTGAATACAGATCTTTTACCTCCTTGGTTAAGTTTATTCCAAGATATCTTATTTTTTATTGTTGCAATGCTAAATGGGATTGTTCCTTTAGTTTCTCTTTCTGAGAGTTCATTATTGGTATATAAAAATACTATCAATGTCTGAATATTAATTTTATATTCTGCTATTTTGCCAAGTTCATTTGTTAAATCAAGTAAATTTTTGGTGGAGTCTTTAGGGTTTTCTAGGTACAATATTATTTCATCTGCAAATAATCACAATTTTATTTCTGCCTTTCCAAATTGGATGCCTTTTCTTTTTTCTTTTTGTCTGACGGCTATAGCTAAGTCTCCTAGTACTATGTTGATTGAGAATGGTGAAAACAGTCATCCCTGTCATGTTCCTGTTCTTAAGAGAAATGCCTTTAGTTTTTGCTCATTGAGTATGATGTTGACTGTAGGTTTGTCATATGTGGCCCCAAATATCCTATTTTAGATTCTTATATTACTACTAAACTGTCTGCATTTATTAACAGAGATACAAACAACATCTGTAAAGCTATGATTATTCCCTTGAAATAAAGGACTAAAAGTGAGCTAGCATATATGAAAAATCCTAAAGTTCTTGAAATAGATTTTTAAATAGCTTCCCCTACCATGATCAAAAGATTGAACTAATATATACAACCCACTAGAATGTATGTATGTAAGTGTCTTGTTCTTTAAATCATCTCCAATCCTTTAAGTGTTAAACATATACACACATTTTACTTATTTAAGGGTATATTCCATTGTTGTCTTCATTTGCAACTGGTTCTTAATGAACATGAATATTTGCTAATATAGTTTTGATCACTTTTTTGTAGGTTCACTTATTTCTTATGTAAACGTGTTTTAAATATAAAAGCTATTAACCTTTCATCAGACATACTTCAGAAAAATCTTTTATTCTTTTCCTATTAGCTTTAGAATTTTGTTACTAATGTTTTTGGCAGATAAATTTAAAACTTTTATGTGGTTATTCTTATAAATATTTTTCCATTATAGTTTCTGGCACTGATCTTATGTTTATAAAATACTTTCCAGATGTGTAAGTAAAAAGTAGGTTGCAAAATAACCTATATAGTGATTCTGTTTATAAAATAAAAGTATAACTGTGTGTATATGTGTGTGTGATTTATGCAATACTTATAGAAGTCAGAAGGATACTTACCAAATTTAATAGCAAATATTCCTTCTAAAGATTGGAGTTTAGGGTAAATATAAAAATCAGTTTTGTTTTGATAGCTTGATATACTTAGTATATTGTTTTTAAAATTTGGACCAACAACTACTATTACTTCTCAAATAAAATATAAATTTTAAAATTGCCTACCTGGTAAAAAGTAAGGTTAACCTACCAAAATTTGGTCATTTTCCCTAAGAAGGAAGCTTGAAAAAGGTAACTTCTATATATCTCTCCCCCCCCACCCCCACTCCAATGACTCCCAAGAAAAGAGAGCAACTTTTATTATTGGGATGGAATGCATGTTGCTCTTTACTGCTTCCAAGTGATAAGTAAATCTGGTTTACAGCCCAGAATGTCTACTAAAACCATGTGTGCAAATCTCTCTTTGCCAGTGATTGGCACTTCATGGGATAGAACAACAATTCAACAATTTAAGACTGAATATTTCAGCTCCTCATGAAGTTCTAGCCGAGGGGAGAAATACATTATTCAGAAGGCCCAATCATAGATGCACTATAGGTGAGCTTATCAAAAACTAAAAATGAGCCCAGCCAGTGTTGCTCAATGGTTGAGCATCAACCTATGAAACAGGAGGCTACAGTTCAAGTACCATATTTCCAGTCAGGGCACATGCCCAGGTTGCAGGCTTGATCCTCAATAGGGAGCATGCAGGAGGCAGCCGATCAATCATTGATATTTCTCTTTTCATCCCCCTCTCTGAAATCAATAAAAACATTATTTTTTTAAATGATATTTTTATCTTCATTTGTCTGACTCCTGCATCTACCACTCCAACTGGTTCTGAACTCAGGAAGAAATTAAGGGGAATAAGCAAGTCAACCACAACAACATAAAACTGGGTGTTATCGCCGGGACTGGTTTGGCTCAATGGATAGAGCATTGGCTTGGGGACTGAAGGGTCCCGAGTTCGATTCTGGTCAAGGGCATGTACCTTGGTTGCGGGCATATCCCCAGTAGGGGGTGTGCAAGAGGCAGCTGATCGATGACTCTCTCTCATCGATGTTTCTAACTCTGTATCTCTCTCCCTTCCTCTCTGTGGAAAATCAATAAAATATATTTTTTTAAAAACACACACAAAAAAAACTGGGTGTTATCATTATATATGTTTACAATTAATTATCTATCAGAACATTAGGTTTTGGTGTGAACCGCATAAGGTACTCCTACCTGTTGTTTATCTTGTAATGCATTTTGGACTGTGTCCAAATGATTTTGAAGATCTGCTTTTTGAGCAGTTTTTGCTGCTTCTGCTGACAGCAACAATTCAGTTTTGGCTTTAACCTGTAACAAAATTTACAAGTCATTTAATCCATATTTAGTTATTGATTTCTTTTTGCATCAACTATACATTGCTTTTGTCACTAAATAATGTAAAATTTTAAGTGATTTGGCAAAAAACATAAAGATTTAAATATTAAAAAATTAGTATGTGATATCTCTAAAACAGAAAAAAGTAGGAAAGATTCCTAATAATGTTTGGATAAATGTTAAAAAGATGTTCCTATCTGTCATGTAAACACTTCTCTCTTTCTTAAATTGGACATCCATTAATTGGATTATCATATAACTCATCTGATAAACAATTATATTTCGAAAAGAAAGAAATATATATCCTTATATTCCAAGTTATATTATTTCCTATTTTTAGTATAATTAAGCTCCTAAAATAAAGAAATATTTCTAAAACTTTCTCTACTATAGTAAACAATAAGAAACCAATTATGAGGATGGAGAAAGAAGTATATCTTACTTCCAACCCCACAATTGAGCCAATGAATAAAACTTCTATATTGGCTTATGAAAGAATATATATATTTTTAAACGTAATGGTACCATATAAAGGTCTTTTTTAAATCATACATTTAAAGTAAAAGAAAAAGAAAAAACAAAGTAAAAAAATATATTTAACCTATAAATCTAAAGGTGTAATATCAAACTATTTTAAACTTGAAAAACAAAAATAAGAACTTTATGAAAGCAAGGCAAAAAGATCGGTAGTTTCAGGAAATACGGTTTGCCAGAAGAAAGAGGAAAAAAAGGCAAATAAGAAAGCACAACAAATTGTCAAAATACAGCCTTTATATAATTCTTACTCCCAATCTTTTTCCATTAATGAGAGATGGAGATCAGGCCAGGAAGAGTGGGGTAGGGATGGAGAGGTTCAAAGGATATAAAGAGAGGGGGAAACAATATTTTTAAAACATTTGATGGCCTAAAATTAGTGTTTTATTCATTTGCATAATTCAATATTACCTGTATGTCAAGCTGAGAGACCTTCTCCTTGCTTTCATTTAGCTGACTATTTAATTCATTGACACTGGTTTCTAGGGAAAGGACCTGATCTTGTGCAGCTCTAAGATGTGCCTTCTGCTCTTGCACTTGGTCATGCAAATTCTCCTGGGCTTGTTTATGGCTTTCTGACTGATTCTTCAGCTTCTCTGTCAGTTGAGTTACCTACCACAATAGCAAGACTAATTATGAAGGGCACAAATGTATAACAAGAGCAAAGAAACCCAAATTCAAGTACCATGAGAATAAAATGCTCTATGATAGGTTATCTTAATTTTTTTTTCAAGAATTGTTCACATCTCTCCAAAAATAAGTAAATATAATATCTCAAAAGCATAAGAAATAACATGAAATTCAGAGACTCCTATTTTAAATCCATCTCAATTAAGCTTAAATTAACATGAAACAAAACCGAATTGAATTATATAGTTAGACATTTGATAAATATATGCACTCATTTAATCATCACCACAGTCAAGATAGAGAACATTTGATTACTCCAAAATATTTCCTCATGTCCCTGTGAAGTCATGATCTGACTATTTCCTCTCCTCTCTATTTCCAATCATTGATCTGAATAATAAAAGTGCCCATATATTCTGAATAGTTCTATATTGTTAGACATATGCATTATAAGTACTTTCTCCTAGTCTACATCTTGGCTTTTATTTTCAAAATGGATAGTATACATTGTTTTTACTTAGATACAATATAATTCACCTGATTTTTATTTTTTTTGGGGGGGGGGTCAATGAGTTTCATAAATGTGCATATATAATTTTAATCAAACTAAAAATTTTTTCAGCCATTATTTCTACTAATATTTTCCTCCTCCCCATCCTTCTGTGACTAATTATATGTGATACTGTGCCACAAGTCATTAATCAGGCATACTCATTTTTTTCTAGCCTTTTCTATGTGCTTTATTTTAAATAGTTTTAGTTACCTTCTCTTTATGTTCACTGATACTGTTTTCTACTTGCTTAATCATGAAGCCCATCTAATGAAATTTTCATTTCAGATCTTCTTTTAAATCTCTACAACAGCAATTTTCAACCTTTTTCATCTCATAGCACATATAAACTAATTACTAAAATTCTACAACACACCAAAAAAATATAGGGTGTCCCCCAAAAAATGTATACACACTTTGAATAATTATAAAAGTAGTGTTTATTAAAATACATTTCATTTCAAGATGTAATAAAATCAGATGTTAAAGTGTGCATATATTTTGGGGGACACACTGATCTGACCAAAAAGTAGGTATAATTTTGATTCATTTACACTGGACAGCTATTGTTGTGTTTGCTGTTATCACTCTTTTATTTGACAATATAAGGGGAAGAGATCAGTGCTCCTAATTAAAATAGTCGGTATTGCATGTTTTAAAATTTTGGAGGGTACAATGGTTGAAAATTGCTGTCCTATAAGTTCTATTTGCTTCTGTTTTATTGGCTCCACTGTTTCTATTACTATAGTTTTTCTTTTATATCCATACGTATATAAGAACTTTTTAAAGAAGTTGTCTGGTGATGCCATCATCTTTCATTTCAGAGTCTCATTTCCATTGAATGATTGTTCTCCTGCTTAGAACTAACATGTTTTCTGCTTCTTCATATGTCCAACAATTTTTTAAAAATATATTTTACTGATTTTTTGCAGAGAGGAAGAGAGAGGGATAGAGAGTTAGAAACATCGACGAGAGAGATCATCGATCAGCTGCCTCTTGCACACCCCCTAATGGGAATGTGCCCGCAACCAAGGTACATGCCCTTGACCGGAATCGAATCCGGGACCCTTCACTCCACAGGCCAACGCTCTATCCACTGAGCCAAACCGGTTTCAGCTCAACAATTTTTTTATATTTATTGTGACAGCTCTGGATTTTACTGAATTCTTTCAAAAAATGTTGACTTTTGTTCCAGCATTTATTGTACTTGTGGTTCAGCTGGATGCTTTCTAGGTTTGTTTTTATGCTTTGTTAGGTTGGATACACACTAGCTTTTTACTGTAGTAACATTAGAGGTGTGACATCTCTGGATGTTTCTATTTCTCCCTTTCCCTTCCCTTCTCTGAAATCAATAAAAACATATTTTAAATGATATTTTACATATCACCTGTCTGACTCCTGCATCTACCACTCTAACTGAGCATTTACCTACGTCTTTCTTCTCTGACTAGTTTCTCTTAAACTATATATAAATGTTAGGCTAAGGTAACATCAAATTATTAGCTGTATATTCCAAAGATATTATCAAAATACTAGAGGTGGGGGAGGGGTTCCTCAGCCCAGCCTCTGCCCTTTCTCAGTCCCTCGCTCCTTACTGCCCACCTGCTCGCTGCTCCTTACTGCTCAGCTTGCTGCTCCTTAGCACTGCCATGGAGGCTGGAGAGGCTCCAGCCACCGCCGCTGCGCTTGCCAGCCATGAGCCCAGCTTCTGGCTGAATGGTGTACCCTTTGTTGAAGTGCACTGACCACCAGGAGACAACATCTGCCTCCTAGTGGTCAGTGTGCATCATAACAACCGGTCATTCTGGTTGTTCCACCGTAATGGTCGCTTAGGCTTTTATTATATAGATTTTATTAGTCATTGTTTTTTTCAAAACAAAATTCCATAAGGCAAGTATAATTATTAATAACAACTCTACTTTTCAAATGAGCTAACAAGGTGAAATGATTTGCTTATGTTCATATAGGAAATAAGTTATATCCTGGAACATGAACTGAGATTTCCTATCTCAAATCATGTTAACTTAATTTCACTACAATGGCAGTAGTGAAATTTCACTTAATTTCCTACCTCCAAGGTAAATGAGATGGCATTTGTCAAAATATATAATATAAAAAGTACTAAAAATAATCATAATGCCAAAGCCGGTTTGGCTCAGTGGATAGAGCGTCGGTCTGCGGACTAAAAGGTCCCAGGTTCAATTCCGGTCAAGGGCATGTACCTTGGTTGCGGGCACATCCCCAGTAGGGGGCGTGCAAGAGACAGCTGATCGATGATTCTCTCTCATCGATGTTTCTAACTCTCTATCCCTCTCTCTTCCTCTCTGTAAAAACTCAATAAAATATATATTAAAAAAATAAAAATAACCATAATGAAGAATCATTTAAGGAAAGAATTTCATAAGATTTAGAGAGATAATAGTGAATTTTAGATAAAGAATGGATCTGATAAGCTTACTTGTTCCTGCAATGTATGGTTTTTTTCTTGTAACTGGTTAAGAACAGCAGTCTCCCCTTCACCAGCCTGAATTTTTGCATAAAGGTCTTCTCTTTCCTTTTCTAATAAGGAAGTATTTTCTTTACTTTTCTGTAATAAGGCTTCAAGGTTCTGGATCTTTTGGTCCTTATCACCAATTTGACGTAGTACTTGTTCCAAATCATTCTGTAAAGAATTGAAAACTGACCTTAAGGACAGAGAACTTAAAAAGTTATTCCTTAAACATAAAATAATTTATAATATACTTAGTAATTCAAACACTTAGTCTGAATTTTTTTTCTAATCATTTTAACCTTGCAAATGTATTTAAATAATTAATACTATATATTTAATATAAATCTATATTATTGATAATAAACTAGAATTTAACAACAACAAAAAAACCTTCAAAGAACCAGATCCTTACTGTAACACTCTGTCCTCACCACCTACTACTCTTTTTCAATCATTTGAGACACATGGGACTCCTCATTATTCCTTAATCACACCAAGCATACTCCTATCTCAGAGCCTTTGCATTAATTTTTTCTTCTACCTGGAATATACAGTGCTCAGAGTCCTGGCTCATTTTCTCTTCTTCAAATGTTTATTTAAATAGCAGCTTCTCAGTAGGCCTATCTTAACCAATACACAAAATCACAGCCTTTCCCAATATCCTCTCTCCTGAATATTTTCTTCCCAAAGCACTTATCTTCTGACACTAAATGATTTATTTATTTTTCATGCTTACCTGCCTCCCTCCACCTCCTCACTAAAATATATGCTCCACAAACATGAGAATTTTGGTCTGTTTTATACATTGATTATCTAAGACACATATGCTCTAAAATACTTGTTGAAAAATAAATGACCACATTCTAACACGCAAACACTCAAGACTCACTTCATTACCTCAAAAGGACTCTTCTATCAATACAACAAGGGATCCCTTTTCCATTCTACCAAAGTAATGTTACACAGAGCACAGTGCAAGAGCCCACATCTAGAACAATGCCATTAACATTTTCAAGCTGTCTGACTCACAGCCTCAATCATTTTAAGAGTCAGAGAGCCTCTACCCAAAACAAGGCCCTAACAAGTTCCTCTGCCAGTCCTGTCATAGCCCCTACCATTGTGTGAGACAGAGCCAGCAACTCCTGGTATCCTCAATAACTTATACTAATATTAAAATATTGGAGATCAGTCACTTTTAAACATGCTTCTCTAAACTTCAATCACTTAATGAGGAAAGACAATCTGACCTCTCTGCTCTCATCCTCTTTTCTGCCACTAATGATCCCCACTCTCCACATTCCCCTAATCTAGAACCACAGGCCGAAGCTTTTTTCCAGTCACTCTGTTTCCAAGGAGTAATTGATATGTGGTTTTCTCTTTACAGACTCTGATTCCCCCTTAGTCCTTATACGAAGGCCCATTCCTGTGGGAAAGCAGAGAAGTTGACCCTTTCCTGTTTTTTCACCACCACTGCTCTCTCCCTTATATAAAAGTTTCATGCTGCTTTGGAGAGTAAGTAAATAATTCATTTATTCTACTCTCTATTCTGTGTTGCTATCATCTATAAATCCCTACCTCATTCACTGAAGACTTGAGACCTGATTTAGTCTTTCTCTCAATCCCAATTTCTGCCAATTTCCTGGGAAATACAAAATACATAGAGAATTAAAAGCATAGCTTCAACATTCATATCACCTTAATTCCTATACCTTTACTCATTCTATTAAATCGTTCACATGTAGAATCTTGTAATCACCTGAAATTGTTCCAGATGAAAAATTTCATCTCTCCTACTCTGTGACCACAACTTCCTGACCACCTTCCAATTTCATGACTTCATTTCTGCTCTTCAGTGTCAAAAAGACATTCATCTCTATTTTTTTAGCTTTTTTAGCATAAGTTTAACTTCTCTTCCAGAACCTTGCATATGAATGTGAACCTTTACTCTTCTTTCAACCACATTCTCCATTTCTTCACCCCCAAATTTCCAATACAGCCACCCCCAAGAAAGCCTAGATTAATATTGCAATCTGCTTCCTTCATCCTTACCTCTCTAAACATTTTAGAGAAAAATCACAAAATTCCAGATTGGTGACGCTACAAATTTCTAGACTTGAATCTCCATCACATACTCAGAATCATCCTATCATTTCACTTAATGAGATTCTCACCCTCAAACATTTCCCTAAATAACTATGAAAAAGCTTCAATATTTTCTCAAATTCTGCCTGCTTGACACTCAGCTATTATCCTAACTATATCCAAAGGGTGGGGGGAGGTTGGATATTCAGGAATATCTATCTTGATTTTCCATCTCCTAACCCATAAAGATTAAGGATAAATTCAAATCTACTGTATCAGTGACATCAAATTCAAATTTATTGTATCAGTGACATCATAGCTTTTCTCAATAACTTATTTCTTCAGTCACTTCTCCTCCAACATCCTCAATTACTCTCTTTCCATCAGTTTGTTTGTCCTAGATTATAAACATGTTCAGATAACTCTCATTCTCCCAAACACTTCCTGAACCAAGCCTCTGGCTCAGTCTTCATACAATTCACATTTAAATTTCAAATGTATTACATATTTACTTTCTTAACTCCTAAATTTCTCATTTACTCATCAATAAAAAATCAGACTTTCAACTACTTCACTTTAGCTAAATTACATTTGATAAGGTCACAAATTTACTTCTTAATTACTTAATCCAGCGGACATTTTTCATTCATCATACTGGGCATCCCTACAACACACCCAGCTTTGAAGTCCTTTAGCTTCCATTCTGTAGGCCCTCTGATCATTCTCTCTTTGGGCTGTTCTTCCTCTACTCATTTACTTTTTTAATTTTTATTCCTGGTTAATAACATTATGTACAACCTATATCATTTCTTACCTGGATAGTAGTTGCTTAGCTAATTTCTTTAATTCTACTAGTGTGTCCCTACTATCTACTCTCAAAACAGCAGCCAGAGTAATCCTGTGAAATTATAAGTCAGATCATGTTACTCCTTTGCTCAGAACCTTCCAGTGATTTCTCATCTCACTCAAGAGTAAAATTCTTAAAATAACCTAAAGGGCTCGACATGTTCTGATCCTCTATGATTTCTCTGTGTCCATTTTAATACTTCTCACCACTCCAACCACTGGCTTCCTAAAGGTCCTTAGATATGCTCCTGCCTCAGGGCTTTTAATATACTGATGTTCTTCTCTTCTATAATAATACCCACGTGGTTCACAACCTCCTTCCTTCAGGATTTTCATCTTCTCAGAGGGGTCTTCCTTGGCATGCTGACATTGCAGTCATTGACTTCTAGCTCCCCATCTCTTTTGTCATCATCATTTAATACACTTATATTTTGCCTATTTACTTTGGCTATTATTTGGTCCCTGGGAGCTGACAGTTTTATCTGTTTTCTTCACTGTCATATCTACAAAATCAATTCCTTGGCTAAGAGCAGGCACTAACATATATTTGTTGACTGAGTGAATGAAAGAACAAATAAATGCATACAGTATTTTGACTCCTATCCCTGTAACTCCCAAGCCACTCTCCAAATTCAGAAGGGAAAGACAGGCGCATTACTTACTGCCTTCTTTAACCTGGGTGGCAATTTTAGAGTTAGTGAATGAGGGTTTCCTAATATTATTTTTAAAAATATTTTGTGCCCTGCCAGCATGCTCAGTGTTTGAGCATTGAGCTGTGGACCAAGAGGTCACTGTTTGATTCCTGATCAGGGTACATTCCTGATCAGGTTGTGAGCTCAATCCCCAGTAAGGGACATACTGGAGACAGCCAATCAATGGTATTCTTTCTTCATTGATGTTTCTCTTTCTCTCTCTCTCCCTCTTTGAAATCAATAAAAATATATTTAAAAATATATATATTATGTGTGCATAGCATTAGGTTCCCATTTTCCAGGAGACAGCACTGTGTCTTACTCATCTCTTTATTCTCAGTGAGTACCACAGGACCTAACATACAGGACTTAATAATATTCTATGAATTAATGAAAGATTGAAGGAATAAGTGAATGGTAAAGTTGAATTCATTTCAAATATCTGGGCACCCTCTTCCCTTCACCATAACAAAACAAAAATTTAACTTCCTTTAATTTTCTAAGCTGTTCTGTAGAATCTGTATAAATTTAACCATTTATATTTTCTATATAAAAAATGCCAATGTTCATATGATAGTTCTGAAGCAGGAAAAGACATGACCTACAAATACTATGTTCTCCTGTAGAAAACACAAAATGTTATTTTTTACTGGGTTAACTTAATCAATAAATTTTATTCATATTTTTTTATTTTTCAAATAAGTTATTTAAACAATACACCTGAAACTAATATAAAACCGCATGTCAAAAGTAATTGAAAAATAAATAAATAATAATAGCAAATACTAAATAATATATTAGATATAAAAATAATTTAAATAAGTAATATACACTTTATTTAAATAAATTTAATATGCATTTAGTTAATAAATTAAATAACTAAAGATTTTAACAAAATATATTTACTTATAATAAATAATTTTTAAAATTCTTAAATATTTAAAGAAAATTTTCAACTTATCAATAAAAAGAATAAGATTTTCTGATTATCTAAATATTAAAAATTATCAAAATCCTTCATAATCAAGTATTTTGCATTATCTACTTTTAGCAAAACAAAGTTTTGGCTATTTTTATTTAAAAGGCTAATAATTCAAATAATAATTACCTGAGCTTCTCGAAGTTTTGCTGTAGTGCTTTGCTGAAGAGCTTGTTGTTCTTGATGCTGTTGCTTTGTTTTCTCTAATTGATGCTGCAGTTCTGTGGAATTTGTTACATTTTCCTTTAACTTAAAAAATGTAGACTGTCAGATGACAACTTAAAGGCATAATGTTATCAGTCATAAATATCAGGTATTATTTCACATCTCACAAATCTAGTCTGAAGAAAAAACTAAATTCAGACAATATATAATAAAATCAGTCTTATATGCAATATCTCATTGCTTATAGAATTTTAATATCATGATTAAAAAACTATTCCCTAGAAATAGACTGTCACCTGAGAAGTAATTAATTCTTTCTCCAGGATCCCATTTATTTTATTATTGTGTCTTACATATTAATTTGACCAAGGAATTACATAAAAATTTCTTCTAACAATAATCTAAACCATGTTATCAATATTTGTTTTATTTTTTTCTACAACCATAATTATCACTTATTGAAAAGAATGAATCATAATAATATTCAAGATATCTCAACTCAATAAACAAATTTACTAACATAAACTCATCTGAAATGCTAGCTTACCTCTTCTTCTAAACGAGAAAGTTTGAGTTGTAAATCAGCTACTTGCTGTTCTTTATCCATCAACTTCTCACTTGAAAGCTGTCTCTGTTCCTTCAGCCTTCCATGAGCTTCCCCTAGTTGGCGTTCTGTCTCCAGGAGTTTGCTATGTAACTTTAAAATATAAAAAAAATTTATATATGTGTGTGTGTATATATATATATATATATATATATATATATATATATATACACACACACACACACACACACACACACACACACACATACATATATATGTATAAACACATGCAGGACCATCACTACCACCACCTAGCTTTCAAACAATATTTTATTTTTCACCAATATTAGTATATCATCATAATTTTCATGATCCAACTCAATTTTAATCACATAAATTATGATGAATCCCATAAAGTTGTAATTAAATATCACATTTTCTGATTTTCTTGTTCTTTTAAAAAATACAGTGAAACAAAAGGTCTTGTTTGGACATAAGTATTGGAATCTCTTGGAGAACTTAAAATAACAAAGTGAAAGTTAAAAATTAAGACACTCAGAGCATAGGCATATTTCTCAATATTTTTCAAAATATGTTTTTATTGATTTCAGAGAGAGGGAGATGAAGATATAGATACATGATGAGAGAACAACACTGAATGGCTGCCTCCTGCATGCCTCCTAATGGGAATCAAGCCTGCAACCCCTGCATGTGCCATGAAGGGAAATCAAACCAGCAACTTCCGGATACAGAGGACCATCCTCAACTAACTGAGCCACACCGGCTGGGATCCACAGTATTTTTAAACATTACTACTGTTTTTTCATATTTATGAACCACCACAATTTACTTCTTACATTGGGTATTGAAGAGAACACAAAGCATTCTAAAGTCCTCAAAATGGTACAACATTTCTAAATAAAATAGAGCGAATAATTTAAAAATAAATATTAGGGGATCTTCATTCACTAACTCTAAAATCACTACCCAGTTAAAAGTAAAAGAGAAATTTGACATGGAACTAAATCAGAACTCAAATTCATTATTCTTTCTAATACCACCAGAAATAATAGTTACTTTCTCTTGGGATAGGGAGGGAAGTAGTTCCACTGAAAAAACAAAAATTTGTATTAATTTCAAAAGAATTGCCTCACATGCCTTTACCACCTTGGCTCAGTGAATAGAGTGTCAGCCTGCGGACTGAAGGATCCCAGGTTCGATTCCAGCCAAGGACACGTTAAGTCTGCTGCAGAAAGTCACCCCATGCAACAACAGAACCAACAACAGGAGCAATTACCAAAGGAGATGTGGTGTGATCATGTGGCTAATCACTGGCTAAACACTGTTTACTAGCAGTAACTCTTGGATTAAAGTATGTAGACTATAGTTACAGAGCTGTAATGTTTACTGATGTCAGTGAAATTACTACAGTGTTTTTTCCAACATATGGCCTATTCGTTAAAATTTGTTAAAAATAACAGTGCAGCCCTGGCCGGTGTGGCTAAATAGTTAGAGTTCTGGCCCCCTGCACTGAAGAGCCACATGTTCAAATCCTGATTAAGGGAACATATTTGGGTTGCAGATTAGATCCTACTCCAGTCAAGTAGAATTTGGGAGGCAACCAATTAATGTGTCTCTCTCACATCGATATTTCTCTTTTTCTTTCTTTCTCTCTCTCCCCCCATGCCTCCCTCCCTTCCACTCTCTCTAAAAATCAATGGAAAAAATATCCTTGAGTGAGGATTAATAAAAAAATAAAAATCAATTAATAATCATTTTTAAGCCGAAACCGGTTTGGCTCAATGGATAGAGCATCGGCCTGCGGACTGAAAGGTCCCAGGTTCGATTCCGGTCAAGGGCATGTACTGTGGTTGTGGGCACATCCCCAGTACGGGGTGTGGAATAGGCAGCTAATCGATGATTCTCTCTCATCAATGTTTCTAATTCTCTCTCCCTCTCTCCTCCTCTCTGTAAAAAATCAATAAAATATATTTTTTAAAATAACTGAATTAATAACAAAAAATAACCATTTAATTTAGTTATAAGCAAATCTTGGTTAAAAGCATTTTAAAATTACATATGGAGTAGAAATTTTAACTGTTAAATCCTAAATCTATTAAATAGAGGTCCACAAAGTCAAGGGTTAATTATATAACTAGAGACCCAATGCACAAAACTCGTGTAAGATTAGGCCTTCCATCCCCCAATTTACGGCACTGGCTTCCCTGTGGCACCCAGGCTTCACTCCAGCTGTCAGCAGGCATGCAGGACCCCAGCAGCCCTGGCTGCATCTGGAAGTACATCCAGTCTAATTAGCATACTATGCTTTTATTATTATAGATAACTATATTTTTTAAAAACATATATTTTTTAAAGTAAAAATAGAAGGTAACATGACACAGTTCTGAAGTTTGTTGGGTTTGTGGGCACTGATGGCTTCCTGAGGCTCTAGTTCCCTTAGGGTAGGTGTGGAGTGGCCCTGACCTCTGAGTCCCCAGCATGCATAGGCACCTGGGATGATATTAACCTGACACCCGCTGCACACTCTGGTATCTGGCTCAGCCCAGAGGCTGTATCTTTTCCACATCCACCATGCAGGAGACCTTCTGAGACATGCGGAAAGTCCTCTGGGTGGTGAAGAAAAATGACACAGCCAAGGGATCACTGACCTGCTATCCAAGGGTTTCATGAAGCTGAGAGAAGAACTTTCTAAATTCAACAAGATCTATGAATTTAATTATCACCTGCATGATCACATGTTACCATAATAATGACTTGGGTTTCTGAACATGTGCTGGCTTATGGTTTCCACATGCAGTTTTGTAAATGGCAGAGCTGCAATCTCTTTGTCCTCTTTGAAGCAGAAAATGAAAAGTATTGCCAAGAGAACTTTGTAAGCATCAAGAAAACTCTGGAACAAGAAACTAGGTATGTCTTGTCCTCTATCAGCTGTGCCTGGAGAACCCCAGGGTAATTGTGTTGGAAGTGAGTTCTAAGGCAAAGAGCAAGCGGAGGACTCAAGCTTTGGACACTATGGAAACCATGAGAATTGCCATAAAGCTCTACAATCAAGGGTAATTAAATTATCCCACGACTGAAACTTTTCCCCCAGAGACTTAAAACTAACAGCACTGGTGGTACAGCAGACATGGGATCCACACAGGTGGATCTTTTGCATTCAAGAGTGGGGTGGCCCCACCCCAGGCATTAGGAACAAGTCTGACCAAGCTCACCCTCCCATCTACCCCACCAAGCTTGCAGTAAAGAGATATCAATGTCAAAATTCTCCTATTTCACAATCTACTGCCTGAATCTGTGAAAGACCCCGATGGAAGATGAACAGAAACTGAATGAGTTTGTCGTTCGCCATTTCCTAGTTTGCTGTTCTTAGAATGTTCAGGGGCAGGAGACTACCATATAGACTGACATCTCTCAGGAACAATTTGTGGTCTATGGTTTTGTTATTCTGGCCCAAAACTATCTGGCTCTGTACCCATATTATCACTGGAGTGACAAGGTGATAAATCATAGTTGAAGTCAGAGGTCAGAATCTAATATCTCACCAAATAGGCTTTAGAGAGAAGAGGAAGATAACCATGTTCCCAACCCTAGAGCAATTGCGTGGACCAGACATGTTCTTCGAACTGGAAATTGTCTTTGGTCTGGAATGCCATGGCAGAATGGTTTGTCTGATCCTTCTGCTGCTCTCTGTAAACTGTCCCTATGAGAAAGGCTCTTGCTTTCAGGCCAGCACTGTGGAGACGATGGGAACGAAGATAAGTCTACCTCAACTGCTCACTAAAGCTGATCTTATTGCCCTCTTTAAAAAACATTGCACTGGTCAGTAGCTCACAACATGGCAATTACCACCTCTTAAGTGCAACAACTCTAAAGTAGGCTTTACATTCTGGACCCTAGTTTATAGCTGAAGTGAGGCTTAGAGAAGTTAGGAACTTAACCTAATGTCACAAAGTGTGGGAGCTATGAAAATGTAGGTCCAAATAACTACACAGTCATTGCTCTTAAGCAATGCTCTGCACCATCCATACACAGGTACCTCAGAGTTACTTCTGGTTTGGTTCTAGATTACTGCAATAAAGTGAGTCACATTAATTTATTTCCCAGCACATAAAAAAGTTAGGTTTAAATCTATTTAGTATGCAATAGCATCATGTCTTAAAAAACAAAGTATATACTTTAATTAAAAAATATTTCATTGCTAAAAAAATGCCAACCATCATCTGAGGCTCCAGAGAGTTGTCATGTTTTTACTGATGGAGGGCCTTGTCTCAATGTTGATGTCTGTGAAGTGCAATAAAATGAGGTGTGCCTGTAAAGATAGACATTTCCCACAAGTCTCAATGGGGAATAGGGGGTGGCCACAGACTCAATATTTTTGACCCACGTTGGAATTTGTTATTTTTGTTTTGTATTTTTTTAAAGTTACCAACATGTAAAATTTGAGAAATTCTACATAAAAATCTGTCACTTGATCTTTTGAAGCCTCAGGACATCTGGCACCCTGAGCCTATACTCTCACACGGACAGTTGTTTGGATTTGAGTGGCAGCCATCTCCTCTAGATGTCATTCTCCATTGCTCAAAATGGGCTTCCTTCATCAACTCATTACACGCCAGGCCCTGTGGGATCTCACTTTGTCACCAATTAGCCATGTGTGTCCATATTCTTAGATTTTTGTTAAAGCATTTCCCATAATTATTTAGGAATTAGAAAGTAAATTTATATGGTGTCAGATCATAAGTTATATAAATGCTAATCATTTGGTTGTACACCTAAAACTAATATAATATTGAACATCAACTGTAATTGGAAAACAAAAATATATTTTTTTAAAGAAATACACATTGGAATTATTAATAGAATGGCCCACTTTAAAGCCCCATTTTTAAGTTATACAAATAAATGTATATGGACTTTAGTAGATTCAGTTTTATAAACATACATATATATATAAACATAATTATTTTTCTAAATGCATATTACAGATTTATTTACTTAATAATACATATTTATTGATTTCAGAGAGGAAGGGAGAAGGAGAGAGAGAAAGAGAAACATTAATGATGAGAGAGAATCATTGATTGGCTGACTTCTACATGTCCCCTACTGGGGATTGAACCTGCAACCCAGGCATGTGCCCTAATGGGGAATTGAACCCAGGACCCTTCAGTTCATAGGCCTATGCCCTATGCACTGAGCCAATCCAACTAGGGCCATAATACAGTATTAAGAAGTTATTTGAGCACATATTGATTTGAATCTAGAGGTGGTTTAGAATGCTCCACCAGTAGGAACTGGGGATAGATTTTTATAGAGAATATGTGGAAGCAAAGAGAGGAAATGGTTGACTGACTACAGCTTGAAGCCAAGTTGGCTGTTTGAGATTGGTTGTCCTTAAGTTTTGATTTCATAATCTAGAGGCATTTACAGGCTTAGATTTGGGTGTACTTATTTCAGCAGCCACAGCATTAGAGCCAGCTCAGTGATGGCCTCCCAACTTAGTAAATTTAACAGTGCTCATCTTTGAAGGCTCAGCTCAAGAGTCACCACCCCTTCAATGCCTTTCCTTTTCCCCACCATCCACCCAGAGGTAGAACTTAATCTTCCCTCCTTGACACTCCCAATGTGATCTTTACAGATTTCCATCATTTTCATTTTCCTTCTTATATAGGTCTATCTCTCCCATTGGCTGATAAGCCCTTCAGGACAGGGACTATGTATTATTCACTTTGGAATTTCCACAATTTTCACAGTGCCTAGGACTTAGTAAGTGCCATTTTAATTTTAAAATATATGTTAGGGGATAAATATTATAGCAATACATTATTCATTATATTCCTTATAATGCTTACTATGTGCCAGGCCCTATTCTACATGTATTATTTATGTGTCATAAATAATAACTATAAATCTTTAGCCAAAACCGGTTTAGCTCAATGGATAGAGAGTCGGCTTGGGGACTAAAGGGACCCGGGTTCGATTCCGGTCAAGGGCATGTACCTTGGTTGCGGGCACATCCCCAGTAGGGGTTGTGCAAGAGGCAGCTGATCGATGACTCTCTCTCAACGATGTTTCTAACTCTCTATCTCTCTCCCTTCCTCTCTGTACAAAATCAATAAAATATATTTTTTTAAAAATCTTTATAGCCCTAAAGACAGTTCCATTATTATCCTCGTATTATAGATAAGCAAACTGAGGCACAAATTAAATAACTTACCTGAGATCACACAGTTCATAGGCCACAGAACTAAAACTTAGTCAGCTTTCTAAATCCACAGATAAACCACCATGCTTTTCAAGATGGCGTATTAGATAAATTTTTAAAGTAAAACTGATGAAATCTAATCTTTTAAGTAACAAATCATTATCTACACATCAGTGGCTATTTTAGAAGTACACATATACAAAGGATATATGTTATTTTGTTACTTTGTTGACAATTGCCAACTATCTAATTTTTTCAGCACTGAAATGAATGCTGATTATGATACAATGGAGAGCAAAACAAACCCAGTTCATGCCTATATACTTAAAGGATACTGAAAAAAATGTTTAAGGTGAGGTTTACGTCCATTCTTCCAATAAATATTTACTGAAAGCCTTATGTATAGAGGCAGATAGAGTACAAAGTAAAACTAATTCCTCACATTAAAAAGCTCACAGTCCAATGGGAATTATAGACAATATGAAAGTAAACAAATTAATATACAATATAAAGTGTTATAGAGAACAAGAAAGAAGAAGCTTGCTGAAATAAAGAAGGTCAGACTATATGGAAAACAAGCTATTTAAATAGGTTGGTCCCAGAAAGCTATATTGCAAAAATGCCACCTGAGCTAGCCTTGAAGAACTGCAGTCAAGAATACACTAAGAAGAAAACACAGACAGAGGACTTAAGGCAGGAAAGCATTTGACATGTTGGTTTGATTGAGGAACTGAAAGAACAACAACATGGCTTTACAGTGACAGGAGATGCATTTGAATAGTTTGGGCCATATTACATAGAGGTTTACCAAACTAAAGCACTTGGTTTCAATTCAAAATGTAATGCAAAGCCATTTTAAGCAGTGTTAAGCTGAGGAATAAAGTAATATTACTTCATGTTTTTAAAAAGATGTCTCTGACTTCTGTATCGAGAATAGATCAAGGAAGTCACTAGAAGAAGGGAAACTTGTAAGAAGGCTAATACAGTAGCCCAGGTCAGCAATGATGGAGGCTTAGGTTAAGGGTGGTAGCAGTGTAGGTGAAAAGAAGAGGACAGATCTGAAACATACTTTGATGGTAGAATCCGACAGCATGCTGAAAGAAAGAAGATAAATGGTATCACTTCAAGGTCTTCAGTATGACCTTTTTATTTTGTTCAGAACTGTGACTAAGCCCAATAATCATATATTCAAATCTTTGTATAAAGATATGTTTGAGTCCTGGCCAGTGATGCTCAGTTGTTAGAGTGTCAGCCCACAGATTGAAGGGTCACAGGTTTGATTCACAGTCAAGAGCATGTAGCTGGGTTGCAAGTTCTACCCCATCCCTAATCAGGGCGCATTTGGGAGACAACCAATAGATGTGTCTCTCTCACATTTATGTTTCTTTCTCTCTCTGTCTCTCCTGCCCTTCCCCCCTTCCACTCTCTCTGAATCAATGGAAAAATATCCTCAGGTGAGGATTCTCTCTCTCTCTCTCTCTCTCTCTCTCTCTCTCTCTCTCTCTCTCACACACACACACACACACACACACACACACACACACACACACACAAAATATGTTTGAATAGGGTCTCAAAAATTCTCAATGCCCCTCCATCCACTGATAACCAAATAAAGCCCATGTTTCTCAGCCTATATTCAAGACCCTACATAAAAGTCCCAAATGCTCTTCCACAATAGTCTACTCCTATTACACATGTCTTATTCTAAGAGCAAATCACTGCCCTTTCTGGTTCTTATAATATTTTCCTGCCACTAGCAATCCTTCTGTCTGAAAGCGCCTCCTGCCTTCAAAATGCTACTTGCCTAAACCTATTTAATGTTTACAATTTCAAGCACCACTTCTCTCTTACATAACTGGACAAAATAATTACATAAGATGAAGTTCTATGGCTGGGGGGTGGGAAGGAGAGGAACTCTCCCAAATTCTCATAGTATATGGGATCCTTTTATTATAATTCTCACATTCTTTGGCAGAGGATAGTAATGTTCTTATCCTCAATGACATTTACATAATCATTTAAGGTAGGCACTGTATCCTTTTCATTTCTATATCTCCTAAAACTAAGGCATGGTGTCTTTTAGAAACCTTAAATGTCCAATTTGTTTATCTGAATTGAAAGTCAAATATCTAAGTTATTTTTAAGTTATTCACTGATGTCTCCAAGCTTGTTTCCTTTCATTATGAATGCCTGTATTTATTTTTTCACTTACTCGCTCACTAAAACATTTTCTCATAAATAAGCAATGTGCCAGATAGTGAGGATAAAAAAAGTAATAAGACATGGTTTTTATATCCAAAGAGTTCAGAGTCTAGTGAAGAAAGACATAGAGTGATATAACTATGCTGTAGTAAGTAAAACAATCAAGTATATACATGCTTAAGCCATCTTTTGGGGAAGGTTAGAAGTGGCATTGTTCAGAACAGATTTCTAGAAAAGTAACAAGTAAAATAAGTATTATTTATCAAGTAGAAGAGGAAAAGGAAGAATATCTCAGGCCAAGAAGACAGAAAAATTGATACCACAAAAGCAAATATCACTTAAGTGAAAATAACTGAACATTACCAAAAAACTGCTGAGGACTTTGTTCTCCCCCAAATTTCCATTTTTCAATCAACTTTTAATGTTATCTATAAGAAATAACTAGAATATATAATTTTAAAATTAAGTTAATAGCAAAGTCAATACTTGCCTTAAATTTCATCTGATACACGTTTATCTTTAATAAATAGCTGTTTTCTTCTTTTAAAATATCTAATTTTTATATTCTTGGTTTAAAAATAATTATATTTTAAAATTTAGTAAGAAAAAAAGAAAAAATTAAAGAATGCTCAATAATTTGAATCAGTTATAAAAGCTAATATGTGCTGAGAGTACCTACTCTGAGCCAAGTACTGTCCTAAGCAATTATATGTATTAAGTCATAAACACTTTACAACATTCTTAAATGACAGATAATATCACTATTTTCTCCTATTAAGGGAAATTGAAATGAAAGGAAATGAGGTCTGACTCAATACTACAGTTGTAAAAATTAAAAGTTAAGTTTTTTAATGAACTACATTATGATCAAATAACCATCAGGCACACTAAGAAGAAACCATAGGAGAAATTAAATATATAAAAATAACATCTCTTACCTGATTAACTTCACTTTGGAGCTGTAATCCATGCTGCTCCTTTTCTTCTCTCTGTTGTTGTAGCTGCTTAAACTCTGCCTTAAGATGCTGGTACTTGGTCTCTACTTCTAATAATTCTTCTTTGAGTTTTTGAGTAGCTTCTCCCTTTTCACCTAATTCTGCCTGTATTCTCTGCAGTGTGATTTCAGAAGCAGATAATCTTGACTGAAGTTGTTGACAATCTAGGTCTTTTTGATGAAGGCTTACTTGTATATTCTTTTTACTCACACACTCATCATTATGCTTCTCTTCTAACTGAGTATAGTCCAGTTCTTTCTTCAGCAACTTTTCAGTCAAGTTCTGAAATATCAATTTAACAATTTTTCCTTTTCTAGTATTTTAATTATTCTAATTATTCAAAGAATATATACAGCAATATCATCTCCTACTAAATGTTTTAGTCAGCTGAAACCGGTTTGGCTCAGTGGATAGAGCGTCGGCCTATGGACTAAAAGGTCCCGAGTTCGATTCTGGTCAAGGGCATGTACCTTGGTTGCAGGCATATCCCCAGTAGGGGGTGTGCAGGAGGCAGCTGATGGATGATTCTCTCTCATCGATGTTTCTAACTCTCTATCCCTCTCTCTTTCTCTCTGTAAAAAAAATCAATAAAATATATTATAAGATAAAATAAATGTTTTAGTCAATATTACAATATAAAAACAATGACAATATTTTAACCAAGAATTCAATTATTACATACTAACTTAATACAATTTAAGAATTACTAATGCAATTTTGACATAAATAAAAAACCCTAAAATCTACTATATTCTTTAGGATAAAAATATTTATATTCTCCCATTTGAGTTAAAAATTAAAATTACACTTCAAGCATCAAAAATTATCTTGGGTAACAATGCATTGTGGCAACTATCATTTCTGGCTTTTCTAATAAGTATTTTAGAATAATAAATATCCTTCACTGCTCTAGTATGCCTGGTCCTACTCATTCCTTACTTTTGTTCTTTTTTTAAAAATATATTTTTATTGATTTCAGAGACAAAGGTAGAGGGAGAGAACGAAAAATCAATTATGAGAGAGAATCATTGATTGGCTGCCTCCTACATGCCCGCCCTGGGGATCGAGCCCGAAACCCGAGCATGTGCTCTTGACTAGAATCGAACTGGGACTCTCCAGTCTGCAAGCCAACACTCTATTCACTGAGCCAAACCAGCTACGGCCTTATTTTTGTTCTTGATAAGGATCATTTTTAAGAGTCATAAGTTAAAGACTAATTCAAATATCTCTCTAAGTATATAAATAGTGATTTAAAAATATCACTTACCTGCTTTATATTTTGTTAGTTTACTTAATACTATCAAGTACAAAATGTAAAAATGATACCATCAATCAAATATATGAATCAACAAGACTAATCAGATGTCGAAGTCTGGTCTCAGTGGAGTTGTTACAATTAATATTGAACACTTTAAATCAACATATTTACACACAAAATATGTAGCGGAATTTTGACTCAATTGGGATAAGAAGCCACTAAAAGCACCAGAAGAGTCAATCCATGGACATTTATTTTACTCGGTTTTTATATTCAACGTGCTAGAAGGGAATTATATAAAAATGCTAGGGAACAATCAAAGCCTCTGGCCTTTAAACAGATTACAATCTAAATGAAACACACACACTAAAAAATACTTTTCTAAGTAAGTTAAAGCATGATGTGCAAGCAAAAGTAGATTAATACAAAAACTGTGTCAAATTTAAGTGCATAAATTTTTACAAAATAAAATGGGCAAAGTCAGGTGAAGCTAAATAGTAAATTCCAATCATCTAGAAATAAAGTTTGAGTTGGTAAAGTGCTGAGAGGAGTTAAGTAATAGGTATACTTGACTCATGCCATCTGCTCTATACAAAAAGACAGAATGGAAACAGACAAACAAGTTGCATGTGGGGAAACAGTAAACACTATTACCTCGGAGCAGTAATAAATCTAGGCACCAAAGAGAGAAAGATAGCAGTAATTTACCTGAGAAAAAGTTCATTAATGTAAATTATCAAGTAGAAATATAATATCAAAAAAAGCAGAAAGATAACAGAAGCAAATATAAGAAAGACAAAATGGGAGAAATCTTAGAGATAAGAAGAGCAACAAGAAGTTCATAGCAAAATTAGCCAAGAGATGTGTACCTTGACCAACCAACAGAATAGAAATAGGACGTAGAAGAGCCAAAATACTAGAGAAAAAAAAAAATGAATACTTTTAAGTCAAACTATGTTAGAAAAATTATCTTTTTATAAACATTTTTGTGTTACTAGTTAGTAAATGCAAATCTTTCTTGACATAATTTTACATTTTCTCTTTTAAGAAAACAACATTTATTTTAGAATTTGTAGGCTAAGTCAAATCTATTCATTGATCTATAAATGTACTGGATCTTTTTATTTTTTTATTTTTTTTAATATATATTTTAGTGATTTTTTACAGAGAGGAAGAGAGAGGGATAGAGAGTTAGAAACATCGATGAGAGAGAATCATAGATCAGCTGCCTCTTGCACACCCCCTACTGGGGATGTGCCCGCAACCAAGGCACATGCCCTTGACGGGAATCGAACCCGGGACCTTTCAGTCCACAGGCTGATGCTCTATCCACTGAGCCAAACCGGTTTTGGCTGTATTAGATCTTTTTAAAGAAAATTCTAAGTTATTGAATTTCATGAATACAACCATGGTCACAAATACTGAGAACTTGAACAAGATATAATTTTAAAACATGCTACAAAAATTAAGGCTGGTAATAGGTTAGTCTTCTTCCCCACAGGCTTACTTATAAAGTGACCAAGTACTCCCAACAATTCCATAAGTAAATGACTCCTCAGACAGCTTCATTCTTTAAAAAGTGAAAATACATAACAACCATTGATTATTTAAAATCCACTTGTAATCAAAAAGTAATCAAAATCTACCTGCTTTATTGCAGAGATGGGAGATGATTAAATCTTCTCTAAAAGAACCTAAACCACTTTGTTTTGTAAGAACCTAATCCACTCACACTATAAATTTCTTCATACAAAAGTCTAACTATATTTAATACTACAAGCATTTCATTTTTATTATGGTCTTCCCATAGAATCAGAAATAAAAAAGTACAGTGCTTTTGAAAGTACAGCAGAATTAATTAAAGAAAATAATAATTGTACTTGCACTTGCACTTATCAATATAAGTTCTTACAATAAAATATGAGATAGACATTATCATACCCATTCTAAAATCAAAGAAGCTACAATTGAAAGAACCCAATATGACTTGGCCAGTAGCAGAGTCACATATTACGATTCTAAGTCCAATAACTTTTTCATAATACAATTTAGACACTCAATGAGTCAAACTGTGCTCCCCAAAATATATCCTATTCAAGTTTAAATTATAAAATGAATGTTAAGCCTAACTCATAACATAATTATCATTTGGGTAAGCAAAATTCTTTCCTTCCAAATGTCTAGTCCTCTTTTGATTTTTTTCACCAGTTGTTCTCTCAACATATTTTTTTTTTTTTACAGAATTTCCCTATCTCAGGCTCCATTGTTCAATTGTTACTTGCCCAGGTAATGAGAATGAATGCCAAAAAAAAAAAAAAAAAAAAAAAAAAAAAGCACTTTTTTTAATGCTTGAGCGCTTAAAAAGTGGTTTCAGGCATCTCATCTTATTTGTTCCTCAAAACAGCTTGATGAGAAAGAACAAACTGACCTATTTGTAGCTCTCCAACATTTCGCATTTTGTGATATTGCATGTTCTCATGCCTCCTGTATATTTAACTAGCTCAAAATAAAATGTACTTAACCCCTCTGCTGTGTAAAATGTTCTTTAGAATCCTTAAAGACTAATCTAAACCATTATGTCTTTTATAAATCACTTCCTGAGTTACTAGGCAGTAAGTTGCAAAACTCCCACTTTGGTCCTGACCCAATCCTGTATCACAACATTTACCAAATAAAAAACTAAAGTGAACATTCAGTGAGGAGCTTACTAAACACCAGAAACTAGTCTTAGCACTATTAATTTTTTAATACTCATATCAATCCTAAGAGGCAAATGGATATACATTATTTAACAGAAGAGGAAAGACTTTGAGAAGTTGAGTGTCACAGCCAGTTGGTGCCCAAAACTGAGATTTGAACATGCCTTGATCATCGTACTACACTGTTCATATCAATATACCATTCTGCAACACAGTGTTATACAAGCAATATAACTACTCAGCACACCTGGCCCCCACTTGGCTTATGAGCACCTTAATACTGGGACTGATGGAAAGAGGAAATCAATAAAAGATGAAAAAGGGATGAGAGCAGGATTAAAAAAGGCAATGGAGTAAGTGGGTGCTGCATGGACCTGCTCCCAGGAATAAACTGGTATTACAACTAAAATACAGAAAAACTTCCTGAATAATCAAAGGAAAACACAGGAGAGAACCCTGACAACTGAAGATTGAAAGTGGAGACTGCATAGACTTGTAGGAGGGCAGAGGCATGAAAGGGCTGCCAGTGTGCCCAAAGACAGCAACTGAAGTCCACAGAGATATCTCACCTGTGGTGGGTTGTCACTGAAAACTCTGGGATTTAATCCCCAAGCTGGGACTCCTGCAGAGAGTATCAAAACTGAGAAAAGTACCCGCATAACATCTAGCTGTGCAAAGCAAGAGGGTACTGTCTGCAGGGAATAACAGCTGAAAATTCAGGCACCCTCTTAAAGGGCCAATGCATAAAATTCCCTGTGGAGCCATCCACCTTGTGCTCCAGCAGAAGAAGGGTTAAGTGGACTGGAGCTGTGAGAGCAGAAGTCAGGACTGGGGACTCAGGGTACAAAGCTCAGAAAGCAGATAGATACCCTGTCACTTCAAATAACAGAACTGATAGTATTTGCCGTCAATGATAAAATTAAAGCTTTCAAATGAAGCTTAGAATTTTGGAAAACTGACCTAACTGGTTTGGCTCAGTGGATAGAGCATTGGCCTGCAGTTTGAAGGGCCCTGGGTTTGATCCCAGCCAAGGGCATGTGCCCAGGTAGCAGGCTCGATCACCAAAAGGGATTGTGCAGCCAATCAATGATTCTCTCTCATCACTGATATTTCTTTCTCTCTCCCTCTTCCTTCCTCTCTGAAATCAATAAATACATATATATATTAAAAAAATAATTTTGGAAAACTTGATCAACCACCATGAGCATGACACTTCCTCATACTTGAAGCCTATTTTGAAATTGATAGTGATACTGACAAATGTGATCATCTGAGCAGTTTCACCAGTATTTGGGAGGTTTTCATAAGTCAGTAAATCAATATTT